TGAAAACTATTTTTGCCGGAACATGTTCGTTGCCGTGAAAACATTAAACGGATCCAGGAAGGCAGTACAATTCATACAGACCAGACACTGAATTTTTTTTTTTGCTCGTAAACCGTCGTTATTTGAGTTAGCATCGCCGGAATTTCCATAAAACCGTGTATATGGGATAATGAGCATTTAACGATATTTTCCGAGCTAAATTATTTAGGCTGCCAGTTGCACCGATTCAGTTTTCGCTCAAGTTAGCCACAGTCCCCAAGTTTGCGCTTCTGAATAATCACTTTTAACCGGTTCGAGGGGCTTTTGACCAGTTTGAATTCATCCATCTGGCTGACTGGCTGTTGCATTTTTCATAAATCAATTGGCTTTGATTTGTTTATAAATAATTTTGCTCTGCAACTGCATTGGCTTTTCCATTTTCCTCTTCGGAGAATGATATCGATTAGCCGTCGTCGAAAGCGTAACCCCAAAACGTTTGGGGCAAAGTTCAGGAACCTGACAAACAAACAAAGTTTACATTATTGGGTGTCAGTGACAGCTGGAAAAATATATTTACTCACCGATCCTTAAGCAAAAAGTAAATTGGCAAAGAGAAATTGATTTTATTTCTTTGGTTTTTTTGGAAGTCTTTCAATTATAAACCAAATATATTTCTGATAAAACTCATTTCAACGCTTGTGCAGTCTATAGTGCATTACAGAAAATGTATTTATTTGTTTGCCATTTTCCAGGGACCGTAATCATTATAAGTAATATTTTAAAAATTACTTTGTAATGATTACTTATCGATTTTTAATTTTTTTAATCAAGACTAATAATTATTTTTGAGCAAAAAATAAAAATCACAAATAATCATTATTTTTGAGCAAAAAAAATAAAACTCAAAAATAATCATTATTTGTGATTTTTATTTTTTTGCTCAAAAATAAAACTCAACAAGCAACAACTTTTGATTCTTTAAGGATATTACCAATATTGTCCTATGTCCTTATAAAGGGACTTTAGAGCAACAATTGACAACAACAACAACAACAATAAAATGTATTTTACCTGTGTTTGTTGCAATTATTTAATATAAGGTCAACTGTTACATACAGAGCAGCAGCAGCAGATATACACAATTACCAAAACAATGATAATAATGATAATGATAATGATAATCATCATAATGATCAACCAGTAGAACAATTAGGTACATTAATTTTCAATTTATTTTCTTAAATTTTTATTTAATTTTAGGAATAACAATTTTGAGAGCGACTCGCTCGACAAGTTGCACCTTTGGTCGGTTAGCATTATTTTAAGCGCAGAAAAGGCACGCTCTACGCTAACTTGGGTAGCTGGAACCGCAAGCACCACCTTAGCAAGCTGATATAAATTCGGGTACTGAAATTGCTTCTCACTCCAGTACTGCATTATATCAGCGCCTAGGCCGATGGGCTTCGGGCTGTAACTATCAATTTCAGCATATCCTTTAAATAAGTCCTGCTGCCCATCATCGTCAGCTTCCTCTTGGGCATCGACCTCAATGTTACTTAAAAGCGGTTGTTGTCAATTGTTGCTCTAGGGTCCCTTTATAAGGACATAGGACAATATTGGTAATATCCTTAAAGGATCAAAAGTTGTTGCTTGTTGAGTTTTATTTTGAGCGAAAAAATAAAAATCACAAATAATCATTATTTTTGAGTTTTATTTTTTTTGCTCAAAAATAATGATTATTTGTGATTTTTATTTTTTGTGCTCAAACATAATGTTTAACAATAGAAGAATAAATATAAAAATTAAAAATTAAAAATCATCAAGGATATTCATAGTGGATCCTTAAAGGATAAAAACGTGCTAGTCATGCTTGTTCTGTGTTGATTGGAAGTGATTGATTTATTCATTTGAAAATAGCGACAATAATCATTATTTACGGTCCCTGCCATTTTCATATATATTTTCTTCCATATTTTGCTTAAAATCTTTCGAATTTCGGGGACAGACCAACATTTTCTTGGTGGCTGGCCAAAATGTACATCAGCCATTTTCATATACGTATTCCCCATTGGTTATTTTCACAAATATAGTATAGCTCTTTTTAAAAATCTTTTGACCTTTGAAATAAAAATAATTTCCGGTGAATAATAACTTGAACTCTGACCCTGAAAGACTTAAAATCCTTGCCACAAATATTTACTTCTGTGTCGGGAATTAATACCGGCGAAAATAAACAGAAGTTTATGGAGAGCACAAATCGAAAGAGGTTTTGCGGGGGCATCAATCCAATTTTCGTCTATACCCCAAGGTGTAGGAGCTCTGCGGACCCGAGGCATAAAGTAAACTCAAATTAAATATTAACACATTTCGTGGGTGCTCGATGGCACCATGGCAGGCGATGTGCGAAGAAATCAATTAAATCGTTGCGCAATTCGTTCAAGCTCAAGGACTTATGGCTATGGCTGTTGGGTCAACGCTGCCAGAATATATTCAAAACAATTCCCCACAGTGCACAGTGGTTGATTCCATAGGCCAAAAATAAAAAAACAAAAGTTCGAAATTGGTCACTTTTTGTCTTAAAAATATTTCTTAACAGATCAATAAAACGAACAGTATTTTTATTTTCGATCTATTTCTTTCCCTCGCTTTACGAATAGCGAGAGAAGAGAGACAAAGAAAACACTTGATCGTTGCAGTGAACGCAGCTTGAAAATTAGTTCTTACAAAAAAATTTTATTTAAATATTAAATCGAGTCCGATCATCATCAAATAAAATGAATTACGAAAATAAAGGCATGTACTATAAAACTAATTAATTTGTATGTCATTATGTGTTGTGTTATTGTTTTAAAATTAGTGTTTCATTAGTGACCTTTCGAGTGGCAAGTTATTATGTGTACATAGAATTTAGATAAAAAAAAAGTTATGATCCCAGTCTCACCCAATAATGAAACTTGTTTATTAATACTAGTGAGTGTTTTCTTAAACTATGTTTTAAATTTGAGCTGCAACTTTTTGCAACCTTCTGACTTATTCCCTTTTTTGTGTTCGAGCAAATTTTGTGTTTTGTTGTTTTCGTGCATATTTTGTGTTTTATATTATTTTTTTATTTTGTTTGCTTTGTTTTATTTAATTTAGTATATTTTATTTAGTACATATTAAAAGCCTACTATATATTTAAACAATCTTTGTATTTTATTTTTATATTATTAATAATTTATTAATTTAATTAATAAGGGATTTCCGTAGCCTGAAAGTATGCAATTGAATTAATGTTTCAAAATGATGTTTTTTTAATTTTTTAGGGCTTTAACGAATGGTTTTTGCATTTTTTTTAATATTCTTGATAATATTGGATCTATATAGCAGTACAGAAATTTTGAGCTCCATATTCCAACTGGAAGTATTTTTGGCCGCCTTTGCCATACAAGATCAACCAGTGTGCAGTGGTCGAAAACAATGAAAACTTTATGGTGATGTTGCAAAAGTTGAATTTCACTTTTTGTTTATCAAACTTCAAGGAAGTTGCAGTCAGAAGCCATCCTTCTCTAGAGAGAACTTTAGTTTCCCTTAAGTGTCAAACAGTCTGATAAAATAAGACAGGTTATTGCATTGAAAATGTGATAACCATGAAAAGAAAATATTATTTCTTACCACTGTGCCTCTGTAAGGAAATTAATTAGTTCAAACTGTTTTGCACTAATGCCACTTGAGTTTGATTTAGACAGATTTTGTGGGAATTAGGTTAACCGTTCGATTAAAGCCGGTTAGTTGCTCAACTGTTAACGGGTTGTAATTAAAATCACTGAACTTGAAATTTTGTGGGCGCTAATCTAATCGCCACTTGGCACCAGCTTGGGTTTGTGGGAAGTCGAAGGAAATTCAAGACCAATGCCAAGGACAATTGAACATGGACTCGAATGAGGGATAAATCTAAATTGGCCATCAATGTTATGTAATGAGATAGGCGACACTTTTGCGAAAAGCCAACGAGTTCGTAGAAAAAGCAGATTCAGTTGCAGCAGTCAGACAATTCAGGAATCGACTCGTACATTGCCCTCCAAATTATCAGCCTCTAGAATATGACACTTGTGCTGGCCAATTGTTCAATTAAAAATCTTTATCTCCCGCACTCGATAGATAAGCTTTCGCTACTGCTACTAACACGATGTTGCCAATAATACAAATCAGTTCTTATCGGCGACCAACTGGCAGCTCCACTTGTATTTGTTTATGCCACTTTATGGCCATATTTACAATTGGTATTAACTCGCTAATTTCGCATGGCGCTAAGAGCACTGGATCTATCCAGTTCGAAAAACAAATATTGTCTGCATGAAAAGTCCGATAATTTGTTATTGAATCTTTAAATAAACGTTGCCAATTGGGCAAACAATCGCACTCGAATTTAACTGGATTCATTGCAAATAGAATGCAAATTATCAATGGAAATAAACATGAGGTTTTTAACTTTTTATTTACCGACTTAAGATTTGGATTAGGGATAAAGCGAAATCATTTACATTAGTATATAGTATTTATTTAAAGTACATTAGCTTTTTCATAAAAGTTTTGCATAAATCTTATTTTTGCAAAAGAATAAATCATAAATCAAACCTATGAGTTGAAGTTTATATGAAAGTTAATATATAGATTGCCGAAAGTAAATGATTATGCGTATTATAATTGCTAATAAAATAAGTGGACCTATAGAAAATCACGTGCCGCGGGCCACTGATTTTAGCACATTTTTATTTGCAATTGTCCCAAAGAGAGTTCGCCAAAATTCAAAGAGAGTTAACCAGAATCCGATTGGGCGATAAAGGAATAAATATAAATGTGCGATTTTATGGCGTATATATGGTTTTGGCCAGAAGTCTTCATGGTTAGTGAGGTTCGTGGGTTTTAACCAGTTTCGATTGGTTATTGTGGCAGGTCGGTCGACCCCCAGAGAGTGATGATAAAAATAAAGTCAAAAAGAGTTTACTTATATGATACTACTTTTTCCTCTCTCCTTGCAGTTAACAAAACAAAGCTACTAAAAAGCTGACTGGCTTAGTAGAAGGACATTATAGTATGCCAGGATCAAAAAAGTAAATACCAGACAACAATGAGCAATCGCACGGAGCAGGATTACTCCGGTAGTGCCACTCCGGCGCTGCAGCAGCAGATGAATTTGGCTCGCAGAGCCTGCTGGAGGCACAAATCCTCCTTCGGTTCCGAATTTCCCCCCAAAAGCAAAGCTACGGAAAATGCTACAATAGCCACGGAAGCAGCCAGTCGCCTGGAGTTAGTTAATCCCCGGATTGCGAATCAAATCGATGCAGAAGCACCACCACCACCACCGAGAGTTGAAGGCAAAGCAAGAATAGAACCGCAAATGGCAGCCGCAACACGCAACACAATCTGGACATCCGACTGGCGGGGGATACTCGGCAAAAGGATGCTGCTCATCTGCGCCCTCGTCCTGATCCTTGGCCTCGTCCAGGGGCGGCCCAACACGAGTGCCGTGGGCGTGGCCCGGACCACGGATGGCCAGGACACCGCGGATGCAGTCACCCAGCTAAATGTAAGTACGGCAAAAACCGAAATCCGCAATCCAATTGAACGACCATTAAGCCGGGAATTACCGGCACATCCGGTTCGCAACAAAAGCTCTTTGGCTTATTGCAATTACGATGAAACGGTGGGTTTGGCTGGGACTACAGTAGAACTACTTTGATAAGTAGTTTTGAAAGGAAATTTCAACCAAAGTTAGTGCTTAGATGACTGCTTACTCCCTCTTTAAATGACAATCGAACAAGTGTCATAAACTATACTCTTAATTGTAGCAATTAGCAGATAATATCAGATGAAATATCGACATGTTTATGTGGGAGACTTTAAAGCGCAACTGTAGATAAAAACATTAAAGGCTTTTACTGAGCCACTGAAAAGATACTTTTTAAATGATAAAAGCATTGAGGTTTTCACGCTTGTAAATTTTTCTTGTGTTTTTGGGTAATTTATGAACCTTAAGAAGTAAATCAAAAGTGACAAGGTTCTGATAGGAAAACCCATGACCAAACTTATCTAAGAAGTAACCACGTGATTTTCCATCAAGATTCCCATACAAGATTGATTTAATATTTACGTATCTTTGACGTATTTCTAAATATAGAAATCATTAAACCCAATAATAAATACTGAGAAGCCCCAATTAATTAGCAATGATTTGACGTCATTTTGAATGTTCCGTGCGCACAAACGTCTAAGCTCGATTTAGTTTTCTTGACTCATTGATGTTCATTAAATGTCTGACATATATCTAACATTTTAGTCACCTCACTGACCTAGTTCAACATTTTAACCTGAATTTATGTGTAGGAATTGAAATCGCAAAATAAAAAAACCAAAAACATGACACTCGTGCCTTAATGCGTCATGAATAAAATTGATTGTAATTTTCAATGGCGTGTTTCCGAACGTTTAATTGAACCCCTGATGCTCCCAACCAGCCAACCAGGTCTGGATTTTATTTTCCGCAGTTTACACGCCCATGTAAATATTTAATGTTTGCCTTTGCGGATATTGGAAATTTACTTGCACGTCGCATTTATCAATTTTCTACCCACTGTTTGCCAATTATAAACCGCTAATGCCTGAATTATATGTTTCATTCGCTCATCCTTCCTGCCCCAAAAACCAGCTGCCCCAAACTGCGCCCGTGGATGTAAATGTGGATGTGGGTCTGGATCCCACGCCATCGGTGAGATTGCCACGTTCCGAGGCACTGAAATCCAGCGACGAGGATGCGGAGGGCGGCGAGGGTCACAAAATGGAAAGGTATCCCCTATCCAGTGTGGATTTTGCCCGGGTGAAAACGCCGTTCATCATCGGAATCTGGATTTTATCGGCTAGTATAGCCAAAATCGGTGAGTTTAATTAGTTGTTCGAATTACTCCCTCAAAGAGAAAATAGTAATAGTATAAATTGCATTAGATATAATAAGATTTATTGTTTAGGTACTTATTTTGAAGGTAAGGCTTAGTACCTGTACATATTTAATTTTGTCAGCCCTTTTGCTTAGGCTTCACTGTTTAGTCAGCTAAAACTGGCCAATTAGCAAAAATCAAGCCGCTTTAACCTGTGCATAATCAGCGGAAAATGTGGTTTTTCCCCAGAGCCGAATCCTTTTCCTGTGGAAGCGTAGGAGCCTCGGTGTCTCTGCTCCTGGGCGTGGGTGTCTGTTTCGTTTTCCTTGTGCTGTTGCCAGGCAAAATCAATATGGTTTATGTAATTCCTACGACTGCGACGACGACGACGCCATCATGCAGATTTGCGTCAAGTCGGCGACGTAACCGTATGTGTGTGTGGGTGGGTGTTTTGGTTGCGAGTCCTGGCCCGAAGGACGTTGCATAAGCCAGTGATGGATGTGTGCAACAAGCCGCAGGACATGGGGCCTTGACCCTGCCCCCGGAGCAACAATTGGGCTCGAAGGCGTTGCATTAATCATTTACTTTGATTCTCGGCCACTTTCAAGCCTCTCGAGACTTCATTACCAAGGATTTCGGTTCGGGCCTATTTATTTCTGGGGCCCCAATGTCGGCAATTTACCATTGCCAGACAGGTTTATCTGTGGCCCTGCCCGTAACCTTGACTGCAGGCGAGAGAAAATCCATTTCCCCACGAACATCAAGGACGCGTGGCAGGTTTTCTCTTTTTTTTTTTTTTGGTAACATTTCAATTTCTATTTTTGAGTGGGCGAACGCCAGGAATTTTCTGCTGCAATTGGATAAGGGCAGGAAAATAGGCGAACAAAAATGATTGCGAAAGGCAGTTGGCCAAAAACAAACTACTGGGAAGGTCGATTGTAAAACGAGAGGCCTGGCAGTTAATAGGGAAATAAACGTGGAGTGTTTATGGCCAGATAAAAAGCGGAAAGTTTTCAAGACCCGCAACTTTAAAAGCTTTCAGAAGTCAAAATAATAAATTAAAATTCTCAGAATCAGTAAAGCCAACATTTAAAATGCATAATTAGAAATGGATTCGTATCTTCTAACTACTTTAAAAGTTTATAATAAATTAGAGGAGCATCCTATCAGTATTTTAATTAAATTCCAAACACCAAAAATGCAAATTGAGTCCTTAAATTTTTTACGAATACTTCCCCCGCCATTTTTGCTTTGTTTACGAAGCATAATTATCCCTCGCTTTTGGCTGCCCTTGAACCCAAAATATTTTGTTAAACGACTTGGGCAATAAGGCAGAAATTGAGAGGGGAGGAGCGGGTTATAAAGGGCAAAAGGCAAAAGGGTACAAAAACTAGAGAGGGCTCACTATCCAAAAAGCGAAAGTCCCCAGAAATTGCATGCAAATTTGCCATCGTTTCCATCAAGCAAAAATATTTTCGCTTTTATGGCAGGCGTTTCGTAATTAATGGAAATATTTCGGGTTCACCGTCCACAATTTCGTAGCAATTGCGTTGCAGAGAATATTTCGTGTTGATCTGGTAATATATATATTTATATATTTACAATTTCAGGTTTCCATATGACGCCCAAGCTGCATCTAATATTTCCGGAGTCGTGCCTGCTGATTGTGGTGGGCGTGGTCATCGGGGTGGTGCTCTATTTTTGCACCGATGTCGCCGTCTCCCCGCTGACACCGAACACCTTCTTCTTCTATATGCTGCCACCGATTATCCTGGACGCGGGATACTTTATGCCCAATCGATTGTTCTTCGACAACCTGGGCACCATTCTCCTGATGGCGGTGGTCGGCACCATCTTCAACATAGCCACCATCGGTGAGTAGAATAGTACGATAACCCCCATGTAACCCGAGATGGATTCATCGATGCCAGTCCTTCAAGGGGAATTGTCCTGTCGTTTAGTTGATGGCCAGGCAAACAAAGGTGGTCGCCTCGGGTAATCCCATCCATCTATGTCCGTCAACTGGAAAACGGTCAATGGAAGTTGTCGTTTAGATTCATCGAAGAATGTGGGTGGTCAATTTAGTTGTTTGTTTAGGCAGGAGTTTAGTATATGAGCAAACCGAACTAAACTTATTAATGGCAAACAATAATGGCTAATGGAGTCCCAAGGGGTTTCTAATCTATACTAATTTGATATACAGTCCGAAAGTCTTTGTTTTTTTTTCTGAACAAGTAAATATTAAATCTCAAATGAAGTACACTCCCAAGGTAAACAAAACAAACCAGTGAATAGTACTTGTCAAATGGTTGACAATTACAAAAGGTGTCAGCAGCGCCGGCAATTAGACACCTGAAACAGATGAGTAAACAGAAGCTGAATCATCCGTGACATTCATTAAAAAAGCGCCGCCTTTCTGTATCCCCAGATAAATAGAGACAATGTTCAGGGGGGCGTGTATTTACTTTTCACTTCCAATAAATTAGGCAGCACGCGAGGGGCGTGTCGCCGCCCCAACTGGATGACCGCTTAGAAGTGATTTACACAGACTATAACAAAACATGCGATTGATGGGGATGCTGTCGCCGCAAATGTTAGAGTGCTCCAATAACAACGAAAAAAAGGAGGGGAGGGGGATAAAAGGGTGGCAGACGCCACTTAGATGAATGACCGAAACCGCAAACGGACCGCGGGATATACGCTCGAGTTGCCACAGTTTCCCCTCATCCAGAACTTCCAGAGTTGCCAATTACTTATGCTTAACAAATGGGATTACATATCCAACAATGAGCGGACAACGCTGTTAACTTATCTCTCGCGATTCATTTGGAAAAGTGGAAATTCCGTTTCCATTATTCATTTGTCGGTTATAATAGAGATTGTTTATATAATCCCCAGCTAACAAAGTTGAACAAAAACTAGCTTTTATTGCAACAAAGTAATGTCAAGTAAAATGTAAATGTGTGTAAAAATATAAATACATTTTTATTGCATTTTAAGCAACACATCAGAACATTAACAAAATGGCAAGTACGTTTCTCTTCTGCTTGTTTAATATTTACAATTTCAAATGGGTACATAAAATACACATCTTGTGCCCATTCAAAATTTGTAATAATTTCCAAACAAACAATTGAAGACAAATACAGCCATGCACAAGTGGAATCGTTAGAAAGCTTGTGCAGCTTACATTATTTGCTGGTGCCACAAATTGTGCTTATTGAAGAGGAGCTCCACAAGCAATAGTATTGCAAACATTCAATTTGCGTCGTTGCAAATTCAATTATTCTGGGAAGAGCTGGCTTATCAATTGACTTAAGTGACTAGGAGATGCATTTCGAGAACGGCAAACTGCAGCAATGTCAATGCCACCCAGATGGTCGGTCATCGATTGGCCATCTACTTGTATATCTATCTAATTAAGTCTCTGAAGCACTTCGGTAAATTGATGGGTTGGCCATAGATTACATACCCGTTGCATCCTCATCCTTTGATTTTATTTACCATACCTCTACTATTTTTCATTTATTTTTTTATCCTATGAAGGTGGCTCGTTGTACGCCTGCGGAAAGATGGGAATTTACGGGGAGGGCGAGACTCCAGGTCTGATGGACGTATTCCTGTTTGCCTCCCTGATATCCGCCGTGGATCCGGTGGCCGTTTTGGCCGTATTCGAGGAGATACACGTCAACGAGATCCTGTACATTGTTGTCTTTGGCGAGTCCTTGCTCAACGATGCCGTTACGGTAAGATGGGTTTATTGATTCAGATTGTGGGTGGGATGTAGAATGTTGATGTGGAATGTGGGAGCAATTAAGTCAACAAGTGCCCGGTGACATGGTTAACTGAATCTCATCATCCTCCTCCTTCTTCTCCTACCAGGTTGTTATGTACCACATGATGGAGTCCTACAATGAGATTGGCTTGGACAAAATCATCGCCCAGGACATTGCCAGCGGTGTGGGTTCCTTCTTTGTGGTTGCCCTGGGTGGCACTGCCATAGGTAAGTAAATATTCAACTAGGTTTTGCTAATCCAATCTTATTTATTTACTATTACCTTATATGATTACTACAGGCATCATCTGGGGCTTCCTTACTGGTTTGGTGACTCGATTCACGGATCATGTGCGTGTCATAGAACCCATTTTCATATTTGTGATGGCTTACTTGGCGTATCTCAATGCGGAAATCTTTCACATGAGCGGCATTTTAGCGTAAGTCTTTATAATAAATCTCCTCTATTTCCATCTTACTCATAAATCTTTTATAACAGCATCACTTTCTGTGGTATAACTATGAAAAACTATGTGGAATCGAACATTTCACAAAAGTCACACACGACTGTTAAATATGCCTTGAAGATGTTGTCCAGTTCGGCGGAGACCATTATCTTTATGTTCCTAGGCGTGGCCACTGTGAACAATATGCACGTATGGAATACGTGGTTTGTGGTCCTCACCATTGCCTTCTGTTCGGTGTTTCGTGTTATAGGTAAATTTTTTAATTAAAATCTATTTAATATCTTCTAATAACAATTTTCCTTAAACACTACAGGTGTCATTTTGCTTTCGGCCCTTGCCAATCGCTTCCGCCTGCACAAGTTATCCAGAGTGGATCAGTTTGTGATGTCCTACGGCGGATTGCGTGGAGCTGTGGCCTTCGCCTTGGTCTTGCTGGTGGATGAGAATGTGGTCAAGCAGAAGAACATGTACGTGACCACAACGATAGCTGTGATCTACTTTACCGTCTTCCTGCAAGGCATCACCATTAAGCCGCTGGTCAAGATCCTCAATGTGAAACGAGCCAACAAGCGCAAGCCAACGATGAACGAAAGGATTCATGAAAGGGTTGGTTATCTTTTAAGTTTATAGATAAATCTGTAGATTTATTTTTATATATTTTCCTATAGTTCATGGACCACTTGATGGCCGGCATTGAGGACATTGTGGGCAAGACGGGCAACTATAATGTGCGTGATAAGTTCAAGCGCTTCGACAATCGCTTCATCCGCCCACTGCTGATCAGAGATCTCAAGGTATTTTATAGAACTAAGTGGGGATTAGGTTTAACTAGAAATGGAATTGCTAAATCGAAACCTAAACTGCTACTCAGGAAGTTAATGAATTGCATTTATTGGACCACATTCCCATGCAAAATTATGAGCGAGCTTTGAGTACAAACAAACGAGGTAGTAACATAAATGTCAATGAAAAAGGATCCTTTCGACGGGAATCAAGTTTCTTCGCCAGAAAAAAGTCATCAAGAAGAACAAATGCAAACAATGACAATAATTAAAAATAAGAATGTAAATAAAAACCAAGTCAAGTCTTTCATATTTATCTCTTTATTTGTTTTGCCATCTGAATTTAGGGCGCTGAGCCGAAGATTATTGAGACGTACTCCAAGCTGACGATGCGCGATGCCATGGAGGTGATGAGGCGGAATCCATCCACCATTGGCCAGATGACCGGCACCGAATCGATGAGCGCCCTGTTCCGGAATTATACCAATAACTATATTGGCGGCAGGTGGGCACCGCCAACCATTTACACCACCTGGTAAACGAATTTTGGATTGAACGATTTCTTGCCTGTGTACTCACACCGAAATGATCGTATATACTGCATGAGTACGAATAAAATCGAAATTGATGTAGTTTATTTACCCAAACTAAGCATGAAAACTTGCACTTGAAACTTTAGTTACAACAAATTGGAAACTAACACAAAATTACCCCACAAAGGGTCACAAATAACACTTCCTTTTATAGACCTTTGAATATCTTTTGAATATCTATTACTTGGTATATCTAAAATTCGTTTAACCACTTTCTTGGTTCTCACTTAAAGTTAATGTGTACTGATTATTTAATCGTATCTTTCATAAAATTCTACTGATGACCCATTGATTAATTTTGTAGTCCCAGCCTGACAAATCTAGACAACTCCTGTTCGCGTAATCTGGACATGGCTGAGCTGGACTATAATCCATCCAAGAAGGATCTGACTGATGCCAGGATCCACCATCTTTTGGCCGAAGAACTGAAGCCTTATAGAAGGGTATGTATCGGAGAAGCATTCTCCTTCCCATTTTCAGTTCACGTTCTGTAACAATCAACTCTTGGTTGGATATTCTATAGCAAACTGTTTTAACTTTAAATAGCCCAAGATTATCACAAAGCCCAAGAGTTCTTACGACTCCCTATCTTTTATTTCAAATACTATATCTGTCGATCTGCGTCACTACCTTTTTGCTCTAAAGTAGTCACTGAAGAATCTTTATGCCGAGTTCTACTGTAACTTCACATTTCTGAGTTTTCTGTTCTCTACTTTGGGCATTTAGTTTTCTCACACTCTACGCTTCTGTCTCTGAATATATAAATATTTCTGGCTGACAAAATATAAATAATCTAGTTATATTTCTTATAGACATATTTGTGAATAATCGTTTATTTAATTTCTTTCCCGTTGTTTCGATACCCAACATCAACTTCTCGACAACAACGTGTCTAAATAAATAAAAACGCTTCAAACTTTCGTGTGCTTAAAAAATCAATAATAAAAATTTTGAATTTCGCGATAAAGGCCTCGATACAAATGGTACGAATAAATTGGTTCATTGGTTTATGTTCTGATTAATTTCATCTGTTCTCTGGTTAATTTTGATATACTTCTTTCGAATTAACTAATTAAAACTTCTTTGTTAAATGTTAAACGTTGTGTGTCTGTACTCTTTGACTGCAAATATTCTAAATGTCTTTCAATTGGTGTATTGATTTACTAAAATAATCTTAATAATCCTAATAATAGTTCTAAACTAATTTACACAAACGACCTTAAATGCCCTCCAGCTTTCAGTAAATAAATGATTAGGTAGAAATAATTTAAATATTTAATAACAGTAACTTATTAACTATCCAAGTAAATATAAAAAATAAAGTTATAGAATGCAAAGTCGGTCTGTTCACCTTGTTTTACTTTCATACCTCAGATTAAATTAACTCATTAAAATAAATTTGCCGAAAATATAGCATTGGCAAAAAAAATTAAATTTCCATAACTTAACAAATGTATCAAACGTCTTGCACAATTTCATTTTGAGCATCTTAATAATTAGTATTTGCAAAAAGGTCTTATACTCAACTTTTTAAACTCATAATAATAATTATTGCCTATGCTTAATGTAAATGATTTCCTAAAAAGTGAATTTTAACTTACAACTAACACAAATTTTATTCTTCAACTCAGTTAAATATTTATACAATTATTTTTAAATAAGTGCATCATGAAATGTATAAAATTATATACTAAACGGATCGTAACATACATTTTTTATTGATGCACCTGAATAATATCGTTTTAATATTGCATTTTATTATTTTTTTAATACTAACAATCTGCATTAACTTGCAAATTTCTTTTGAAATGTTTTGAAATCCTTATTTTCATTGTCCAAACCACCACACCTATCATAAAAAAATTTTGTTTGTCAATATTTATTGTATTTACAAATCTATATTGTGAAACTTAAACATTTGGGAAGAATTAATGCTAGGCTGAGCACTTGATATATGTTTATCTCTACTCATAAGATGTACAAATGTTTATGGAAAGCCGTTTACACTTACTCAGTTTGTTTTCATGTTAGTTAAATGCAATTAATCGTACTTTATATAATACTTATATAAATGTATTTGTCCTATACTGCAATTTAAGTAAGGCTACATCTCTCTACTTACATCATTGTGCTGGCATTTTATGATTTCGAAACTTATTTTGCTCCATCAATGTTTTTACAGCACCGTCGTCTTAGTTATAGCCGACACGCAGTAGATGACAGAGATTTGTCCACCCAGGTGAGTGCCTGTCCACCCAAAAAACACCCTTCACCTCTCTGTTACAAATTCTTAAAGGTAAACCCGAATTAAATAAAACCTTACTCTCTTGCAGGTCAATTACAAAATGCAAATGAACTTTAGGCGCATGTTCAACGATCGCAAACATCACAAACGCAGCAAACGTGGAGCCAGCAATAAGGTGAGATATTAATCAATGATTACTTACTGAGAATCCTATTTTAATGGATATTTCTATTATCCACAGGAGGCCAAGGAGAACGTTAAGCAGAATCATGTCTCGTTCCACGATTTCCAACAGAACGGCACTACCAAGCAGCTCACCAATGGTACGGAATCGAGTTCAAACCATTCACGAAAAAAATCTTACAGAAAAAGACATACTCACAATTCACTTAACAAATATCGTAGATTAGAAATAGGTAAATGACGCTAAAATCAGCAAATTTTTCAACAATGGAACAGCATTTTGTTCCAGATAAGACGATGTCCGTAGAGATCATCTCAATTAATTCGTAGCCTTCTGTTATTATTAATTTCTTTAAGTTTTTTTTTTTTTTGGACAACGATAAGTAATTCACAAAGTGTGAATTCATTTTCAAAAATTAATTATGCGCTGTCTATATTCAACAAGTTTTTCGTTTGTAGTGAAGAGTGTAGTAAATTTTAAGTTGAAAATTCAAATTCATGCGTCATACTAACCTAACTCACAATATCTTTAGTTTAAGTTGTCATGTTAAGCACCCTACTAAAACCCAATTGTCATTTGTTTTCTAAATTAATATATAAAATCATTAAAGGAGTTTGAAGGAAAACCTATTTTAAAATAAAGACCTCACAAACTCCTTTAAATTTTCCTTAAAAATAACAAAAACAAATTGGTATTGAATTGGTAACTAATTTGATTTCTACCGAATCCTTTTCTTTCTTCCCTGCATCGCTTTCCCTTCCAACTGATGCCAAAATTACACCCACACACACCAATTTGGCCGAAAAAAACTGAAACAAAAATTGTGCACTAACCGAAAACAATCATTCCAAACTGCAACACACACAAACATAACTGTCCCGCCTGTGCCCATTTATTTATGTTAACTCAACTCGAATTCCATTCAAAGACTATATTAACAATGTGCTTAATGAAACAGCCGAGGAGTGCCAACAGAATCCCAACGAGATCAATGTTGTTGGCCCCAGCGACGATTGGGATGATGGCCTGACCTTCACCGCCAAATCATCACGTAAGTGTTCTCATTACTCCCCGATCTTCCCATAATCGTAACTTGTTAACCGATTTTTATTTTCCGTAACTAACATTTGAGTTAGGAGGTTGTCTACATTGAGCATAGGCAGCCCCTAAAAGGTTATCCTCTCTATATACTCGTATATATCCTTGTTCCTCCTGCTCTCTGAGAGCCCCGATTTCTATGCGTGATCAGCAGTCATATGGCAATATCTGATATTTTCCATATCCTGGTTGTTGCCCACCTTGTTTGTTTTTTGTTCACACAAAAATGCCATCATTTAATTAATCGTATCCTTTTTTTTGCCTGAAATGAAAGGAATCTTCAAAAGGTTTTATAAGTATTTGTACATATATATATCGATTAGTTGAGTAGCTGAACAAGGTTTCTGTAGTAGGTAACTATAAATAATAATTATAAATAACACAATTGTTTAAACCAAAGACTGTTTTTGTTTTCCGGAGAAAGCTAGTCCTGTTCACTTTCAGTTGTTTTGTTTTAGTTTCTTATTGTATTTTTGCATTTGTTCTTATCCTACCTCCTAAGGAGAACCTTAATAAAAGCTATAACAACGAACTTTCTACATATTTTTTCTTGTTTTATGCCTTCCCAATTATTTCGAAAAACCAATCACTCTGAAAAAAAAAAAAACCAAACACAAACCGATAAAATGTTGCTGGGCGCAAAAAAAATAAACGAAATGAAATGAAATGAATCCAAAAAAATTACGATTAGCTGACTCGGATCGCGCCAATAACAATTCCCTGATAGCCCACATCCAAAACCTGCCGGGTTTCGATGCCTCCAAGGCGCGTATCGTCGTCCAGCATTATGCGCCCAAGGTCGACGACAGTCCGGAAACAGATATAGACTCGCCGGATCAGGCCATTGGTCCGACGGCCGCCGAGTTGATATTGCCGTGGCGGCGGGATCGTTCATACCAGAGCATTGGTAAAAGACATCATCTCCAGATCAGATCAATCATTTCACCCACAAATCCGCAAAAGCCAAAACAACAACGACATCGACAACAAGCCGTTTTGAATGCTATGTAAAGCTCACTTCGCGCCCATTTACATGCTTAGATTCATGATTAGTTTCAGATCTCACATTTCAAAAATTTATTCAAGATTTTTCTAACTAAAAAAAAGAACATCAAATTTATAAGGCATTAAAAAGATAAAGATTTCATAAGATAACCAGTTTAAAAAAAAATAATATATTTGTTCTTAACTTTTTCTTAACTTTAAACTTTACATTTTATTAAAGTTATTAGGTGTACATTGTACATTTATCAAAACCTTACACCGTCACTCATCATACGATTACACATCTACATCTACATCTACATCTACATTACGTGTACTTAGACCTTATATAAAGCCAGTCATTAACTCGTTTATAGAGCGCCTAAAGCTTAGTTCAATCAATCGTATTTTGTGCTCAGCACTTTCCGCGATTTGGTCGATTTTCCGTTCTGTTTAATATATTTCAGTTAATCATTTAGTGCCTAATACTATTATTTCCTTAACTCGATTAAGTCTGATACCCCGATTTCCACCCACAAAATCTATTAGCCATGCTAAGTGTTGCCTAGACGTAGCTGCCCATCTAATTAGTTATCATTACATGCTGTTCGTGCGTCGTTAACGTAAAATTGCTCGTAGACGGCAATTGCCATTGATTGGTAGATAATTCTAGTCCTCGAATGCAGTTGAAAGTTACTTTGGCCGAAGCTCGAAATTACCTGCATTTAGCTCCAATAACTTACCTAAAACCAATTTGAAAAGTCACTTCAAACTAAATATTTTATAATTACAAGAAATTACGAAGTAAAAAATGAAGAAGAAACGTCGAAACAAAGCATGGCATTTTTGTGCATGACCAAATTTTTGCTTAAGTTTTATAAGCTGTTTTTCTTTTATTAGTTTTTTGACCCCTTAAAGTCCAATAAATAATAAATAATGGGGTATTTTATGATAAAAAGATTTTATAAGAATTGATATTGGGAACATCTTGTATTATATGTTCAAATATATTCTTGCTAATTCAAAAACTATTTAGTATCTACGAATTAAATATTTTCTGGGTAATAACTTAGTTTACATTGATAAAAAAAAGTGTAAATAAGAAATCCCTTATTCTGTGATAACATAATGTTGCTTAGGGAGACTATAGAGTTTTATCTCCTCATTTTGATTAGTTGATTCCTATTTTCATTGAGTTGAGCGCACTTTGTTTGTCTGTTGCCCTTTGACTGTGTTCCTCTTCCATCAACTGCGCTTAAGTTTCGAAGCTGTTTGCAAAATATCCCGAATTGGCCTCCAACAAAAGCAATTTGACAGCTAAAAGCGAAAACTGCAGTGCAAAACTATATGCTGCATGCCCAAGCGAAGCCAATAGAATGATTATTCCGTTGAAGATATTAACTGAAATGTATATTTATATTTTTTTAATATTTCTTTTTGCGATACAGTGGCCGAGCATCCAATTCCCGAGGAGGATCGCAATCTGTCCCGCGAGTCCGACGGGGAGAGGCGTGTGGCCACGCCCACCGCCACGGAATCCCAGCTGCCGTGGAAGCGCCAAGGTGACGAGTGCACGGATGCAGTGCAGCAGAACGAGTTCCCCGCCTGGGCCTCCAACAAGGAGTACTTGGCCTACAATTCCCCCCAGTGCAACATTCCTAGGTAATGTATGCATCCACCAACTGAAGAAAGCTTTTCAGGATGTCGAAATGAGTGGGTGGGATGGGAAATGGGTTTTCCGACAATCACACAACAATTTCCAAATGGTTATTGGGGGCTGTCTCCTTTGATTGTTCTCTCTATATTGAATATTCAAGTCCTCAGTTGATTACTGTTTGTGAATTGGCAAAAACCTCTGGGATTGCACAGAGAAAAAATACAGAAATCTTCTTTATTAACTTACTATGATACGATTCTTTATCAAAAGTAAGAATAAATTGTTTATATTTATTTAGTTTTCCTGTGCAAACCCCAAGCAGATTTGTAAATATCGATCTGGCTGTATAAATGTATATATAGTTTACTTGTTTGTATTAAAGCACAAGTGAAAAAAAGAAATATGGTAACCAATAACCGATGGCTAAATTGCACCCTAGTTTTTGTGTGTTTACTGATTTGTTGTTGATTTCGTTGGGATTTCTCCTAAACTTTTCCTTTTTTTCTTTCTCTCTTTTTCCCGCATTGTTTTCCCTCGATAACTGTTGCCCCACACCAAACACCACCAACCACGCTCCACTTGAAACACCACACAAACACCCTGTAAAAAATAAATCGAACCTCTGCGTCCAACGAATCCGCAATCAAAAAAAAAAAAAAAACAGGTGGTATAAACAAGCCTAAACAGCCCAAGTCCGTCATAGGTCTCTTCCGGCGAGAGAGTTCCAGTTCGAAGGCCGGAAGCGTTGGCATCGGGAGCTCCGGGGCCGTGGACAGCGCCGCCATAGCCAGTGGCTCGGATCCGATGGTGGTGCCACTGGGGGGCAACCAGCCGCCCAACGCTCCATCCACCTCGATGCACCACAATCCTCGGCTGGACAAGCGCTCCCAGTCGATATCCTCCGGTTCGCTGGGCGCCGGTGCCCATCAGCTCGGTCCGGATGGCCACTCGGGTCCGTTTCCGGTCACCGCCAGCCATCGGCGGAATGTTCGCCGGGGCTCCATGCTGGAGCTGAGCGGGTAAGTTGCGTGTCCACTTGGCCAGACACCACCAGACTACTCACCCTCTCTGTTTATTGGTTCTGTGCAGATTTCATCTAGTGTTTTTGTTTTAATTTACTGACTGAAATGGGTCTTTATATCAGATAATTTTTATTCATAGTTACACTTTCAAAAATTCATTCTTAAAAGAGAGTTCTGAAGAACTTAAAATACATTTAACAAACTTAATGACGATTTCCTAATATAGCAAATGTTGTACTTAACAATATTAATCACTTTACGGAAAATTTATTGATATATTATATAATAGACCATTTTGGTCTGATAATATTAATTTCATTCTTATTTTTATTAAATTTTCTGCTTTAATGTCTTATAGCTATAAAAAGTTTACAAAATTAATCTTAATTTCACCCAAATTTCTACCTTAAAAACCCATTTCAGTGAAAACTTTTTATTTTCGCTTGTATATACATATGATAGCTTACTAATACACTTAACAAATTAATTATTTATTTTTTAACATAAACAATTTAGATTACTCAGTAGTTTTATTATTTTAAAGTAGTAAAAATGGTCATCAAAACAAACAACAATAACAAATTTTTCGTTAAAAGAAGTATTACGTTAAAACAGAGGCCACAAATAACTTGTCCGCATGATACGCTTCTAAAAATTATTAAACAATACATCTGGTTTTTTGGTTTTCATATCAGAGTTTTCCTAAAGAATTATTCTCCCATTTACCGGCGACAATTATTCCGCTTTATTGTTGCTAATATCCACTTTAAGTCTTTGGTTGCACCTTCTTTTCGCAAAGTAAACAATCCCTGCTGTGTTTGTGGATATTTTGTGGTTGTGCTTCGTCCTGTGTCTATTATTGTGATGATTATTTTACAGACTCATTGTTACTGGACGCAGGCCCAGTAGAATTTTGCAATTAAGTTCGGGAGCAACTAATTTACTAGAGTCAGCCAAGATCACAAGTCCTTCTCCTCCACCTCCTTCTACTTCGACAACAACAAGAACAACTACAGTTAAAACAACAACAACAGCCACATCAACCACCAAGAACAACAACAAGAACACCACCACCACCAACAATTCAACAGAAACAACATCAGCAAGCGCTGATAACTCGACGCCAACTTCCCCGAGATCGGAGAATAGCGAACCATATACGAACTATCCAAAGTAATGAAACCTCTAAAACCGAATCGAAATCAAAATGTCCTGAGAAATCCAAACCGGCCATTAACGAATTTTGAGCTCTGTTAACCAAGAGACAAAGCTAAAACTCTCACATATACTAGCGAACATATGTTAACTCTAAATACTAACCACACGAACTTTATATACGAAATTTGTGTACTGTATATAGAGCCACAGATCAAAGCATATCATTATTGTAGAGAAACAGTCAGTCCCTGTAGGCTAATCCTTGCCAGCGATCTCTATATGATTTCATCTCCGCTGGACTTGGTTCTCTGTAATTAAATCGATCCTGGTGATACAATAGTCTTGCAATTGGTTTCAAATTCAAACTTCATTCTTCGCACTCACTCCACACAGATCTCTTTTTGGAACTGGCCCCACAAATTTCGCCTTATTCTACACTGTATATAACGTTGAAATTAGGATGTTGTTAATTGGTGATAGACTCAGTGCCAGGCATTCACTTTCTGCATTCGAAAAATAGTCCTGGGCTGCCTGAAATTGTTTCATTTTGGTTGCAGTTTTATAGATTAGCACCCATTTTTCCTATAAATGTTGTATAACAGTCCCCAAATGTTATAAAGCACCAACATGAAACTATTATATACCTACTTAGTTATTTAAGTTATAACTTTTGCACTTTATATGTAAGTCTTATATGTTTGTATTATTTGTGTGTTCGTTTTATATAACAGTATTGAATGCACTGTTACTTCAACTATCCGCATCCTGCCTCTCTTTCTTTACTAATTTTTAACCCAACCTCCCGCCAATGCAATGCAATTTCTTAAAAATTAACAATTAAAGAATCAAATTATTTCATAATGTCTGCTGTGCTGTGTTCCCCTGTTTTGTGAATATTCCCAATCGAAAAAACGAAACAAAATCCAACTGAATATTTAACTCAACTAAAAACTGGTTACGAAACCACATTGGTAAAAAATTTGATAAAATTAAATTGTATTTTTTAGCGGCGTATCAATCGAATCTGATTAGTCAAAAGCCAAACGAGCACAGAGCCAGAGCAATTAACTAGCTAAACTGTCCACTTAATGCACAAAGACACACAACATATCTCCACACGCACACACAAACACACACTGACACCAAACTGTTATACAGTTAAGAGCACCTGTGATAACTTTTCGTAGACACAATTTCTATACCTTAAAAAGTGTATCCTCTTAAACGGCTTTAATCACACAAACTATGTGTAAGTATTATACAAAGTATTTTTTCAGAGTGTTATACGTATAACACTGTGCTTGGGCTCGGCACATCTAACAATCGAACCCACTTAACACACCCACACTGTTCTCTGTGCTAATTCCAATTTTTACTAATTTTTCTAATTCATTCGTGTTCTTAGAAAACCCAAACAGCAGACTTAAAGAAATTGTATTGTATTACGTAGTATTACGTAGTGTAAATGTTTAGTAGAACTGTTATACTGTGCCTTAAAAAAAGTCTTCCTTATAAGCTTATCTACCATCTTCCTGTTCCATTCTATATTTGCTTATGTGCTGAAATAAATATTATTTTCTTAAATTTTACTATTTATAACCTGTAAGTTTTTTACAAAGTAATTTAGAACTCTACCTTAATTAGCCGTAGCCTCATGCTAAAACATTAACCCCAGAAAAAAAAAACGAAAACCCCAAAAACAAAATCATTAGCCAAAATTGATCACAACTTTGACATTAACTTTCTACGCCTTCTCTTCACTTCATTCCGCCATTGATTACAAATCGACCACGTACAACCACCAACCGCACACACGACACCACAACACCACCACCAACCAACCAACAGAGACACAATACCCGAGGAGTCGTCCTACCAGCACGGACACTCCAAGTCCCTCTGCGAGCCGGCGGACTCGGATGACTGGGAGGGAGCACCGCTGGCCGCCGTCGGTGGAGCGAACAGCGAGCGAGTGATGCGATCGTCCGGCAGGGAGCCCCTTCTGCCACGCCCCTCCAACACCCCGCGCGCCCAGATCCGGCGAATGAACGCGGGGGCGGTGGGCGGGGCAGCAGTTAACCAAGCCGGTCGCAAGAACCAGGTCACCAAGGCTCTGCTGGACTACGAGGACTCGGAAACGGACTCCGAGGAGAACGACGACGACGATGAGGACGAGGACTTTGATTCGTACGATGATGAGAACATCGTTGTGACCACCTTTACGACGCCGGCCACGGGCAGACGACCGGGATCCAGTCCGGGATCAGGATCGGAGGCCACGACCACCACCACCAGCATTCGGCTGACCCGCAACAACGACGAGAGCATCATTTGAAAGTCAAGCACGGATGGCGACGTGGAGGAGGAACTGGAGGAGGATCCGCCCGGAGAACCACCTTCCCATAATCCAAAACGCTCGCGGCGGATCTTGTTCCCCTACGAGATGTTCTACTAACACCCCACACACAAATTATATGACCCACTTAGTTTGTAAGCCAAAAGTTGAGAGCAAATTTGAAAAATAGTTTCCCTTAAGAAAATGGTTTAAAACAAAAAGCTTTATAATTATATTACCACAACAACACAAGAATCGGACAAAAGTTTAGATAAGGGATTAGCAAAAAATAATTGTATATAAACACAAAATTTGAACCACTAATTTCTTCTTGATCGTTTAAGTCGCTTTTTAAGATTTTTAACTTCCATTTTGTGTTTAGTGTTTAGTCCCGATCAATTGTTATTATACCTATATATTGAAAGGCCTATTTAGTGATTACAGCTAATGTGTTCCAAAATAGCAAGCAAGCAAATTAATTGTGTAATAACTAACAAAGCGTAGCCAAAGTTCTTATTAAGCCTATGACAAAAGTTGATTTTGTTCGTTTATAATTTAGACAAAGTGTACTAAATTGAAATCACATTACGAGAATGTGTTGCTAACAGTACTTAAGCGCGTACTTAGTTAAATAACATAGGAAACCGCAGAGTTTAGTTCAATTTTAGCCTTAGTTAATCAACAGTTTAAAGTAATTTCTGTATAGCCGCAGAGTCAAAACTAAAAATAATACAGCAAAGTATTTCTCAACTGAAGCTGTAAGTGCAGTTACTCAAACATTCATAGAACTTGTAGAATAACCATTTAAATGCATTTTTAAATTTAAAGTTCGCTTCGTCATTTTAATTTGACTACATTTTCCACAGAAAAATATTCACAGAGACAGTTGAGTAAATCTTTGGCTGACCTTAACTATAAAATATACACAAATCAAGTAACTAATAGTCGACAGGTAAATAAACAGAGTTATGTAATTTATAAATTATTTTTGTAAACATTTACGAACGATAAAGATAAATAACCCAATGCCGGAAATGTCAGAAAGAGCGAGAGTTTTGCGAACGATTTTGTGTGAATTTTGAGTGCGTGACTAGGATTGAGCCAATCGAAGTATAAAAAGAATGGATTAACGTGCTCAAACCCAAGTAAAATACCTAGAACTAGATGAATAAAGATAAATTCACTATGCTGACGTAGATTTGAAAATGCATTAGAAGAATAAACCCCAATTACCAGACCAGAGCGAAATGGGACACACGGAGCCAACTGAGGACACAGTAGCCAATATTCAGGATGGGAAATATTCTGGAACCTACCTACCTAAAATATTTGCGGGGACTGCTAGCGGTAATTCGTGGAAGTGGAACACATACCTACCTACTACGAGTAATATAAAAAGAAAAAAACAGAAGTATATATATTTTCTAACTCATGTGCAACGCGCCTAGTACCAAACTTTAATTTAACCTTCTACCTATGACTTAAGTAGTTTGTATTTGCATTATGTTCTATCCAAGAAATTGCCTTCTGAATATGCACACCAGATCAGATAGAATTGGTTAACCAATGGGTTTGTTTCACATTTTCATTTCTATCCGAAAGACAATAAACAGCTACAAGAGTCGCGAGATCTTGGAAATTGTCATTTCAATAAATCTTTAATAAAAAAAATCATAAAAAATCAGAGCTGTGTTATATTGTGAGCAGGTTTTCTATATAAACTGGAGTTATTCCACTGAGTTTCCGCAGTTTAGCATGGATTGTGGCATATACCATTTATATATGGGACGCTGACTCATAAATTACTTGCTTAAGAAAACTAACATTGAATTCAATTGATGACTAAATCGAGAAAGTGTTTGCAATTTTCATACCGTAGGCCTTAAGTTGTGCATACTTCAAAATTAATACAAATATTGATAGCGCAAAATAAAAATAAATTCATAGAACACACAATGCAAAACCGAAAGAATAAATTGTAAATTGTTAAACTGATTTTAAATATTGTATAAGAAAAAATTTTACTAAAAATAAAATAAAAGAAAAAAGCGAAATAATCTGGAACAAAACATGTGTAATTTTGTAGATGAAGGATATGTGTGTGTGGGCTCCTTTTCTTTTCACCAGCATTTCCAGGGTCCGAATCGTTTCTTGGGAGATTGATACTGCCAGTCAACCACCACGGTCCTGCCCACCAACCGATTGCCATGTTCTTGGACCATGGACTTAGCCATCGCCTCATTGCATTCGAATCGGACATAGGCGCATCCCATAAGTTGGCCATCACGCCGCTTTGATATATGTACCGCTTGGATAGTTCCTCGCAGATTATCCTTGGAGAATATATCCAGGTGATCACCCGACTCGGATTCGGATCCGCGCCACTGCTGCCATAGCCGAAGAATCCCACTGGATCGTCTTCTAGTGACACTTTGATCTATTTGAATTTCTGCGGGAGGAAAGTTGTAAAAGATTGAAATCCCTTTTTAAAAAATGTAAAATGTAAAATGAAAAATTCCCTTCCTATTTTAAAATTCAAAAGCATTTTGTTTGAAGTTCCTTTTATACATTTATTGCACCAAATATGTGTAATTTGTTATTTTCATAATTTAATTTAATATTTTTGGTTTTCCCTTTTTTACTTTTTTTCTAATTATGTTTGAAACTGATATATTTCAATATGTTTTATGGTATTTGTTAGTTTGGTTTTCTCAAAGAGTTCATTTTATATTTACTCGTATGCATTGTGTGTCTGTAGGAGACTCTTATAAGTTCTCCTCGGTTCGGCTTGTATATAGGTAAATATATCGATGGTCACCATTTCGCGTTTAAAGTGAGTCTCAGTGTAGGTGAGTGTGCTAATGCGTCCAGAATCCTCCTCGACGGTTATTAATCTTAAGCATTGTTTACATTAATTAACTTTCGTAACGATTAAACAAGTACGCTTATATGAGCATTATATGTATGCGGGGGTGTATATGTGGGACTCGGAATGTACGATTATCTCAATTAACATTTTCGCTTTTGTTTTTTGCTTTTCTAAAGAAATTTTAGTACTTTCTCTATATACGTAGTATGTATATGCTTAGTTTTGTGGTTCGTTTAAATTTATTAGTACATATATGTGGAATCAATAATCAACCCAACATTAGCTACATAAATATGTGTTTTATGCTTTTAGAATTTCCCCGCCCAGCCGTCGATCAATCGGGATTATTCATTCAGCTAACTGATCGGCGCTATGCGGGGCTTATAACGATTCTTTACTTTGGTTTCGTTTAATAGAGCTATAGACGCATAAATAGTCGTGGTATGCAATAACAAGTTACGATTAAGTTAATCCATGTAAGGTGACTTTTTTGGTTATCATTTTTTGAAAGGCATTCGACAGTGTTTCTTCATATGTACGAGATAGCGTAGATACATATAGTACGTACTATATATGTATGTATGTGAGTGATTTTGTTAAATAGACTAACTGTAACTAGCATAAACAGATTCGAACAGCATAACGTGGCCCTCTAAGATACTATATCTGTATATCTGTCTACCATTCCAATCGAGTTGAAAGAACGTCTCTATGTTGATTTTGTACATACTCAATTTTTACATCTCATCCATTCCTATGCTTCCGATACAGATACTTTAAACTAGCGGCAAACAATTTTAACATTCATCAGTAAGACAATAGACATTAAATAAATACAATTATGGCAGTTGAGACAAGCGCTTAAATTAGTTTTTAAATCAAGTACGTTAATCAAAAAAAGAAGTTAAGCCATTACAAATATCTTTAATATTATCAATACTGTTGCCCGTATGTGTAAGCTAATATACTCGTATCTCTCGTCATTCCATTATTCTTGCTGTCTTTATAGTTTTCATTAAGATATAAGAGAATGGTCATCATGCTTAATATTTAGTTAACAATAATTCATACTTTTCTCCCACTGGTTGGTTGGTTTACTTGAAATATATACAATTATATTCGGATATTATTGGAAAACACAGAAAACCATCGTTATAGATACTATATGCGTATGTGTAGTAGCATTTGGGGGAAAAAACTTTTGAATATTCTGGTTGTCGATCGATAAACACATCTAATACAACGAAATTGTAACCGTCATATGATATCCCTATGTATTTTGTTGTTACCAAATGCATGTTACTATATAAATCCTTTAAAACGTGACTTATTAGATTTCGGTTGTATCTTTCGTTTGATTTGTTACGAACATGAGAGCATTGTTTGATTCTATGAATGGCTTCAGATGAGATCTGTTTACTAATCCTATCAACAAGTTAGGGAAATCTCACATCGAAGAGGATATAAACTTTGTAAAAAAACGTCGAATGGCAAACTTTTATGGTGAACAATGTAAATAGCCAAAAGTTGGGCTTTCTAGAACACGAATTCCGGATAGGTAGTTACGGAGGATATTGATGCTGCTGCTGCTGATCTTAAGATATAACCCAATTCCCAATGGATCGTGTAGATTTGTTTGCAAGCGAGTGCCTGATACCGCTTAAAGGCCAAAGCCGAAGGGTCGTTATACGTTTCCTGTTGGCAGTTGAAATCGAAATCGCATTTAATTGGTTTACTTTATATACAAAATACAAATAATGCAATACAAAATACAAAATATAAATATGCAGACTAAATAAATACATCAATTAACACTAGAGATTGGCTAAACGAAAAAGAGAGAGGGCGCCAGTAATAAACTTAGGTGTAGATCTAAAAACTAAATAATCACAATTAACAAATAGATACATCGTGGAAATATTGCAACACAATAACACTGAACATAAGATAGATTTGTTTTTTATCGATAGCGACAAGGCGAGAAATAATTGGCATGGCTTATTCGATATCAAGAAATAATAACATATGCATGTGGAATGTGGGTATAGAGAGCTACGCTTGGCAGAGAGCTGGAGCTGCAGTTGTGAGATTCACTGCTTGGTGGTGCCATTAGCTTTCGCTGGCTTACCGGACGTCACGAAGGGGCCCACATAGTTGCTGGGGAACAGGCCGGAAAGGCCGTTTAGCTCGCCGCGCCACCACTCCGGCTCATCCCGACCCAGGACGCTAATAATGTCGTCCTTTTCGAACGACAGCTCGTCGTCATTTTGTGCCTTGTACGGATAGAGAGCTATGACCTTGTCTGCAAGGGTTAACAAACGCAGTGAATCATCTAATAAAAGTAATAGTAGTTCATGTTTATTACCCAAGATCTGCTCGGTCATCTCGATGCGACTGCCGGAGACGGGAGTGTTGCGTCCGCTGTTGCGTCCTCCCTGGAGAACCTTCACGTAGGTGGCCGGGAACCAGCCAATCTGGCGGCGACGACCCTTGGCCTGCAGCTCGCCCTCCCACCAGCCGGAGTCCGTCTTCTTGCGGATCATGATCAGCTGGCCCCGCGTCAGCGACAGCTGCTCGGTGCTGGTAGCCTCATAGGGAGCGATGACTTGCGCAATCTCCGACCGCTTGGCTCGCATGCCCTGCAAGATGGTGACCAAAAGAATCGGATTAATCAAGAGAAACCACATTTGGGGGGCAGTAACAGGCGGTGTCAACTATTTACGGGTGTCATGGAAGAGGTGCGTGACATGGGGCGGCTGTAGCTCTCGGCCGGTTCGCTGCTTTGTGTCTTGGACTGTGTATTGATCTGGGAAACTTCAGTGTCGAGGTCTTCGTGCGCCTCCTCGGCGCCAACGCCCGGGCTCGCGATCGGCTGTTCGCTGTGCTCCTGGACAGACTGCGGCTGGAACAGCTGCTGCTGCTGTGGCTGCTGCTGCTCCTCCTGGGTCTCCACGGGAGCAGCGGAGTAGGCAGCGTTGCCGTTCAACGTCGTCTCCTGGGTCAGTGCAAGTGTAACGACAACGGTGGCAAAAAGCACAGCACATGAAAAGCATTGGATTAGTAGATGGACATGAGGGCAACGGTTAGACACGACTCTGGACATTGGGGTTGTGAACAAGGTAAACGTTAACTAAATTGTGGGTTCAACCAAAAAAAAAATATGCTTTTTAAACCTGTTGTTTACATATGATCTCAAAATATGTTTTAAAATCTTATTTTTACAAAACTTGAACACACCAACATTTTTTTAAACTTAGCACACAATATAATATTTAAAGCAAATTATTATTAAATAACACGAAAATACTTTGGCTTCTTAAAGTTTTTATACAATTTATTTAAAGTTAACGTTTTGTTTTTAACCTTAGTAATTGAACATTTTTGGTGTTGTTTATTGGCAGCGTTTTTTTCTCGTTTTTCATAAAAGCTTTTGCAAAGCATAAACAAAAGGACTACAAATATATCTACGAACTCGTCCAGCATATGGACCCACACACAACAACTTAAGAGTGTTAACTATGCACTCACCTGATCCAGGGCTTCAACCGGATCCGCAGCCGCCGTGTTCGCCGTGCCGACGTCCGCTTTCTGAACGTAATTGGAGGGGAACATGCCGGTGCGACTGCCAATGGTGCCCGTCCACCACTCGCCCTCCTTCTTGATAACCATGACCATCTCGCCGGCGCTGAAGCTCAGATCGCCCTCCTCGGCGGATTCATAAGGATAGGCGGCTATGTAGTACTCCACATCACCGGCGGCACTCGGATCGGCGGAAGCAGCCGGAGCCGCGCTGGTGTTGATATTGTCATTGTAGGTGTCCGCCACGGATGCCTGTTGGGCCACCACCTCTGGTTCGACGGCTGCTGCGGGAGCAGCACCACCATCGTCCAGCTTCTCCACATAGGACTCGGGGAACCAGCCGGTGTGGCCGTTGATCTCGCCAGCCAACCAGCCCGGCTCGGCGTTCTGCTCCAATGGCACCAGGATTATGTCACCCGGCACGAAAGTAATTTCCTCGGCGTTGCGCGCATTGAACTCGTACACTGCCTGGTATTTCACGAATCCCTCGGGAGCCGGTCCACTCAAGTCCACAGCCGGAGCTGCGGCTACGGCGGAGATGTCGTTACTCATGCCTGCATACGGATCGGCGGCAGTTGTGTCCGTAGCTCCCCAGGCACTGGAGCTGCCCGTGTCCCAAGCCGAGGTTGCGCTGCTCGTCTCGTTCTTGCGGTTGTACTTCAATTCCAGCACCGCGGTGCGCTGCACATCGTAGTCCTTGTACAGATCCTCGCACTTGGTGATCAGAGCGGAGAGCTCGTCCTTGAGCTCGGTCATCTGCGCATCGTTGGAGTTGATGTCCTCCTTCTTCGACTCAATCTCCTTCCCAATGTTCTCGACCTTGTCTTTGATTTGGTTTATAATCAACTGTTGAATGGAGAATTATATGATTAGAATAGAAATATAGGTTTATTAGCAAGCCATCTCTATTAACTCACCTGCTTGTGGGCAAAAGCCGCGTTCAGTTGCTCCTGCTGCGCATTCTCGCCGCCCAAGGCAGCACCGCTGGCCTTGCTCTTGGCATCCCACTTGGCCCGCTCCTGGGTGAGCTGCAGCAGCTTGGCGTTCTGCTCCTTGATGCGCGCCTTCAGCTGCGACATTTCGGACATGGAAGTGTCGCGCTGAGTGCGCATGCCATCGATTACCGTCTTTACATTGGTCACGCCAGCGCGAGTGTCGCAAATCCTCTGCGAAAGGTCTTTGATCTGGGAAAGCAGGAAAAAGTGAAGTAAGATTTATAATTAAAAACTTTATTTAATCCTTACCTTTTCATTCAGTGTGCTCAGCTCCACATTCAGCTGTGTGTTGTGTGCCTTTTGCTTGAGGACACGCTCCTGTTCCCTCTCCTTCTGTGCGTTCATCTCTGCAATTCTAGCCTGCTCCCATTCCTGCTGGCGCTGCTTTTCCAGTTCCCTGAAAATATATCGAACAATTTAATACTTTATAGCTGAATTATAATTTGATTTGTTTACTTTCTGGCCGCCTCTTTGGCTTCAAGTTCCCGCTTGCGTTGCTCCTCCTTCTCCAGTTCAATCTCTCGCTGCCGCTGAAGCTGTCGTTCCAGTTCCTCCTGCTGCTTCCGCTCGGCCTCCAAGCGAGCCTTCTCCCGCTTGTCCGCTTCGTCGCGCTCCTTGCGCTCCCGCTCTTCTCGCTCCTTGCGCTGCTGGTCCTCCATGATCTTGCGCCTGCGATCGAGCTCCGCCTGACCCTTGACATAGTTCTCCTTGCGCTTGTCCTCAAAGGATGCTACAAAAACAGGGAAATTAATTTGCTAGATATTTAATATTGATATTTATTAGGCAGTTTAAAGAACTTACTTTGCCCGGGCAATCCGGCTGTTGGGTCAGCATCCACGGCTCCCACTCCGCCCTGCGACGACACGGAGGCGTGTCGGGAGGCGGGCTGCGAGCCAGGTCGTGACACTACCCCAGAAACCGATCCCGGCCGCGACTTAATCTTGCGCAAGTTGGGCGGCACCCAGTCCGGTGGCAAAGTAACAGGGATCTTTTCACCACTCATGGCCTTCTCGCACAAGAACATGGCCAGAATGAACTCGTCGCAGTTGAGCCGTCCATCGCCATCGATGTCGGACAGTGTCCAGATCTGGGCCAGCGTCACTTGCGGCAGCTTGCTCTGCACCAGAACGCCGCGTGCCTGGGCTCCGGTCAAGTATCCGGATCGAGTGCGATCATTGGCATTGAATACCTGCGTGTATTTGCGCTTTTGGGCAGCTGGAACGGCCCATTCACCTTGCCTGCAGGAATATAGATAAAAGATACATTTTACTATAAAACCATACTCTCTCTATGATATAAAAATTTGTATATCAGCATTAATACGTATAACCTTCATTTACCAAAGTCCAAAAACCAGTTTCTTAATTTTCAAGTTTGTTTATCTACAATTAATTAATTTATCTCTACTGAAAGAGAAATTACGTTTTAAAAGGAAGATATAATTAGACTTTAACTTTTAAAAAACTAAACAATACGAGTCAAATTATTCAAGAATTCGTAAACAAGTCAGATAAAGAAATGATTGCTCAGCGTGTTTTTATGCACAAATGCTAGGGTTTCTTAAGCCAAAAATGCTTACACAGACTCGATGGAGGGTGCTCGCTCCGAGATGGACATGTGTCGACTGGGTGGGTTGCTGGAAGGCGGCGTTGGGACCGCCGGAACCTTGGCCAGGTCGACGACGCCAGGTGGCGAGATGATGGCAGCCGGGGCAACCTGAGGTGGAGGGGCCACCACGGGAGCAGGAACCACTGCGGCAACGGGAGGCACCATTCCCTTGAGCGGATCCAGAGGGCTCATCGAGCTGGTGGAGCCACGTGGCGTCATCGAGGGCGTCTTCTGGCCATCGCCGGCGAGGGAGGCCAGCAGGCTGGGCGGCAAGACCTTGGGCACGTCCATGCCGCGCAGCTTGAGGTTGATCAGCTTGCAGGCTATGCTGAACTCGTTAATGTTCATCTTGCCATCGGAATCGGTGTCCGCCAGAGCCCTGCAGATAAGCGAATGTGAGTAAGTGATGGAGCGCTTATCGCCCGATGAGTCACGGGGCGTATGCACTCACCAGATCTGACCCAGGATCAGCGGCGGCAGCTGCGACTGCAGGAAGAATCCCTTGGCCTGGGCGCCGGTCACGAATCCTGCCTGCGGTTGGAGCGCCTTGAACTGCTCCTGGTACTTCAGTCGCTCCCTCGGGGTCACCGCCCACGCATCCACCGCCGGATTCATTTTGGCCAAATACCCACGTTATTCTTTATCCTAGTTTCCCCAGAAAAGCTCTGCTTCGTCCTTTTCGGCTTGCGTGTGTATTGCGCGAAAGTGTATGTGCTTGGTGCGCGCTCTCTTCGGCCGCTTTTACATCCAGTACATGCTCTGCCCGCTGCGCACTCTCTTCGCCGCTCTCTTTACTACGACTATCGCCTATTGAGTATCCGTTTTGGCACCCACCACCCCACAAATTTTCACAATGGATTTTTATGGTTTACCTGCAATGCAATTGCGAAAAGATTATTAACCGATCACACAGACATCGTATTCGATATTCGAATGGCTCCCCTTGCGAGTGGGGAACGCTTTTTATTTTCGCTATAGTAGGCGTTTTCACTGGGTAGTCCAATTGAATGTTGACTGCTGATAGGCGATACCACGGTGAACGCACTGCCAACGCACTCGCTTTTCTCTTATCTATCACTTTTAACGGTTATTTAAGGGCTTACTTTGCATCGGAACAGGAAAAAAATTTTATTTCAATCAATAGTCGGAACCGGTGTGACCGTCGCTTGTTTTTGTAAATTTTCACTAGAAGTGCTGGAAAGCGCTAAAGCGAAATAGTTGCCCCTTCTAAGAATCATTATCGATTACTGACCGTTAGAAACATCAAATTTAAATTGAAAATTTCAAAATCAACTTTGATGAATAATCATTATAGTAAGGGCACAATTTTATTTACGTCTTCTAGAAAAGGGACTAGGTATTCTTTATTTTCTCTACATCACCCCTAATCTCGAAGCAAGCGGACGTTGGTCGCTTTACGTTCATATCTTCGAAAGATTCTATGACGATCACCGCCTTGTAACGACCATGGAGCTGGGGGCCAAAAATGTTTTCCACCTGCAGTTTCATGATAAAAGGATTGTACACAATAATAGCCTGAAATTTAAAACCATATATGTATGTAGTAATAAGTTTTAGGCACAGAGCTGCGGTACCCACGTCCTTTGTCATCAGACACTTATCCCTCAACTCATCTGGGTTAGCAGTGTTTTGGAACAGGGTTTTGTAGCAGTAAGTGTTTTTATCAAACATCGCCGTGCAGAGATCGTAGGTATGGACACTAAACACAGTTGGGTCCCAGGTGCCTCGGTTGAAGTGGAAAATATTTACCCTGGCCTAAAAGAAGCAGATCGTGAGTTCATTTAACTTATTTTGAGCAGGAATCAGGTAACGGAAAGCCGATCCGAGCGCGGAAAGCTCCAGAGAGTAGTGACATTCCCCGAGACGTGAATTCCATCGGGTGCTATCTCGGCGTCCAAGTTGCTCAGATCGAAGGCTTCGTCAAGCGAAATCGATTCCGGTGGTCCGTCGGTGCACGGTGAATATAGTTCCTCAAGAATCACCATGTAGTCCGTGGCCCAGATTCCGGACACGGTCACAACGAGAATTAGAAGAATCGCAAACATTTTTAACTGCCACCCGCCAGCTAATCCGAGCTTATTTATAGCGATTATTGGTAGCTGGAGCAATTACATTAATTATAAACATTACAATGTCCCGTAATCCGAGATGTCATCACGTATTCGCTTTGCACGCGGGCAGATAATCTGCCGCGATAACTACAAGCAAACTTTATGTTTTAAAATCCTTAGAATAGTTGTGTTAATTTGAAATAAACCAAAACAAGTACAAGTATCCAACAAGTACTCGAACTAAGCGGCATTTGCCCATATATATTATAAATAGGACACTGTTAGTTGAAATAAATCACTAAAGTTGATTTCCGAAAATCTGACCGCTGAACGACCGCGGCTATCTTTGGTTATTGCATTCGCTAGAGAAGAATGATGTCTTCGCTATGGGTGCGTTTAATAGGTTAGCGAAAGAGGCGAAAGCGCCTCCAGCGGACGAGAACGGTACCATTGAATAAGTGTTCACACCCATCATCGAGTTTCACGACTTTGAATTGTAAAACATCGATACATCCGTTTGTCAGATTGTGGTTTTTCTCTACGGTCATACTATCCTTTCTTTTTCGACCACGTGCTGCAATTGGTGGTAATGTCCGAAGCGTGCTCAAATTATTTGCCGAAACTCATGTAACAAAATGTCGGAAACTTCAGAGGACGAACAGGCGCAGCTGCAGACCAGCGACGAAGAAGAGGAGCAGCTGAGTGGCGAAGAGGATGAGGAAGATGGTTCGGGAGCAGAGGATGATGAGGATGAGGCTGCGGAAAGCGGCGAAGAGGAAGGAGAAAGTGGCTCTGAGGCGGAGGACGAGGAAGCCGGGGATCAAAAGCTGACCTGGAAAGATCTCGTATGTGTGACGCTCCAAACTGACTCTTCGGGCCCCCTCTAAGGCTTTCGTTTACCCCCAGGGTCTCAATGAGACTTTATGCCAGGCATGCGATGAACTGAAGTGGAAGGCACCTTCAAAAATCCAGCGTGAGGCTATTCCGGTGGCTCTGCAGGGCAAGGATGTCATTGGCCTGGCGGAGACGGGTTCCGGCAAAACTGGAGCCTTTGCACTGCCCATTTTGCACGCCCTGCTCGAGAACCCGCAGCGATATTTCGCTTTGGTTTTGACGCCCACGAGGGAACTGGCCTTCCAAATTGGCGAGCAGTTCGAGGCGCTTGGTGAGTTTGCCAGTTTTTTTTTTTGGTTGTAGCATGTCGCTTATTACCTACACCTCGCAATGATGTTAACCCTGTTTTGATTTTGTATACCAACGAAAATATGAAAATATTATTTCTTTATTCGTCACTACCTCTGAGTTAAACCCAAATCGCTTAGTTTTAATCCCCTTATTTGCACAAGGCAGTGAAACTAAAGCCAGCTTACTTGTTTTCCAGGCAGCAGCATTGGCATCAAGTGCTGTGTGGTCGTCGGCGGCATGGACATGGTTGCCCAGGGTTTGCAGCTGGCCAAGAAACCGCACATCATCATTGCCACGCCAGGTCGTCTTGTCGATCACCTCGAGAATATGAAGGGCTTCAACCTAAAGGCCATTAAATATCTGGTCATGGACGAGGCGGATCGGATTCTCAACATGGACTTCGAGGTGGAGCTAGACAAAATTCTAAAGGTTCTGCCCCGCGAACGACGCACTTTTCTCTTCAGTGCGACCATGACCAAGAAGGTGAAGAAACTGCAGCGCGCCTCGCTCAAGGATCCGGTGAAGGTTGAGGTGTCCAACAAGTACCAGACGGTAGAGCAGTTGCAGCAGTCATATCTGTTTATCCCAGTCAAATACAAGGACGTGTACCTGGTGCATATCCTCAACGAACTGGCGGGCAACAGCTTCATGATCTTTTGTAGCACCTGCAATAACACGGTTAAGACAGCCCTCATGCTTCGGGCATTGGGACTGGCTGCCATTCCTCTGCACGGTCAAATGTCGCAAAACAAGCGACTGGCCGCTTTAAACAAATTTAAGGCCAAGAACCGGTCCATTCTCATTTCCACCGATGTGGCTTCTCGTGGTCTGGACATTCCCCACGTGGATGTGGTGGTGAACTTTGACATACCCACGCACAGCAAGGACTACATCCACCGAGTTGGTCGAACTGCGAGAGCGGGACGCTCCGGTAAAGCCATAACGCTAGTCAGCCAGTACGACATTGAACTGTACCAGCGCATCGAGCACTTGTTGGGCAAGCAACTGCCGCTGTACAAGTGCGAGGAGGACGAGGTGATGGCCCTCCAGGAGCGAGTGGCCGAGGCCCAGCGCACTGCCAAGCTGGAGCTGAAGGATCTGGAGGACACGAAAGGTGGCCGGGGCCACAAACGGGGCGGGGACAACCACGACGATTCGGAGCACTTCACGGGTGCCCGCAAACGCATGAAGCCAATGGGAGGCGGTGCTGGTGGGAACCGAGGAGGTGGTGGTGGTGGAAAGAAGGGGGGCTTCGGCAAAAAGAACTGGAACAAGGGCAAACAAAAGAGATAAAACAGGCCTAGGTTTTAGTTAAGTCTCGATTTTAACTAGTGTTACTCTATTTCATAGTAAAAAATAAATATACAAATAATAAACAAAACAAACCATTGAACGAAATATTGAACTTTTCATTTATTGTTTCATCTTTGTAAATATAAATTTTAATTAACCTATTAATACATTTAAATGAGTACTGTTTATAATGTCAAGTGAAAAACTGAGATTCAGCTAAATGTCAAAAACAAAATTAATTGATAACCGGCTCGTATCAAAAAAAATTACATTCGCTTACGTTGCGTGCCTAAACTGTTCGAGTAGTCACAATAGTTATGAAAACTATTGTTGCCATTTAAGTGATAAGCGTCCCTTGGTGGATCTCCAAAACTAGATGCTAAGGTGTTTCTTCGGAATGGCGGACACCGCTGACCAGCAGCAGGGGCCGACAATAATAAGGGAGAACCATTATTTGTTGCAGTGGGTTGCAGTCCTTGACTGGGATTCGATGTATGACGATTCGATGTATGACGATTCGATGTGGTAACTAGAAGCGACATAATAGCTGCATTATTGCATATCTCCTCTGGATGCAGGACTATTAAGGCAGACGCTTTTGAGAACTTGTCTCCCTGATCTACAGAGTATTGAAGTATGGTTGTCAGAATATCCAATGGTATTGCGAAGTTATGATCCTTGTCCAACTCCATCAGATTGTCGAAATAATCGTCCCAGTTGGCGTAGGCCAGTATTCGAAGTATTGTCAGCGTCATCTCCCTGAACTTTTGCGCTTTGCTTGGCTGCCACACGTGCTCCATTATACAGGCCACGGCCTCCTTCTGCATGCCGCAGTTTCTGAGAACTGCATACACGTATTCCACTAGCGGGGCAGAGCAGACTTTGTAGAGCTTGCAGTCGGTTATCATATTCAGCAGCTGCTCCGTGTTCTGCATACGCTCGAAAATGTCCACGAACGAGGTGAAGTACGTCCTGAAGAGTAAGAAGCTTCGCCGAGACTGTCGGTAGACGGCCAACAGTGTGGCCTCCTCCATCCTAACCATACGGCTCTGGAACACGCCCATACTGTGCAACGTGTGATCGCAGACAAACGATGAGCAATTGTGATCGACAAATTGCATACACTTGACGCCAAACACGTCCATTTTCAAGGAGACAAGCTTTCCATCGCTAACCGAGACTGTCGACTCGCGGATGAGTTGGTGTCCGCTGGCACTACCCATTGGAGCCGTCACTTCGTGCGTAACTCGATACGGTGGAGCAAACACCGGCAGAGGTTCTTTCGCCCGCCGAGAAGCGGTTGCATCTTCCCGTTGCTTGCGAGTGGTTTCCGCCACCGAAACCTCAATCAGCGGCGGTGGCACAGGTTTGGCTACTGGAGTCTTTTTCTTTTCCAACTCTTCCTGCTCATAAAGGGATTTCATGACTGATGGCTGTGCTTTCAGTTGCTCAGCGTTTAATTTTGGTATTTTAAAAGAATTTTTGTTCTGAATTTTTGGCGTTTCCGTTTTTCCAACTGGCTTAATACTTTCTTTGATGGAAATTATCTTTCCTTTCTGTTCGGTAATTTTCTTTGTCTCAATCGGTTTTTGCTCAGGTACATCCTCTTCCTCTAGCCCATTCCAGGAGGCAGCCACCGACAGCACATCGTCGTCGTCATCCTCCTCGTAGTCAAGCTCTTCGTTTTCGGCCACGAGGATGTCCAACAGATCGGGGTTATCCTTCTTGATCGAAGGCAGACTTGGCAACTTCTCGAAGAACTCCGAAGTGTGGGCAAGCTGGCTATCAATTTCGCTGGGTGTTTTATTGTTCAAGTTCTCCAGAAAGCGGTCAATCTCCTCCACTTCACGGAAGAGATCTAGCGGCGTATCGAAAAGCTCAATCTCATCGGCCACGTTATCGTTTTTCAGATGAACCTCATCCCCAGTGGAACACGTAAGTTGCATAGGGGTATTGTCCACGAGCATATCTTCCATGTCAATCAATTTGGGCACGACTCTATTCTTTTGGATCTTGATCTTACCCACCTCCCCACACCAATCGTAGTTGTGCTCGACGAGATGGCTGGGTCTTTGATGCGACTGAACTTTGGATAAATTGATGGCAGTTGGCGGTTTGTGGGCTGGTACCGGCGAAGTTTCGAAGCTTATCTGTGGCAACAAAAGGAACTTGTTAGGTAATGTAAAATCCAGATAACTGCTTACTGCATTTACGCCAACATTAGACAGGGTCCTTCTCTTACGCGGCGCTGGGTTGACGGAGTCCTGCCTTTTCCTCCGGAGTCTAGGTTTCCCTGGCTGCTTTCCAGATGATTTTGTCAAGTTCTGTGGCTGCTGAATGTCTTTCTTTTTGTTACCTGGAGGCTTAACTTTCTGCTGTGGCGTCTCGATTGTTGTCGACGGAGCTTCTTTTAAATGATCCGCCGGTGGGTCTCGAGGAGGCGTTGAATAAAGTTTCACTCGAATCTCTTTTAACTTATTTTTTTCAGTTTTTTGCAATGGTTTTAAGGGCAGCTTCTCCGTTATTGATTTAGTTGATGAACGCTTTGCTGAATCCTTTTTCTGCTTGATTATGCTCGAATTAGGCGCTATGTTTGGAGAATCATTGGGCAGTAGGTCTTCGTTGGGTTCCGGTTCCGCCTTTAATTGCTGATCTTTCTCGTGAAGCGAGAGACGTCCTCCTTTACGCTTCAGTGGCAAAATTGCCGAACAAGCAAGATTGTGCTCAGCTTCCTCCACTTTGATATCGTTGGGCAAGGGTAAGGGGATCAATTTCTTTTTTTTCGGGGCTTTCAACCAGGTGGAGAGTGGCAACTGGTCATTCAAATCATCACTCGAGCCCCCTGAAAGCTGTTGATTACCAATCTTAATTGTATTGACTGGCGTTTCCCGGCCTTTCAAGGGTTTGGGTTCTATAAACAGAGAAGCTTCTGAGGGAACACAAGTATTTCTACGCTTCATGTTATTCGTTGAAGACGATCGCAGTTCGCGGAGATTGTTTGCAATAGGAGAAATACCACCTATGGAAACGCAAGTATTCCGGCGCTTGGTTACTTTAGAAGCACTCGAAATAGAATTATCTTTGGAAGCACCCAAATTTGGCTCCTTAATAAGATTAAATAAAAGAACATCTCCTGAAGCATCTGAATCCCGCTTCTTGATATAATTCAATACTAGATCATCTTGGGAAGCACCAGAATCCCGCTGCTTAATGGAATTCGAATTGGGAACATCTTGCGAGCTACTGGAGTCATGTTGCTTGATCAAATGCAATGAGAAGGGATCTTCTGATGAAACAGAATCTTTCTGTTGAGCAGGAGCTTCTGGGGATGCACTTGATTCCCTGAGCTTGGACGAATTTGAGTCGGCAGAATCTAAGGGAGCACTTGAATCTCGGGGCTTTGTGTGGATCAAGACAAAAGCATCTGGCGAGACACATGAATTTTGGCACTTTATGGAAATCGATATTTGAGCATCTGGAAGTTCGCATGCACTTTGATGCGTAAAGTTGTCTGAGGAACCACCTGAACATTTAAGTTCATTAGCTGGTTGACCTGAGGAATCCGTCAACTTTCTGGGACCAATTTTTTCAGGAGTTTTGGAAGTACAGTCCTTCCTGGAATCAAGATCGGGAGTTTTAGGAGTGAATGCGTAATCATGTTTTTTGGAATCAGCATCAAGTTTGTCAGCAGCAACAATATGATGGACAGCTGAATCCCGACGCTTGCTTGCTCTACGAGTTTCAGGAATTTCAGGCCGAGGTGAAACCGCAGAGGCATTACAGCTTTTTGTGGAATTAGCAGGTAGAGTGGAATTTTCCGCATTTTTCGCCACTGCTTTGAGGGGTCTTTCTGTCGAATCCTTGATAGACTTGCACTTGTTTTTCTGAGGCCTTGAAGAGTTCTAATGATGAAAAAAAATGAGCATTCTATATTTTGGCGGAAAAAGTTAACTTACGTTGGAGCTGTGAATGAAATACTGATTTTTAAAACTCCCTAAGTAAGCGTTGTAAATGTCCTTCCATTCCTCTTCCGTATTGGATTTAGTGCCCAAAACGGTTATAATTTGCTGCCAACAACTCATTGTTTCTCGAACTTTCCATAATAATTTACTTTTTTTTGAATTCACCTCCATTAAGCCACGCGTTTGCAAGTTTGCCGTTTCCTTTTTTCAGTGTGGCCAGCCACTGCATGGCGGGCACTCAATAAATACTGGAAAGGCTATGGCACTAAAACGGTTAAACAAAATAAATTCAACAATTTTTGTTCTCAATAAACAACAAACTTGTATTGTTTCAACGAAAATGTAAGTTGATTTTTATATTACTAAGAATGTTTATGGAGTAACAAACAATTTCGTGCTTTTTAGTTTTTTAACTTTATGCGACGACTTTTAAAATCTAAAATTTCCTTTTAAAGCACTAAGGTTGTTTTTAAAAGATATATCACTTATAACAAGCAGCACCCCAAAATAAAATTTTTTTTAACCCTTTGCAGTTTAAAATGTGTAAACAAACACACACGCTACAATGTGTGCTTTTATGAATTTATTGGTTTTGCTGTTAGTCTGTCGAAATTACAAGGAATTAAACTAATTAAAACTTCTAGACGAACGATATAGAGAAATCAAAGTCAGAATTGTACTAATCATAAATATTTGCACAACGCATGCGGCCAGTTGCAGTCGTAAGGCGTAAGTCTCGACCCGCAGTTAGGAGCACTGTACGTCGAACAGCTCGCAGATGCCCTCGTCGCTTTTTAGCGCAAAGTTAAAGTCTTCCTGGGGTGGATTCAGTTGCACCAACGGCGGGTTTTCTGCAAAAACGGGGAAAACCATTAGCTCCAAGATGCTATATAACATGTTAAAGATAACACCAACCTAGATTCGGATCATCGGGATAAAATCGACGTAGCGAGTGCCCGGACAGGTAATTTTGGAAGATGATCTTTGCCGTCAGCTCGTTCTCCAGTAGCTTCATTTCGTCCTTCATCTCGGGGTTGCAAGAGTACCCATGCTCGTCGGCGATAACGTTCCCCGTGCCTCCTGCAGCACCATCTTCGCTGGAGTGTGACGACGTTGAGGGTGAGGGTGTGTCCAAGCGGCGATAGTCGAAGAACCCGTCCGCGTCGTTTGGATTTGTTGTGCTCTTGCCCTGGTTGGTCACCAGGCGAATGTCTATTGTGCTGCCATTATCCAGTGATACGGCCAATTCGTACTGCAAAACGCAAGCAGGTGTTTAAAATTGTTCACCTCTTATGCTAATTTTGTACAGGCTCGACAAAAACAAGCTAAACATAACTCACATGATTGCGCTGGATATCCACTTCCTCATCATAGTTCGGTATGGTGAATACCGAATCATCTCCAAAGATGTTCAGCAGATCGTCACGAGTAACATAAGCATAGGAGCGATTCGATGGATCCTGCATCACGTAGCGCAGGTTTCGTTGTGCGTACTCCAGTTGCTTGTCCAGGTCTTCTTCCAGCTGTTTTAAATGATTGGTCCGGTTACGTGCCATGTCGTAGTCTTCCTGGTCCTTGGCATTGTTAAAGCCCCCCGCCGCTAAAAGTAAATATTTTTCTGTTATTTGTTTCTAATTACCGTTTTTTTAAGGGAAGTTAATCATCGTTTTTGTTAAGTTGTTAAGTACAAAAGGTAACTATTCTGCCTTTTTTCGGAAACTATGTCAATTTAAAATGCAATTTACCCATACATTATAACTAAAAGTTAATTCCTTATAAGATTAACTGAATTAAAGACGAAATCCACCTTACGTCAACGATATTTCCTTCCCTTCATCTACATTTAAAGGTAATTTCAACTTATCAGTTCGAGTTGGCTGAATTTGCCCCAAAATGCAAATGAGCACCTACCGCCAGCGCACTAGGGAGCAGTGTCTGCCTTTATCTATCAGTCCAATGCCCTCCAAAACATTGGTAATATCGTAAATTCGACGCTTCTGCACGTCCAAGATTTTAGTGGCCTACGAAAGAACGGTGTTTAAAGAATGTATTTTAAATTTAGCCGAGATCCTACCGCTTTTAAATCGATGGTCCCCCCGTTAGCCTTCATTAGCTCCACAAACTTTTGGGTGAGCAGAACCAGCGAGCCTACGGAACGCTGTTGACCGGGCTGTGACTGAGATTGGGATTGCGACGGGGACTTTATCGGCGTGGGTGGATCCGGCGATGTTTCCATTTTGACAGACGCGGTCTCGTACGATACCGACTTGGCTGGAGATGCATCCGCTTCCACGTTGCCAGCGCCCATCATCATCATAACCGTGGAGGAGGTTCCCACTACGGAGCTGCTGTCTCTTTTAACAATACTCGCTGTTTTGCGCTTGTACATAGTCCGAAATCAATTTGATTATTCCTTTCGCGATCTGGTAACTCCTTGTGTGCCCGCACCTGCTGCGCAATGATCAATAACCTGGAATAAGTTGTAGTTTGGAGCGAAAATTAAACGAAAATACGAATGTTGGCGCTAGGTTTGCTTTCCGCCATTTATGTCACTTTTTTCATTCTCTTCTCCTTCTTTGTACACAGTGTGGCAAAGTGACGCGGCACAGGCCGATAGTTCATCGATTAATCGATATGCACGCACTGAACAACACTTACTTGGAGTTTGAACTTCGCAAACTGCATTTCCTTATTTACTTATGTTCGGTTTATTTTCACATGCTAGAGCAATTCAGCTCTTCTGGATTGAATGGGGCCTTACTCTGCACTTGGTCCAGCTGTTCTTACAACTACATGTCGAGTATTTTTTTTCTCAGAAACAAATTATGGCTGATCTGCTGCAAATCAACTCGAGTAACCCAAATAAACCAAAGCATAAGTTGAACTGTTATTACCTCACAAAGATTAGCTATTTGTTTTTCCTTATACTCCGAATAAATGGAACATTCTCGGAAAGTTTCTAACTCCTTGATTTGTTTGAATTCACATTTGAATTTTATTCTATCCTTTTCAAAAACTTGGCTTTCCGATTACTTCTACCCCTTAAATTAAAAAAAAATCTTAAAAATGTAGTCAAAATCTGTTTTAAGTCCAGGAATGAAGAGTGTAAGGAATGTAAAGTAGCTTTTATAGGTCTTAAGGAAATATTTTTGATATAAAATATGAACTCATATTTGTAATTTTCTGCTAAACTTATTAAAATTAAAGATTTCGTTGGTAGAAAAGATTTACACAGCTAGGCTGCCGAGTTATACAATTCAGTAATGTTTTTTTCTAAGAAACAATTTTAAAGTATATTTTAAAATATCGCTAAAACACGAGGGCGCGCCACGTTTCTTGGCCGCAAAAGGGCCGCTTTGCAACACTTGCATTTTTTCTTCTTTGTTTTGTTCGCTCTTTCTGCTTGGAGAAAAAAACAACGTGCCGCGGTACACCTTATTTTGAGGGTGAAAAGTATTCCTATATTGTCGTCATTGAACGTTGAATTGAAAAAATGCCATCTAAATCAAAGCCCCGACTTTCGCGCGGCGTCCTGGACATGAAGTTCATGCAGCGGACCAAGGTCAAAGTGGAAAAGGAGGCGGATGACGAGCAAAGTCGGGCGCTTTACTCTAACGAGATCAACCAGAAGATGCTCAACTCCAACTCGAATTTTCTTGTTGAATCCAGCTACTCTATTTGCGCCGGTCTAATCGATGGACGCCTCAGTTTCCGGGGCATGAATCCTGAATTGGAGCTGCTAATGGAGCAAGAGCTAGCCGAGAAGCAGGGGCGCATGAAGCCGGAGCAACCAAAAGAGGTTTCCGACCAGGACATGGCCAAGGCCTACTATGCTAACAAGGCACCCACGGTCACCGGCAGCATGGGCAAGAAGTTTAGTACCAAAAAGAATTTCAAAAGGAAGCAAAACGATGAAGGGCATGGGAGTCCGCATCCCAAAAATAAACAACATTTCAAGAAACCACGCTCGGATGAAGATTAGTTTATTCCTTATTTGTTATACATTTAACCTAGCTGCTAGTTAAATAAAATTTACGAAACGGATTCGCTCAGTGGTTGTTTTATCGCCTGCAGCGCGTAACACATCTGGGTGTTGTTAATCCAACGCCAGGTGTTGCTCCAAAAGTCGTAAGTGCTTCCATTCACCAATACCGTCTGACAATTCACTGAAAGATGAATAAAATTAGGGCTGTAAGCACTAATTGGCGACAATGGCAGCAATAAATAAATAAATGTGGAAATAGGCATAGGACTATGCTATTTCGAAATTAAAAAAAAAACTGCTTTAAAAAACCTACTTGTGTCCAAGATACGCTGAACATCTAAAGGTGAAATCATTTTATCCCAGTGATGGGTTCCCTTGGGCACCAGATTCAGTACATATTCGCTTAGAATCACGCCGCCAACCCAACTGGGTATAGTTTTGTTTAGGGTGGTGATGAAAATGGATCCTCCCGGTTTAAGAGTTCGCACACTGGCCTCTAGCAAGGCAACTTTATCGTCAACATGCTCCAGCACTTCAGATACTATTACAGCATCGTAACTTTCACAATTAACCTTGGCGTGCTGATCCACGGGTTCCATTTTGTATATGACATTGCTGGAAAGTTCCGGACTGGAGCACTTGAGGTGACCCCGAGCAGCTTCTATTAACTTTTCACCGAGATCTATGCCCGTGACTTGGGCACCAAGCCGCGCCAGTTGTTCAGTGAGCAAGCCTCCGCCGCATCCCACCTCTAGAATCCTCTGTCCCTTGAGGACTTTGGTGGTATTTACGTAACCAGGTTTTACTGTGCCGCGTGAAACGATGCCATCTCGTATAAAAGGAACCCTAGAATAGGGAAAGTACCTCATTAGCAATTCATATTTATAGGGCACCTAAAAAACAAATAACTTGCCGAATCTCATTCAGGGCGTGCAGAGCACCCATGGTTCCATTTTGATTCCACCACTCGGAGGCGTGATTTTCATGGTGCCGCACTTCCTTCTGGGTGCCGGCATCCAAGGAAGTCGCTGAGCTGCTTCCGGTGGAATTTCGCAATAGAGAACATGCCAGCGATTGCCTCAGCTTGCTGCAATGCCAGAACTCGTAATTTGATATATTATTGCAGTCTATTTATTTTGTTTACCCGATTGCAAGAACCGAATTTCGCAGCATTTTAAGAGCAACAGCAAACTTTGACAAAAACAGCTGACTTTGTTTTGCTTCGTTCCGAAGGCATGGGCGTATTAAAGAGCTTTTAAAAGGGATCGATGAAGTTGATCTGACTTTATTGGAAAATAATGAGATTTTATTAATTCGAGTACTATTAAATAAACAATTTTCTTGACATATTTGAAACTATACAAACTTTGGTAACAACAATTTCGCTTAAAATTAATAAAATGGTTTGCAAATTATTCATTTTTGGAACACTATTATTAGGGTTTATAGCACACTAAAAAATGTACGGCAATGGTGACACTGGCTTAACTCAGTCCACTTTTCCCTGTCACTGGAAACTGAAAAGTGGAATGAAGTAAATCGGAACAGTTCCGATCAGTGGTTCCTTATCATTCTTCATTTGGCTCTAATTCAAGAGAGAACCGCAAAAACCTATCACCAGTCATATCGATATAGATAACATAGCCTTTGTGGCTAATCGCAATTCCAAAGGGTTGTTCGTAATGCCGGATTACAAGAAGCTCGAGAACGAGGAAACTGATGTGGAGAGGGCCAATGGCCAGGACACAGAGGACCAACCAAGGACGGTAGCAGGTCAGCATGCGGCCCAAATGATGACGGTGTCCCTGCTCATGCTCCTGTTCCTCGGCAGCTCCTATTTCCAGGTATTTTATATTATTATCTCTTAGTAGGACCACAGTAATCCTATTTTTTTTTGCAGCCAAGGCCACGCCTACATGCCTATAGTGGGGGCAGGGGCCATGGGCTAAAGCAGCAGTACGATTGTAACATTCAGCTGGTGGAGTCCATACCCGTCGGCCTGACATATCCCGATGGCAGCCCGCGATTCCTAAGCACCTACGAAGCCTGGCTGCAGTTGTTGGACAACGCGAAGGAGACACTGGACATTGCCTCCTTCTATTGGACACTCAAGGCCGAGGACACGCCCGGAGTCACGGATAACAGCACTCAACCGGGCGAGGATATTTTTGCCAAACTCTTGGCCAACGGTAATGGCGGCAGCCGGACACCCAGGATTAAAATTCGTATTGCTCAGAGCGAACCTTCCAGTGTGTCGCCCAATTTGAACACAAATTTGTTGGCCAGCGCTGGAGCTGCCGAGGTGGTGACTCTCTCGTTTCCAAAGTACTTCGGCAGTGGTGTTCTTCACACCAAACTGTGGGTGGTGGACGGCCAGCACTTTTATTTGGGTAGCGCCAACATGGATTGGCGGGCACTAACTCAGGTCAAGGAAATGGGCTTGCTGGTCCAGAACTGTCGGGAACTGACACAAGATGTGGCCAAGATCTTCGAGGAGTACTGGTACCTTGGCAGCAACCAAGGTTCCAAGATCCCAAATTGGGACTGGGACTACCAGACCAATTACAATTGGAATCATCCAATGCAGATAAAAGTAAACAAGAATATCAGCATGGAGGGCTTTCTCTCCAGCTCACCGCCGCCTCTTTCGCCCTCGCGACGAACAAACGACTTAGACGCCATTCTTAACATTATCAACTCTGCCATAACATACGTAAATGTTGCGGTAATGGACTATTATCCGTTAATAATCTACGAGAAGAACCACCACTACTGGCCCTTCATCGACGACGCCTTGCGGCGGGCAGCTGTGGAGCGCGGCGTGGCTGTAAAGCTGCTAATCTCCTGGTGGAAACATTCCAATCCTAGCGAAGATAAATACCTCCGGTCGCTGCAGGATCTGGCATCCAAAGAGGACAAAATTGATATACAAATCGTAAGTATAAATAGTATAGTACAGAAAAATAATTGATAATATCTTTACCAAACACTTGTTTTTTGAATTCTAATACATAAATTTTGTTAACAATGTTTTTATTTCTAATGAAAGATTATTTTTTAACTGCTTAATAATTAATTTTGTAATCTTCTCAAGCGCCGCTTCATTGTGCCCGTGGAAGGAAATCAAGACAAGATTCCCTTCGGGCGGGTGAACCACAATAAGTACATGGTCACCGACCGAACGGCTTACATCGGCACCTCCAACTGGAGTGGCGACTACTTCACCGACACCGCTGGGATCGGTTTTGTGCTAAGCGAAACCCACGATACGGAAAGCACCAAAAATATTAGAAGTGATCTTCGAGACGTCTTCGAGCGGGACTGGAATAGCAAGTATGCCACTCCGCTGAAATAAGTAAACCTAGTCGTTTTTTTATTCTTTAAATTTTAATGACACAATGTTATTCCAAATCTTTAATCACTCTAAAAATTGTTCAATCCTATTCATTGCTTTTATTCATTTTTGATTATGCGTGAGGGTAAATAAAAGGCTCGTTTTACGGCCATAACAGAAAATACAAAATAATACAATCACTCTATTAATTGGAATAATGTAAGTGTATATAAGGTATGTACAACGAGAAACGAAATCATAATGTAATCAAATTCATGAATTATTTTCGGCTTGCACATGCTTTGCTTCTGATTTGTAACATGTGTCCAAGCCCTCAATCAAGCTGCATTGCTAGTCACTAAATGTACGTTAAATACTCTTTTCAACTTTAACTTTTGAACTCAGTTTATGTTGGGCTAAAGCCTTTGTCGTTTTCTACGTGAGAATGGTTATCCGTCAAGGGAGTGCATGGATATATATATGGGCGCAACTCCTCAATCACTTGATGTTGGCGCCACGCCTTAGGAAGTTATTACTGGCGATACTCTTCTCAATTGCCAAGTGAATGTTGGGAACACGGGCCAATAGCGTGTTGTATATTAGCAAAAGACAACGCGCATCGATGGCTGGAAAAAGAATTACATTAGTATTCCTAAAAGTAGGACACTCATTTTTAACTTACCTGCATAGATAATCTGCTCTCGTCGGAGCGGTCGATTTGCCCAGTTGGAGCACTGGTTCGACTTGTTTAACTTCTTTCCAAGACACGCCAACGAGAGATCTGTGAGGGCGTCGCCGGTTCGGTTAAGATTGCCATAGGGCAGCTCCACGCCGAAGCGTTGCTTCTTGAGCTCCAGCCAGAGATTACGCAGGTCCAGGTAGTGGTGAGGCATTTGCAAGCGGAGCTGCAGTGGCAGGGAACGCTGCAAAACGCTGAGATCGCTGACCATGGAGAAGCCCACCTTGAGAATGTTCACGTTATTGAAGATGTTAGCACCCAGCATCCGCCAATGCTCCGATCGCAAACTTTCTCTAGCTAGACAATCGATCAGGTAGACATTGTGGCCGGTGGCGATCTGCAGCACGCACAGCTGATTGTCCCCACACACGTTCTGCATCCACTCAGAGTCCAGATAAACGATGTGCTCCTGCTGAAGATGACACAGCATGCGATCGAACTCCTCTGCCTTGTCCACAATGGTTAGGCACTCGTCGGGAAGGTCCATGGTCAGGTACATATCACAGCCACTTGCCGCGCAGTTCTCCTGGCCGTCGGATTCCCGGCCAGTCGCTTTTCCAGCGCCATTTTGAGCGACCTGCGCCTTAATCTCCAGCGGGCAATCATTCGCATTCAGATTAAACTCGTTATACCAGTAAATGGCTTCCGAATGAGCCCCTGCCGAGGCAATATAGCTAACGAAATCTGAGCGCAGGGCGTAGTCGTATGCATGGACGCTCACCAGCTCCCGGAAACTGGCCAGGTTAATACGCGTCTTCTCGTACTCACGGTACAGGTAGTGCAGATAGCTGCACGTCTTGGTGAATTTGTAGTTGGGCGTAACGGCATCATTAAATCCATATTTCTTGGCCAGCCGCGCCACGATCTTTGCAATGGGCCGATAGCTTAGCACATGGTGCGAGATTTTTAAATTCTTGTAGCGTCTGAAAGAATGTGGAAGTAAATGTAATCTGTTTAGGTCCTGCAATGATGTTTACTTACTCCAGCAGATGCTCACAGAGCTCAATAACCGGCTTCTCCTTGTGAAGCAGCGAATCCAAGAACTTCACGAAAGGCAGGCGCTGTTGCGTAGCATGATCCAAATACTCCTCAGCCAGTGGTAGCTTTTCGATGGCAATTAGCGGAAAGGCCAGCTCCAGCATGTCGAACTCGTCCGTCAGCTGCAGGTTGATTGACCATTGTGTCACTTCCTTGTAGTGACCGCAGTCGAGAAGCTCTCGAAGCTTGGGCAAAAGCAGGTCGCGGATTTCGCGTAGGCTGTAGGCACAGATCACAGCTTTGTTGAGGGTCAAAAGTCCGGAGGTCTTGACAAAGTTAAAGGCAATCATGCTTGTGTTGGGGTCACAGCCCTCGCTGAGATGTGGGAACTCCTCGTGGAGCTTGCACACCGTGTCCAGCACAAAGTGCGACAAGCTCTTCGGCTTGATGTTGCTGCTGTCGGGGCAGTTGGCAAAGATCTTCAAGGCCAACAAGAGCGGTTCCTGGTGGGCCATTAGAGCCTTGCCAAACTCCTTCCGAAGATGCGGCGACATGTTTTTGCTGTACATGTTCCACTTTTCGCGGAATAGCTTGAAGAACTCTTCCGCCTCCGCGTCCAACGTGGCGTCGAAGTTGCGTCCGTTGATGCCGGCACCTGTTGTGATGTCCTCCAGTCGCTTGATCTTTAGATTGGCCATCAGGTTCTCCATCTCCTCCTCGTCCGATTCCAGGCCGGCGGGTATTGCGTTGTACATGTGGTTCTTGCGTGCCATTTCCCCCAGGCGCTCCTTTTGCCCAATGTGCGGAGCAAATGCAATTGCCAATTACGAGTGCAATTGACAAGCTGAAATTTTGCCTGCGACTTACCGAGTCGCCAACAACAAAAAACAACGCTTGCAGAAACCGCCAATAGTTCTGGCAATTGGTCGGGTTTTCACCTTGGTACGTTAAAGGTTGAATTTATACAGTTGAGTGCAAGATTAATAAGATTTTTAGTTTAAAATTTAGTTTAGTATAAAATTTAGTTAATCATTCAAACAGACATATCACTAAACAATACCTTATATGGATTGGTCATTTATTTGGTAAGAAGCAAGTATGGCCGACCCCGTTTATAACATCTGATGTGCTTCTCAAGGATTTATTTTTGAGCTAAGACTGGATTATTTTATTATAACGTCGCTACTCTGTTTGTTTCCCTATTAAACCTTTTTTTATTTTAATTTAGCACTTTTTTTAAGCTATAATTCTAGCTGCTTAGTAGCTAAATGTCGGGTCTCTTAGCATTTCCAACGAAATCGCCTTTTGATGATATGGCAACGCCATTGAGCGGCACACGTGCGATTTTGTTTTAGTTTGTTCGTCTAAAAATGAAGTTGGCTACGAAAAAGTTAAAACTCTGGGCAAACCCAAGCCCGGAATTAGCAAAAAGAAGTCAGAAAAGGATTCGCTCAAAAAGACAAAGTCTAAAAAGGCTGAAAAAGTCTCTGAAACCAAAGTGATTACCAAGAAATCAAAGTTGAAAGTTGCTCCTTCTACCAAGAATGGTAAACCTGCGAAGAAGGGAGCCAAAAAATCGCACGAGAAGGAACTAGAAGGACTAAAGGATATAGATCCGGAGTTCTATGATTTTCTCAAAAAGAACGACAAGAAATTGCTGGACTTTAATCTGTTGGACAGCGATGACGAGGATGACGAGGTTGAAGAAACTAAGGGAAAGACGGCGGAAGAAAACGAAGACGACGACGAGGAAGACGAAGAGAAGTACCACAAGCCCAGCGAAGACTTGGCCGTGGCCAGCGATGAAAGTGACTTTGAGGATGAGGAAGAAGCCACTGCTGGTGGCACTCAGAAGATCACACTCAACCTGTTGCGTCAGTGGGAACAGCAATTGGGCCAGCCCAACGTCTCTATCGATGTTGTGCGCAAGGCGATTCAAGCCTTCAACTCTGCGTTAGCCAGCATCTCGGCAGATGGAGCTGATGGCGGAGAAAACCAACCCAATGCGGCCGCCTTTAAGGTTGTCGGAGCAGCTGCCTTCAATGGAGTCATTCAACTATGCGTGCTTCACCTTCAACCAGCTATTATCAAAGTGCTGGGCGTTAAGCCCAACAGCAGTCTGCCTCTGCACAAGTACAAGAAGTGGGTCAAGGTGCGCGGTTGCCTGCGATACTACCTCACCGATCTGATTCGTCTGGTGGAGCAGGTTTCAAGTGCCAATATCCTCGGGGTATTGCTCAAGCATTTGCACCAAATGGCCGGCATGGTGGTGCCCTTTTCTGCGCTTGGAAAGACCATACTGAAGCGCCTAATAGTGCTCTGGGCCACTGGAGATGAAACGGTTAGAGTTTTGGCCTTTCTCTGCATTCTGAAGATAACCAGGAAACAACAAGTGAGTTTAGTTGTCTGCGTAGTTAAACCATGTATCCCTTTTTATTAAACTCAATATCTATTTCAGGCTACCATGTTGAACCACGTTCTGAAAGCCATGTATCTTGCATATGTGCGGAATTCCAAATTCGTGTCTCCCAACTCTCTGCCTGGAATCAACTTCATGCGCCGCTCGCTGGTGGAGATGTTTGCGTTGGACCTGAACGTTACCTATCAACATGCTTTCCTCTACATCCGTCAGTTGGCAATTCACTTGCGAAACGCAGTAATCCTAAAAAAGAAAGACAGCTTCCAGGCCGTGTACAACTGGCAGTTCATCAACTCGCTGCGTCTGTGGGCAGATCTTTTGGGAGCGACTGCGAACAAACCTCAGCTGCAGCCTTTGGTTTACCCCCTTGTTACCATTGCCACTGGAGTTATTCGTCTCATACCCACCGCTCAATACTTCCCGTTACGATTCCATTGTCTGCAAACTCTCATTTCACTGGCCAAGGAGACCAATACGTACATACCAGTGCTGCCGCTGATTGTGGAGGTCTTAAAGAGCAACACCTTTAATAGAAAGCACTCGGCGGTGTCCATGAAGCCACTGCAGTTTACATGCGTACTGAGGCTCAACAAAGGACAGCTGGCGGAGAATGGCTTCCGAGATGAGGTGATCGAGCAGGTGTGCGGCCTTTTACTGGAATATCTCGCTCATGAGTCCGCTTCGCTGGCATTTAGCGACCTGGTGGTGCCCACGGTGATGGCAATTAAAGCTTACCTCAAGGATTGCCGGAATGCCAACTATGCCCGCAAGCTGAAGCAGCTGTTGGAGAAGATACAAGAAAGTAGCCGTTTCATAGAACAGCAGCGTGGGAAGAGCAGCGTTAACTTTGACCTGAAGAACGCTCAAGCTGTGACCGCCTGGGAGCAGCAGCTCCGGCTAAAACGCACTCCCCTGGATATTTACTACGCCAGCTGGTTAAAGACACACGAGACCAAGAAACGACGACAGGCGGCGCAAACAGATGAAATCAATGCGGACTACGATGTGCCCAAGCTGAAAAAGTTACCGGCGAAATCGGGTGTGCCTGTTAGGAATGAAAAGGGCGAAGTTGAGTTGTTCCCCTCGGATTCGGAAGATGACGAGGATGGCTTGCCCGTGGCATCAGATGATGATATTGAAGACGAGGAAGTGGACGAGGAGGAGGAGGAGGAAGTGGAGCCGCCCAAAGCCAAGAAGGCCAAGAAGGAGAAACCTGAGAAGGTGAAACCGCAGCCTGCAACAAAGGCGGAAGATGATTATGATGAAGCGGGTGGAGCCGTGGATATAGTTAAGGACTTGGACCTGAACGATTGGTAGAACATTTAAGATCACTTTACTATATTTACACATTAAATTGTTTAAAAATACAAATACTAGAATTATTTCTCCGGTGGCTCCTTGCCCGGAATAAACTCATACTCCTTGTACTTAGGGAAGGTTCCAATGGTGGGTCCTTCCACCTGTTTGGGCAGCGCTTTGTCGTCCTTGCCCTTTGCGTAAGTAGCCTCCAGTTCGGCGGCATTCCGCTTCTTCATCTCCATGATCTGCAGGTTCTTTACCAGCTCCTCGCGTGTGGGCGGTTCATTGCGGCGACCACGCAGCCATGCCTCCCACTCGGCGGTTAACTCTTGATCGAAGGCTTCCTTGTCGGCCGGCTCAAACCACCGGGAGGGCTTTCTCTTTCCAATGGAAGGATTTGCCGGAATCTCGTAGTATTTATTGCCAAAATAGTCCTCCCCAATATAATCACCACGAAACTGCCGCGGTCGCAAAGACTTCCAAAAGTTCTGGAAGATAATCCCCAGCACGTCGCGCGTTGGCTTGTTGGCCATGCTTTAAATTTTTTTTATTTTTATTCGAGTGTCAAGAGTTTGAAAATTGTTTTAGATTCAAGAGGTTTGAGGTTAGGTCTGACGTTTGTTATGACATGAACAGCTGATGGTTGGCAGTGTTGTAAAGTGCCAGATGCTTGAAAGCTAAATTCAAATTCTTAAGTTCGGTTTTAATGGCAGTGCAAAAGGACTAAACCAATCTCGTTGGAAAATTGATAACAAATCTGTGCGCAGGCTATTGTTGTTGTAATCCATGTCCTGAAGTACCAATCCCAATCCCGCTGAGTTGGTAAAATGCTCTCCCGACCAACTTGAGGTGCCTATGAAAACGACGCTATCGGTCACCAAATAAGAATTGCAGCTTACTCTTCCACCGGAAATCTTCTCCAGCTCATTCGTGGTAGGCACTACAAAACGACGCTATAACGACAGCATGTTGCAAAAAAATCGAATTTTCGCAAGTATAAATTTGAATCCCTTACCATTTCGACGTCCACATCCTCCCGTATTTTGTTAAGTGACTCCAAAGACCTCAAGAAATGATCCTCGCTGGGATCGGAGTACTTCCACCAGGATATTAGTAGCTTGATGGCCACACCCCGCTCCAAGGCAGCCCTACGAAGGGCATTATCTATAAAAGGCCAGTATTCCACTTTGTCACTTCTCCTTAGCTGAGGAAAATAATCCATCAATGAGATGCTTATAAACTCTGAGGCCTTATCGATGGCGTCTAAAATGGCATCAAGTTCGTGGCTTCTTCCCTTAGCAGCCAATCCAGGTGGCGACATGGCCAAGTAAGCCCGCATCGTGTGGTTTTTGTTTATGTTTAGCAAAAGAGGTCTTCGCTGATTTATGTGCGTGTGGTACATCCAGGGCCAGTATTCTGGAACTTCATTATTGCCCAGGTACCAATATTCTTTAAAGATCTTGGCCAGATCTCGGGCTAGATGCGGACAATTCCTGGCCAATATACCGAGTTCCTTCCGTTGCGTAAGGGATCGCCAGTCCATGCTGGCGCTGCCCAGGTAAAAGTGCTCCTCGTCCACCAGCCAGAGTTTGGAATGAAGGTAATTGATGCCGACAACATCGGCTGCTCCGTAGTTGGCCAGTATGCGGGCATCTGCATGCCACAGACTGTCCTGGCTGCGATTGACCACAATCCGCAGACGCAGCTTGGGTTTTCCGGGGTCTCCATTGGAAAGCAGTCGCTGAAAAAGATGATCCCCGGGTCCTGTGCTACTATCCTTGATATCCAGCCCACGTAGAGTCCAGTGGGGTGAGACAATGTCTAGCGAGGACCTTGCCCTACCCAGCAGCAGTTGCCAAGACTCAATGGTGGTCCTCAGTTGGGGGTGGCCTTCCGCTTGGCTGTAGTTTAACCCCAGTGGCAGGCTCTCTACAAATTCAAGTTGGCATGGCAACGGAGACTCCACGGGAATGGGGCTGTTTGCGTTCCCATTTCGGTTAATGGTCTCCCAAGGCAACAGCAGAACTATCAGCACCAGTATGAAGAGTATAAATACGGGTATAATATAGCCATGGCTGCAGCAGCAAACTTTCTGGTCATCATTGACTCGAAAATTACAATTGGGACGCCGGCAACAGGATGTGACTGTTGGAGTAGATTCGTCCTGTTCTCTTGGCACTGGCTGGTAGTCCCCAGGTATCTCGTGCACTCCTCTTCGCTCGGACATGGCAATGGGGTCAGTACTAATTCTGACTGACCATTGCCAAACATTTTCCCTGCCGAACTTATTTATTATTCGCACAGTTGTGGGAAATGGTCAGCCGCCCACGCAAACAAATCGTAGAGTGTTGAAAAGTGTCGCGGAATACATCTGCGATGGTAGCTTAAAACTGGATAAGGATATAAATATCAGTTTGAAAAATTAAATTTTCTAAAAAAAAAACGGTTACAAATAGAAGAGACTTGAGATTTAATATACTTTATACTCTTGCTCATAGGTTTATGCGCAGTTGTCATCTTGTAAATCTTATGTAAACTTTCATTTTTAAAAACTAAAATGAAAACGACAGCCCAAAGGCTTAAAAATTACAATTTATAGTTAAAAAGCGAATTTAGATAAAATCTAGATTAAAACTTGTAGTCCCTCGGTTATAACTTTTTATTAGCTATATTTGGAGTGAAATAATCCGACCAGAGCATCACTGGCGCTCACTTGCGGCGTCCACGAGCACTGGTCTCGGTGCCAAAGAAGTTTAGTCTGTGTTGAAATCTTCCGGCTGAGAGGGCTGAAAATTTTGACGACTTAAAAAGTTTCGCTGTAGTATCCAATCAATTCCAACGAGTGCACTTTAGTAACCGTTTAATCGATCGCGAACAATGGCTGCGAGATTGATGAACGCCCAGGCACAGGTATTGTTATTATTCTGGAGCCTGTGCCTCCAGCTCGTTACCGACAAAACCCCGCAAATATAGTACATATAGAATCTCCGAACGGTCAAAACCCAAAATCAAAGTGGCGATAAAGACTGGAAACACTGCACGAGTTTGCGAAAAATCGTTGGCAAATATTTTGTGCATTTAGCAGGATATGGAAATCGAAAAATCGCGAATTTTTCGCATAGCGTTTTCTAACCTAAAAACAAAGTTGTTAGGTAACCAAATACGTAGTGTTTGTGATTCTAAAGCCCCCTGCATCCAAAAGTGCTTGAATATAGAGCAGTGTTCCATGGGAAATCATAAAGCCTTCAGTAATTAACAGCAATTTGCGAGAGGCTATATCACTGGCATTTACATAATCGCCTGGGCCTATAGTTATTTAACCAGGAGTCCGTAGCATATATCTTCGGGGGGAGGTTTGTCTTATCTTTGACAGGTTTACTTACACTCTGATAATGACCGGGTCTAAATATAGCTTAAATAATATTCCACTCTTCAAGTTGAGTATCACGCGCACTGTTTCTTAAGTGGGGGGTTTTCCAGGGGGTTCTAGAAAGGGTTCACTGTACTTGCCAACAAGTTAATGACCTATTTGACGTAATTGCCATTGCAATTGTTTCGATTTGTTTGTATGCGTCACGTGGTTTTGCCAATTGCAGGGCACTGTGGCAATTTGTAACAAATTAGAAGGCCAAACGTTGCCTTTATCTATGCATAAACAAAAACAAACTACATTGCCAGCTGTTTTCTGTTAAACAGTTATTTTTAATCAAATATTGCCCTTTAAAAAACTAAAATGTAAAGAGAGTTGAAAACGGTAATAATGCTTGTCCGCAAATATGGTGACAAAACGATTGGTTTCAGATATACTTTATTAAGATAAATTCACATAGTAACTACATATATCTTGTCACATGAATGGTTTTTCCACTCTCAGATCTACGGAATATTTTTATTTTGATAACAGTCGCTTTAAAGAAAGGTGTTTAAAAATAATTGCTATAGATTACAGCACCGAAAATAACTCATGTTTACCAAACAAAGGCCTAGATTCTAGAACAATAAACGATAAATACCATGATAAAATGTAATCCTGAGATAATAAACGATTAGGAAAACCCCCAGTTGCGTAGTGAAACTTTTTATTTATTTCATAATGTCTATAAGTTATGTTATCATTTATCAGAATATTTCTGATTATTGCCAAATTTTTCTATCTCTGCTTTTAATTGACAAAGCATCACTTTTAATTCAGATTTCTATATTTCCTGATAAAGTTGTGCCAATTTAATAAATGTTGAGAGCCTTCCTGACATGATAATCAAGTGTTTATTACGCTACCAATCAAATCGCTCAAATCAGCTCAAGTACATTCTGCACCCAAAAAAAAAACTCCGTTAATAAAGAAATCTCGAGATTGCAAACATTAGAGTATATACTGTAGGTGTCATGATTGCTAAATTATGTTCTCTAACGGTGCTAATTACTCGATCTTGATAGCTTTATTTTGACACTACACAAAAAAAAAAAAAAATCGTAGTGGTATTAAATAAACTTTAAACGTTGATATTTTTTTTTTCAATAATATACATTCAAAATTAATAGTAATTAAATAAATACATTTTATAAACTTTATCAAGATGGAAAATTGTGTTAAAAAATCTGCTTTACGTTCTTTATACTTCAGGTGTGCCGACTGGGCAAGCATGTGGTGGCCGAGGGCCCGGTGGTGCGTCAGTTCCACGCCTCCTGCTACACCGCCTCCAAGGTGGCTCTGTCCAAGTTCGACTCGGACGTCTTCCTGCCGTACGAGAAGCTGAACAAGCGCCTGGATGTGGTTCGCAGTCGCCTCAACCGCCCGCTGACTCTTTCCGAGAAGGTGCTGTACTCCCATCTCGATGATCCCGCCAACCAGGACATCGTGCGCGGCACCTCCTATCTGCGTCTGCGTCCCGATCGCGTGGCCATGCAGGATGCCACCGCCCAGATGGCGCTGCTGCAGTTCATCTCCTCCGGCCTGAAGAAGGTGGCTGTGCCCTCGACGGTGCACTGTGACCATCTTATTGAGGCCCAGATCGGCGGAGCCAAGGATTTGGCTCGCGCCAAGGACCTGAACAAGGAGGTGTATGAATTCTTGGCCAGTACCTGCGCCAAGTACGGCCTGGGCTTCTGGAAGCCAGGCAGTGGCATCATCCATCAGATCATCCTCGAGAACTACGCCTTCCCTGGCCTGCTGATGATCGGCACTGATTCGCACACCCCCAACGGTGGTGGTTTGGGTGGCCTGTGCATCGGCGTTGGTGGTGCCGATGCCGTCGACGTGATGGCCGACATCGCCTGGGAGTTGAAATGCCCCAAGGTGATTGGAGTCAACCTGACTGGCAAGATCAGTGGCTGGACCTCGCCCAAGGACGTTATCCTGAAGGTGGCCGATATCCTGACCGTCAAGGGAGGCACCGGCGCCATTATTGAGTACCACGGCAAGGGCGTGGACTCCATCTCCTGCACGGGCATGGCCACCATCTGCAACATGGGTGCTGAGATCGGAGCCACCACCTCCCTGTTCCCCTTCAACCAGCGCATGGCTGATTACCTCAAGTCCACTGGTCGCGCTGGCATCGCCTCCGAGGCCCAGAAGTACCAGGGCAAGGTCCTGTCGGCCGACAAGAACTGCGAGTACGATGAGCTGATCGAAATCAACCTGGACACCCTGGAACCCCATGTGAATGGACCCTTCACCCCCGATTTGGGACATCCTATCAGCAAGCTGGGCGACAACTCAAAGAAGAACGGCTACCCCCTGGACATCCGCGTCGGTCTCATTGGCTCCTGCACCAACTCCTCGTACGAGGACATGGGTCGCTGTGCCAGCATCGCCAAGGATGCCATGAGCCATGGCCTGAAGTCGAAGATCCCCTTCAACGTGACTCCCGGATCGGAGCAGATCCGTGCCACAATCGAGCGTGATGGCATCTCCGAGGTGTTCGACAAGTTCGGCGGCACCGTGCTGGCCAACGCCTGCGGTCCCTGCATTGGACAGTGGGACCGTAAGGATGTGAAGAAGGGCGACAAGAACACCATTGTCACCTCGTACAACCGTAACTTCACCGGCAGGAACGACGCCAACCCGGCCACTCACTGCTTCGTCACCAGTCCCGAGCTGGTCACCGCTCTGTCCATCGCTGGTCGCTTGGACTTCAACCCCTTGACTGATGAGCTCACCGGCTCCGATGGAAAGAAGTTCAAGCTGAAGGCTCCCTTCGGCGACGAGCTGCCCGCCAAGGGCTTCGACCCCGGCCAGGACACCTACACCGCTCCCCCACCTGTAAGTCCTTAAATAAAATAAATCATTATGTAATTACTATATATTCTTTTTGTTTACCCACAGAGCGGCGACAACGTCAAGGTGGCTGTTGATCCCAACTCGCAGCGCCTGCAGTTGCTGGAGCCCTTCGACAAGTGGAACGGCGAGGATCTAAAGGATCTTACTGTGCTGATTAAGGTGAAGGGCAAGTGCACCACCGATCACATCTCCGCCGCCGGACCCTGGCTGAAGTACCGTGGCCATTTGGACAACATCTCCAACAACATGTTCATCGGCGCCACCAACTACGAGAACAACGAGATGAACAACATCAAGAACCAGCGCAACGGCTCCTGGGGCGGCGTTCCCGATGTGGCCCGCGACTACAAGGCCAACGGCATCAAGTGGGTGGCCGTCGGCGATGAGAACTACGGCGAGGGCTCGTCCCGCGAGCATGCCGCTCTGGAGCCCCGTCATCTTGGTGGCCGCGCCATCATTGTCAAGTCCTTTGCCCGTATCCACGAGACCAACCTGAAGAAGCAGGGTCTGCTGCCCCTCACCTTCGCCAACCCCGCTGATTACGATAAGGTTTGTATACCATACTCGAAGTAATTAAATCAAAGTATGTTTTCTAAAATTTTGCATCAACAGATCCAGCCCACGAGCAAGATCTCCCTGCTCAACCTGAACTCCCTGGCGCCCGGCAAGCCCGTCGAATGTGAGGTGAAGAACGGCGACAAGGTCGACAAGATCAAGCTGAACCACACCCTGAACGACCTGCAGATCGGCTGGTTCAAGGCTGGTAGCGCTCTTAACCGCATGAAGGAGCTGGCCCAGTAAAATGGTCCTGGACCTACTTAAGACCTTTGTCCAGAACCCCCACCCTCCCTCCTCCCCGTAGGCGAACACACTCAGACTCACAAAGCAAGCAATCGAGTTATGGTATTGTTATTCAATTTTTTTCAAATTGTTTATATTTTATTTCGAGTATATAGAGTGTGCTGTTTTTAAAAGTGAATTATGTAACCGAACGATAGCGAGAATTTGTAAGAGTTTTATATATATACAATTATACACATTATTATTTTTAATTCTTGCTATGAATGTTTCCTTCGATTTTGTTTTTTCGAATTTGTCTAAAAGTTCTGCAGATTGCCTCGACGATGAAGATGATTAAGTGCGAATAAAACTCAAAGTACTACGTATTAAACCGACTCTTTTATTTTATGCAAATTGAACCCGAAAAGCGGACAATAAGTTCCCTCAATATATCCCGTGACCCCTTTATTTTCCTCATTAATAACTTAATTGTATCAATTATAAGATGTAAGAGATAACAGTGAGTTGATATTATTATTATGTAGTGGAAAATAAAGTATAATATCAATAGTCAAACGTCTAAAATATTTCGTAATACTGGGAGAATGAAAATAACAACCATTTCCATACATTTTTATTTGAAAAGTTTGTCAAGACGTATATGTAGACAAATTTAAATTATCAGTGGACTAAATTTTTAGTAGCTAACATGAATCGCAGAGGTAAGAGTAAAACGTCCTTTGCTTCCAGCACAGAATACTATTACTCCGATGACAAGACTTCATACGGGAGAAGTAGAGCCATGTTGGCAGCTAAACTTAAGCGGGAAGAGAAGAGTAAAACGTCCTTCGATTCTTCCACGGGTTACTACTCCTACACGGATGGAACTTCTTTAAAAAGGACTCCAATAACCTTCTCGCCAAGTCCGGCATTTTTGCAAAGCCCCAAGACTAAATTAAAGCTTATTGCTCTGTATGAAGATCAGGAGTCCTTGTGGAACCAATGTCACAAGGATTTCTTTGACTTTGAGCGTAGAGAGCAAATTTGGAAGGCGATCGCTGAGGAAATGAAAAAGGACTCACCACCCGAGTTTTGGAAGCATATGATCCACAGGCTGCGCTATAATGTCGAATTGGAAAGCATCCAAGAGCAGGAGGCCAAACACTCCGGGACGCCTGTGAAAACGAAACTCTTTTACGCAGACAAGTTTTTGTTCCTAAGTCACATGTTTCACCGAGAAAAAGGCAGTCCACCTAAAGAGAGGGTCAGTGATCAATTCATTAAATAATTGTTATGATAATAAAATAATAATAAATGATTTAGGTTAAATGGATTATCCCACGGACAGGAGATGCACTTGAAAAGTCCCCTTCGAGGACTCAAGAAAAACAAAAATCTCGCACGCCCATCATGGAAAAGTTGGCCACTCTCGAGAAGTTAAGAAACTATCAACGCAACAAATTGGTCCTCTCCCCAGAAGCCTTCCAGAAAATGCAGAAGATCACCAGCGGAGGACCCTACTATTTAACCAACGTAAAGAAAAAGAATAAACCTTAGTGTCTGTACATCATCGAAAGAATTAACTACACACATTTAAATCGATTTTTCGTTTTATTACATTTCTTGTATCATCATTATCGGTTTGTTTTATCTGGTTTTGCCATTTTTTAAATATAGACGTTTTATATAACAATTCATAATTTTAGCTTACAATATTTTTGTTTCGTTTCTTACAATCTTTTTGTTTATGCCTTTTGCCACGAAAACACTTTCTCACTTTGCAAATATACAACTTTCAGAACTTGGGTTTGCAATTATTTAATATCTGTATGTATATAATATATATATTTTATGTATATAACTAAAAATGCGTAAAATAATTGTTTTTTTTTTTTTTTGTTTGTTACGTGGTTTGTGGGCACATTCCTTTTCACAAAAGGAACAAAACATGAAAATGTACATAAGTATTATTGGCAAACAGTTTGCCGCATCTGTGTTAGATCTCGATTCGCTTAATTCCGCATTAATTACACACATGTATCTATCATCGATATTATGAACCTGAATTGTTTTCATTTTTTCGAAGCGGCAGTTCCAGTTCTGTATTTGCGCCCCTCAATTGCTCGTTTTACGTGTCTCTCTAAAAGGCAGGAGCAGCTGCGTTGGCCTCGAATTATAGGACCGATCCATTTGCCGTTCGATCGTCATGCCATCCTATCGAGCGCCCGCCGCTTGTTGGTTGGTTGATTATTGTTTGTCTCATCTACTTCTATGAAATGGCTGTTGAAAGATTTGGTTTGAACGCATCATTCCCACTCAGTAGTGCCCGGAGGCTTGGCTGTCAAGTCGTACAGCACCCTCGAGATTCCATCCACTTTGGATATGTCGCGAACCATTTGATTAAGAACCTATGAACAAAATCACATTTAATGTACTGAGTAAGTACTGAGTAAGCTAGAAACTCACTTGCAATGGCAGTTGCACTGAGCCGGGCTCAGCAGGCACACCAGTCATAAAGTCGTTCGTTATGAAAGGACGCAGGACCACCGATCTTCTGCATGAGGGCGTGCGGTTAATAGGATCGCGATCGAAGTGCACGGGTATGAGGACGACAGGCATCTGTGAGATCTTCCGGTACAGACCAGCTTGCATTATGATCTGAGAGGGATAGAAATCAAGAAATTACTTCACATTTTTATAATAACCAAAGCAGGTCATCCCACCTCATTAGCGATGGCATCCGCTTGCCTTAACTGCGATAAGACCACAGTGTTTAGTGTGGTGTGCGTGATATCCGTTACCAGATACTGCACGGGTTCGCCAAAGATGTAGCACACCCTGTTCACGTTGTGTAGTATCCGTGGTATTATCTTGGCGAGGAAGAGGAGGTCCTGCCAGTTGGGCTCCTGACTCGTGGACAGGCCCACCACGTAGCTGTAGGACCTTTTGTCGCCCTGAACACCCACGGACCGGATGGGCAGCAGTGTGGCCTGAATCTGCGAGTTCGCAGAGATTCGCAGTAGGTCCTTCTGCTCAGCCTCGCTGGTGGCGCCGGTTACCCGGTTGATCAGCGCATGGTTCTTCTGTAGCTTGTTCTTGTAGTCCACAATCACTCGAACAATCACCTGTTATTAATAAATACATTTATTTTATTAAAGGAAATATGAAAGGATTTGTTGTCAACTTGCCTGAGTCTCAGAGTAGTCCTTCTCCATGTACGCCTCCTCGGCGCAAAGGACTCGGATGGCAAGGCCAGGACCGGGGAAGGGCTGTCTCTCTACCAGCTCTGCCGGCAGACCCAGATCATTGCCCAGATCCCGCACCTCATCCTTATGGAAGTCGCAAAGTGGCTCTACCACACGTCCCGCATTCCGTAGTTCTCTGAAATAGGGAGAAATAAATCAAATGTTAACATCATTTCCATTTTCAGTAATTTTTTTTTACCTACCTAATCAGATCCGTATCATTGTGGTGCGTTTTGATTGTTTCTGCATTCGTGCTGACCAAATTAGAAGCGGACTCGATTAGATCTGGTCGGAGGGTTCCCTGGGCCAGCATAACTTCTTCGGGTTTTAGCTTTAACTCTGCCACCACGTCGTTGGTCACCTTGACAAATATATCACCGATTATCTTGCGCTTCTCCTCTGGATTATAAGTCTGACAGAGCATAGGCGTCTCGACCACAGAGTACTGGCCGGGCCGTTTCACTTGCGTGGTGCCTTTGAGGAACGTATAGCCTTCCTTGCGGACGATCAAATCGATGCCAATATCGCGCAACGAACGCTCCACCTTTTCACTTTCGTTTTTGCGCATGAAACCTGTGGGTGGAAAACCGGTTAACAATCATTAGGTCAAATAATTATGACAAATTGGATAAAATTAAATGCGATTTATGTCCTCAGTTTAAACGTGAAGATTGGATTGCAAAGTAAACTGTACTATAGTACAGCATGCATATTGTGCCAAAAAATAGAACTTGAGTAAAACGTTATATTCTTAGGATCGCTGTAGTTGGCTCTTATCTTTTGCCTTTCATACCATTATCAACATGCACCGCAATTATCTGATTAGGATACAGGGCACGGCGAAGCAAGGCTGCACAGACACTGGAATCCACGCCGCCGCTGACCAGCAGCTATAAAATGCAGATTCAGTTAAGATACGCAACCTTTTACTGAGAATTAATGTCTGCCAACTCACCAACACCTTATTGGTGCCCACTTTCTCTCGGATATAGCGGATGCACTCCTCCTTCCGGCTGCCCATGGTGAAGTTGGGCGTCAGTTCGCAGATCTCGTACAGGAAGTTCGACAACATTTGCTTTCCATTGATGGTGAGGTCCACCTCTGGATGAAATTGGACGCCGTAGATGCGGAGTACCTCATTGTAAATGGCCGTCACAATTCGGTTTGTCGACCAGCCACCGACCTTCAGATTGTCACCCACCCGTTCCACACTATCACCGTGGGTTAAAAGCACGGATTGTGTGCGGCTGAGACGACTGTAAAAAGAAAAGGGATCGATTGAGGAAATCATAAAATTAAATAAATACTTATTAAACGTATGAAATAGAAGGATTGTAAGGCCACGTGTAGATCAGTTTTTAAACTGCACTAAACTGAACTGTTCTTGGCATTAAAATTGTTCTGGCAGCATTGTATCAGCGCTTGAATAAACTGAATGAACTCAAACACTTTCTTGTTGCTGCTACCCCCGAAAATGTCCTTAATTCCGCTTACCTGAAGAGTGGACATGAGGTCTCGATTTCGATGTTCTGTTGGCCATCTTCCCTCACATCCTTCTTGAGCACTGTGCCCCCGAACTCTTTGTTGATCAGCTGCATGCCGTAACAAATGCCCAGCATGGGAATCTTTAGCTTGAACAGATCGGGATCGTAGCTGGGCGCATCTTCTGCATAAACGGAGTTGGGTCCACCAGAGATGATGATGCCCCGATAGCCATTATTTCTTATCGTGGCCGCCGGTGTGTCCAGTGGCAGGATGTCGGACTCCACCAGGAGTTCGCGAACCTTGCGGTCGATAACCTGAAAGGAAAACGCATAGATTAGCTTTCTATATTTTTTAGCTAAAGTTCAGGATTAATTTACCTTGCCGTACTGTGCTCCCGCATCGAGTATAACAATCTTATCGTGCCGCAGGCCGTTCTCCGCTGTGCCCAGAAATATGTTTGAGTTCATTTCTTTATCGTTGCAGCACTGCAAAGAGCAAAAATTAAAATGTCAGTCAAGCAATCGCCGAAACAAACACCGAATCTCGACTGGCTTGTGGGGTCGTTTCTGCGGCTTATTTATGCTCCAGTTGTGGCTGAAATCGACTCTAAAGAGACAAGGCTATAAGCTTTCTAGGAGGTGGGGTTTAGTCTAGGACAGTCGCGGGTGGATTTTGAATCAGGGAGGTATAGAGAGGGCTCACATACCGGCAATATCTTGTGGAGCACTCGCAGAAACATTCAACATGCAGCTGGCCAGGACGCTCTACGATAGACAACAAACATTGGCAAAGATTTTTTCGTCACAGAACAGTAGAAAAAGTGCAGTGTGGAAGGAAAACTCCAATGCGAAAAATCAAAGCGAAGAAAAAACAAGGCCAAAGTGGCGACGCCTACGAAAAATGATTTGAGGTGCGGGGTGGCGATTCAGATTTGTATACTCTTACTGAAGGAAGCATGATTTCGGCTGGATAATAATTATGTATCGTCGATATCGCTAATCAAAGCAGTTGGAATAACACAAACCTTAAAGTTTCTGGTAACTTGGTATCCCATGATAACTGCATTACACTTGTGGTATTATTGTGCTGCGTTTCTATAAAGCCGCTCAAATGAAAATATAAATTTAATTGATTTACAATTAGTGCGGTTCTGGGACAATACGTCAGGTATCCTGTAGATACCGTAGAAAGAACTGCTTCAAATTTACATAATCAGTCGGGCAATTTCAAAGTAAAATTTTTACAAAGTTTAAATTTTAAGATTTAATTGGCACTTATGTTTGTTATGAATTCCTTGAGTTTTCGGGAATCAATTGAAAAAATGAACAAATTTTGGGTTTTTGTAACAAAAAATATGAAGCCTGAATGTTCCTGCTTGGAAGATATGTCGATTCGATTTATATCTAGTATGATATCATAACTTTATTCTGTGATACAATTTTTTTAACGGAAGTCTTTTCAAATTTGTATATCTACATGCTATTCAGTTTTCAGAAAACCCGTTAAAAACAGCAAAGCTTGTTAATTGTATTTTTGTTTATTACCAAGTGCAAGGGAATATAGTTTTCGGATTGACGAAGTCATCGAAGATTATCGTATATTAAAGAAATACAATTTGGATGGCAGAGGATGAGGATGTGAAGAGGAAGGGGGGACAACGGGATGAGGATGAGGGGCGAGGGCGCCGGCTACTGACCGCCAGATGACAGGCGAAAATGCAAAAAAGAGAGAGTGAGAGCGGAAGCCAGAGAGAGCGAAAGATGTGTAAGGAGAAATGGCAGGTAAACGAAAACAGAGAAACAGCAATGGAAAGGAAAATGCGCAAGGAAAATGGCACAAAAATAAACAACAAAAAATGCAGGAGACAAATGGCTGTGGCAACTCTGCAAGTTTCCTTGTATTTTCGCAGCAGCGGCAAAGAAAAAGACAACTCCAGGGGTTAAAAGTGCATTAGGTCACTGATGCGATGTGATGTAAGCCTTGCTCTCCTTCTTCGGTCTCTCGTTTTTGATAACGAAAAGCAAAAGGTTATCAGAAACAACAACGCCAAAAACAAAAAGTGGGAGGCCGCGTGTTTGTAATTTAATACACATGCAGGAACACACACGCGAACACACCAACACACGTGGAGCCGCCTACAAGCGGCGCTTATAACCACAAAATGGCCACGAGAAATGTTTGCAAAACTATATAAATCGCAAATGGACGAGAATGGCAAATGCGGTTGAAGCAAATTGCAACGGGCAATGGACGGTGGGCAGCGAGGGGGTATTGTCTAGTGGGTGGAGCTGTGCCGCATGGCGTTTTCGTTTTTGGATCGAGGGATCTTTAGCCATATAGCCTCACCTGCTCGTCGTTTTGGCCTGGCAGGCGGTTTTTCCAGGGGGCGGGCGGTATGTCCGTTGGCTAATCCGTGGAAAACCGTGGCAAGCAGCGGAAAACTCAATGCTTAAACACTACTTTCGCGATCCGTTGTTAGCGGTCCCCCGTTCTCCTCCCTCAATCGACACACTCTTTCACAATTTCCTCGGCTGCTGCAGCTGCTTTTCCGCGTTTTCACGGCTGCTTGGCACCGATGTCAGTAGTTTTCACTACGGTTTTCACGGCTACGACTCGTCTGCGTTCTTTAGGCCGCTTCTAGGCACTTTCTTTTTGCTTTTTCTGCAATTTTATTAAAGCCGAAAGATGACTTATTGACGAGCGTATGACCGTAACTTGGAAGCGAATAAACACAGTATGCGAAAAATACTAGTTGTGGTAGGACTTCGGGGTGAAAATGTATCGGTATCGAAATATCGGTCGAATTAGTTTTTTATTATTGAAAAACAGTGCAATGTGAAAAAAAATGTTTTGGCCTTACATAAAATTATATCGATAATTATTGTCTTTCGTAAACCTTTTTAACTTTCTGTTAAGCTCTTGAATTTTGTTAACAATAAAAATAATAATAATTATTCAATGATCCATCTCTAGACATTTAGTGTTGGTTAATTGCCAAAGTATACAGCATTTAAAGAACATACACCAACGGTTACACTGAGCCCGCCAAAAGTGAATTGTTTTTGCGCTAATTTGGAAAACTCACAGGAAAAACTAAGGAAACACGTTAAAACCTAAGTAGTTTCATGAAATGAGTCCTGCAAATAAATCCCAGGCAGATATCAGCATTGAAGATGAGGAAGAAATATTGGCTCTGGAAAAACTGCTTGGCGAAGCGGATAACGATACTGTCGATTCCGCAAAATCGGAAAAACCAAAACCCACACCCACTTTGGCCAAAGCAGTGCCAAAACTGCGAGAAGACAGTAGTTTTGCCAATGCTTTTACCTTTGAAAAGACCGTAAAGTTAGACAAAAACGAGAAACTAGAAAAAAGCAAAGAACCGGAGCTGGACTCTTCCGACGACGAAGAAGTCAAGAATTTCTTGGAACGCAAGTACAATGAGTACGGAAGTGATATAAACAAGAGCCTCAAGCAACAGCGGGAAAGTGCCCACGAGTCTAAGGTTGCCAGGGAGGTTGATCAGGAGCTCAAGAAGACAACCCAAATGATCACATCCACCCCGCAGCCCATCAAGAATCCGCACAATCCTATCAAGCGTCAGTCGACCGTGAGCAGCACGTTTCAAAGGCCACCATCAACCGCAGCTGCCGTGGCATCCACATCTCAATCTAGTAATCCAGTTTCTGCTATATACACGGATCCTGTCTTCGGACTACGCATGATCAATCCTTTGATTTCAAGTTCGATGCTTCAGGAGCGTATGGCGGGCAGAAAAGCGGTTCCCTTCTCCGGCGTAGCCTATCACATTGAACGCGGGGATCTGGCCAAAGATTGGGTCATAGCTGGCGCTCTGGTTTCCAAGAATCCCGTAAAAACCACCAAAAAGGGCGATCCCTACTCTACTTGGAAGCTATCAGATCTGCGCGGCGAAGTTAAGACTATTTCGTTATTCCTATTTAGAGAAGCTCATAAATCTTTGTGGAAAACCGCGGAGGGTTTGTGTCTGGCCGTCTTGAATCCAACTATTTTCGAGAGGAAAGCTGGCAGCTCCGATGTGGCCTGCTTATCCATCGATAGCTCGCAGAAAGTCATGATCCTGGGACAGTCAAAGGATCTGGGCACTTGTCGGGCCACAAAGAAAAATGGGGACAAGTGCACTTCAGTTGTTAACCTTACCGACTGCGATTATTGCGTCTTCCATGTGAAGCAGGAGTATGGCAAGATGTCCAGGCGTTCGGAACTTCAATCTGCGACCGCAGGTCGTGGCCTCAATGAGCTGCGGAATAAGGTTTTGGGTCAGTGTGCTTTAAAAATTGTACAAATTTAATTTTAAACTAACAATATTATTTTACATTTAAAGGCAAAAACGAGGTGTTCTATGGCGGACAGACATTTACTGCCATTCCCGCCAAGAAAAGCGCCAAGCTGATCACCAAGGAGCGCGATCGTCTCAGCAAGCTGGCTGGCTACGATGTTTCCCCCTTTGCCCATACCGCCGACCACGCCTCCAAGCCGAAGACAGCGGAAGTGCCTGCGATTCCCTACGCAGAGCGAGGTGGTCCTGTTTCCCGTTTGGCTGGAGGAGTGGAAGCATCCCGAAAACAGAGGGTTCAAGATCTGGAGCGATTGCGTCTGCTAAAAGCGGAAAATGAGCGCTTTGCACAGGAAACAAAAAGTCATGTTTTGGGTGGAGAAGATAAAAAAGAACAGACACCCAACATACCCACTACTCCCGTGCCCGACAAGTTTAAGAATCGAGGCTTTTCGTTCGACGCCAGTTTAACGCCAAAACTTTCCGGCAGCGAAAATTTTTCCTTTGAGATCAATGTGGGAGCTCGCCAGGCGCAAAGTGCCAAGCTGAAAGCAGCGGCACTGCTGAAAAAGAAGCCGCTGGAGAAGATCAATCCCAACTCGACAAGGGGCAGTGAAACTGGCAAGAGAAGGGCCATCGATGAGCTCAACGATAAGTTCTCCAGCAGCGCCAAGCGCCAGAAAATGGAGGAAGAGGATCGCGAAATGATGCGGAAATCCAGAATCGAAAAGATAATGGCTGCCACCTCATCACACACGAACCTCGTGGAGATGCGAGAGCGCGAGGCGCAGGAGGAGTATTTTGCCAAGCTGGAACGCAAGGAGGCCATGGAAGAAAAGATGCTGGGCACCTACAAGATGCCCTGCAAGGCGGTCATCTGCCAGGTGTGCAAATACACCGCCTTCTCCGCCTCCGATCGCTGCAAGGAGGAGAAGCATCCCCTGAAAGTAGTCGATGCCGAGAAGCGGTTCTTCCAATGCAAGGATTGCGGCAATCGCACAACCACAGTGTTCAAGTTGCCCAAACAAAGCTGCAAAAATTGCAAGGGATCGCGATGGGAAAGAGCTGCCATGATTCGGGAGAAGAAGGTCCTAACTGGCAGGGAATCTCTGTCCGTTAGAGGAGACGAGGAAACCTTTATAGGCAGTCTGGCTGGAAGTGCTAATCTCAATTTGCTGGTTCCCGACGAAGACTAAAATCAGAGATAGCTTTTCTACCGTATTTTATTTGTTTTATTTTATATGCTTTTGTTTATAATTTAAAAGTTAAATTGCATATGCAGTACATACAAATATTTACAGTCCTCTGGTTGATCGCTATTTGGCTTGGAAAAAGGATTCGTCGTTGATAAATAAGTACAAAAGTTGCGATGCCTTACGATCTAAAGTGCCTCTGAGATTGTAAGTGCGTGTTTTATATGAAGATTATGTACCAGGTGTACTCCTTATATTTTTTGACTTATGACTTTTATGAATGGTCTCTTAGATTATGACTGATTTGAATGATTGGAATGCTTATTAATGTTTTGAAATTGTGAATCACACTTAGCTCATCCTAGCAAACTTGTACAATCCTAAAATAAGTTATTGTAAATGCATTCATTTAAAAATAAATCCTAAACTTTGTGTTTCGAAAACTCTTTAGGAAATCGCATACGCAGAAACCTTTAGCAGACAGGCACAAATTAATAGTTTTTAATTTCTATTCAAGATGTTCTATATCAAGTTTTTACTTCCTCTTAGATCTAGTGAAAAAGCGCTCATTTGGCTTTGGATGGAGGCAGAAATTGGCAACCTTTAAAAATGATTTATAATGTATTTAAAAAATTGTAGCTTTTTAGAATGAGGGTGTGTTTGACCAAAAGAACTTAGTTTGTCTTTGGCTGTTTCCTTTTTTGTTTAAATGCATGGGAGTATTTGAAATGGAATTCGGATCTTTTAAAATCTATTTTTTTGGCATCAGCATAAAGCTTCGAGACTAAATGTAAAACTAAAACTAATCAACAAACAGTTTGAACTGAAGAACAGGCGCAGATGAGAGACAAGAACTTGGAACTTAGTAGTGTTGGGGGGAAAACTATACACATGTGGGGGGATCCTATCAAGGAATCTAGACGACATCCTCGGCTTGCTGACTTTGATTCGCTTCTGGCGTTTCCTTGAGGTTCAGCAGACTGGAGAAGCGAAATGAGATGGTTTTGGAGAGATGCTTCTCGAACTCCCTGCTGTCCAGGTTGTCGGGAATGAGGCTCTTGTTGGTCATGTCCAGGTAGGAGTGACCCCGCTTCACAGGAACTGAGTAGTGTGGCAATGCGGTGGCCGCCGGAGAACCGCTGGTCATGTTGCTGTAGCTCGGAGTGCAACTGGATTTTCGTATATTCAGCGGGAATCGCAAATCGTTTTCGTATCGCAGCACCTGCTCCTTGGCATTGGCATCGATCAGAGGTCGTGGCAGATCATAACCCGGCGGAGCCATCGAGGTCACCGGCACCTCCTCCTCAGACTGATCGTAACTGGTTCCCTGGTCGTGGATATCGTAGGCGATTTTCGGTGGCGACCAAAGATGCTGCAGGGATTCCGGTTCACCAAACTCCGTGGTCATCAGTGCGGAATCATCTCCACAATAGAGTGGATTCGAAACGGCATTCGTCTCCAGATCTATGTACTTGGCATTGTTGCCTAGCAGTTTTTCGAATTCTGCAGCCAGGAACTTGAAGGACGGACGAGCATTTGGTTCGTCTGCCCAGCAGGTGCGAACTATGGAATAAACCGCCTCCGAACAATTCTCCGGTCTGTCCATTCGATAGCCTGTCTTCAAGAGAGACCACAGATTCTGGGGCGGAATGCCAGGATACGGAGATGCCCCCAGGGTTATTAGTTCCCAGCAGAGAACGCCAAAGGACCAAACATCCGATTTGCTGGTGTATACGTGATCTGCTAGAGATTCCGGAGCCATCCACTGAAATTAATCAAATATCATTTAGATTTTATAGAGCTTAAAAGCTAATAAGTATTTAAACCTACCTTAACTGGCACACGATCTCTGGATCGTTTTAAATAGGCATCATCCTCGTAAACATCTCGGGTCAGTCCGAAATCTGAGATCTTGCAAATCTTGCCATCAGCAAGAAGTACATTTCTGGCAGCTAAATCGCGATGAACCAACTAAAAAATGAATTTTAAATAAAATATATAATTCTGTAATACTATTTTTCTTTATTTTTAATTATGTATATACCTTAAGTTCCGTAAGGTAGGCCATTCCCTTGCAAATCTGCCAGGCGAAGGTGAGCACCATCTTCACATTGACTGGTTCCACTCCATCTGCGAAGTCCACGCCGGCGCACTCGATCTTCCGGCTGAGGCGAAGATAGCTCCTCAGGGAGCCATAGCGGGCATACTCGATGATCAGGAGAGGAGCTTCGGAGGATGTGCAGGCCCCCAAAAGTTTAATCACGTTCGGATGGGAAACCTCCTGCAGGAGTTGAAATTCCGACAGCAGGGCCATGTACTCCACGGAATTGGCGCCCTTCTTCAGCGTTTTCACAGCCACCGTGGTGATTCCCGGCAGACCAGCAATATCGGTGGCATATCCCTTGAGAACCTGACCGAACTCACCCTCGCCCAGAACCGTGTCCAACTGCAGCTTGTCCCTGGGAAACTCCCACTTGGCGTCGCCGCTTTCGAACTTGAAGCCACCTTGCAGCGGCATCAGGGCGAGATCTCCGTCACCGAATTCCGGAAGGGCTTGCTTATCCGATGGGGTAACCGATTGTTTGCCCAGGCGACGCTTGAGCATCTTCCTTTGGGCAATCAGCAGGAAGAGGAGCAGGAGCACAAACACCAGGGGGCAACTGATCACGAAGAACATGCAGGAGCGATCGCACTCGAAACCAGCCACGTTTATCACACCCAAAAGCAGAGGATCCTGCAGGGATTGATCCGAGGGAGGAGCTCTTCTTCCTTCCAGGAGAGCCTCCGCCTCGGTTTCGTTCTTTTTCTTTCTCGGTTTCTTCACCTTGGGCTCCTCATCCAAGGGAGCACACGAGCACTTGCCATTGTCCTCGCAAATGCAGGTTCCCGAGGCACTGTAGATTCCCTTTTTATTCTCATTGCTGGAATGTGGACCCATTATTCTGTTCGCTGGAATACAATCCTGGGGACAGGCCATGGGATTCAGTTCCTCCAGGGGATCGCACACATGATCCGGACAGTAGTGAGCCTCGGGCACACAGGACCCATACTTTGTACTAAACATCGCCGAGTTTGATCCCCGCCACTCACAAGATCCTCCTCCAGTGGCCAAGCCACAAAATCGATTGCACTGCGTTTGCAGTTTAACCTGAGCGCAGGTTTGGGATCTCGACTTGATCTTCAGTTCACAGCTGGAGTTCTCTGGCCTTCCGTGCACCAGATGCACATTTATCACCCGAACATGCGAAAGACGCTGTTGATCCGACCAGGTGACATTCAGGAAGTATATGGTTTCGGGAGCCTCCTCCAAAGCCTTTGGATTCTTAACGTAAACAATTCCCGAAGTGGTTGTAATACCAAAGGCTCCACTTTTATCCTCCACCAAATCGAATCGTATGGATCGCGATCTCATCAGTTCCAGAAAACTACCCGGCTGAACAATTCGATAGTATGAAGCTGCAGTTCGGTAAACGGAAACATCTTTTTCATACTCTACACTCAAAGGACTCAAAGATCTTCCACCGGAATCCTCATTAAAATTCTCGTTCTCAAAGATCCGATGTTGTCGGGATCTAAGGGGAAGAGCTTGGGGTAATTCCTGGTCGGTTTCGTGAAGATTGCTCAGGTTTATGTGGTAGCAAATGTAGGCTGTGGCAGACATGGCATCAACATGGCTTTCCACAGTCAAATCCCGAGCTTCCAGGGTAACGCAATAGGGAGTTTCACGAAAAACTCCATTCCGCGAGAAACGAAGTTCTAAAAACAAGAGTAAATTATAATAAGGTTAATATTATAAATAAACGTATTTTTCTTTAATTTTTTTAATATTTTTTTTTTTTTTTTTTTTAAATAATCTTTTAATAATTTTTATATAATATATATAGTATGTTGATCTTAATACTCACGACAACTGACGATCGTATGTGGCCTGCCCGTGTGATCCGCCTCGTAGGCGTGGCAATCCGGTCGTAATATTTTGTTGGAGTCGTTATGCACGGCGTAGACCAAGTTTGCATTTGCCGCTAATGTATCCTTGTCCACATAGATGATTTTCTTGCCCGCCTCCTCGTCCTGTGGGTAAATGGAAAGAAAAGCGAGGGGTATAAATTAGCTGGTCGCTTCATTAGCATTTACTGACCCGCGCTAATTAAATTCCACTTGGCACCCCCTTGAAAATTGCAGCACTGCCCTCCAAGGATGCGCTCTTGGTGATTAGCATTTTAATTCGTGCACAAGGTCAGGTTGGGGTTTCAGATCCTCGGGGACCTGACATTTCCCTACGAGGTGTAAGGTGGTTTCGCATTACCATCCACCCAAAACCCTTTTAATGGATCCCAGGGGCAAGGACATTAGCAAGGTGTCTTTCTAAACTTAGGCGTAAGTTGGAATGGTTGCCTTTGTTAAGGTAGGATAGTCGTTATATATTTGAATAATAAGTGGGTTGGAGTCTTCCTGAAATGACAATAATACTGTCTATGGAGCAAATAAAGGAAAAGTCTTTCTTGCGTATGAAAATCTATTGGGAGAAGTATCAAGAAGAATTAAATATGCATATATTATAAATTTCATACCCATAACATATTGTTCATATTGAAGTACAAAATGTAATTTTTAGGTTTTATCTGAGTATACTAATTCTTCAAATAAACACTTTGTATTATCTAGCGCACATTTCCGATCTAGTTTACCCACCCACTTTGAACCTCAACCACACCTTATCACACCAAACTTTTGTTCATTTTATTAAGGGACATGTCGACAGTAATTTCCTCGAAATAAAATAAAATGTACATTATTCCGTGTACATTATTTAAATGCAGAGCCACCTAGAGCAATTTGTAATGGCCGGAGTTTAGTGCAGAGCCAATTACTCCGGTTGGAAGGACGAGGAGGAGACTCCACTATCTGCACCTGAACTGACACAGTTTGCAGATCCTTGGGGATAGGCTTGGCTTGCTTCGAACACGAAACACAACATAATTTACTTTTGTGGCAACTTTAAGGGACTCCGCATTCGACTTTGGCTTCAATTCGCGCTGAAGTCACTTGACGTTCCCGTTCCTGTTCCTGTTGCCTTTGTCCTTCCCATCCTGTCTGTCATGCTCCAATCATAAAAGCCCATAAACGTTACGCGTTTTTAATGGCAACATATGAGTCGAAGTGGGACGGGGAGTTCGGGAAAGAAGTCGCGGAAGTGGCCAACTTTATCTATCTACCCCGAAAAGGACCTCGGAACCAGACGTGGTAATGGCCAAATAATGGCAGGGTGAGCGGGCTTCAGTCTTTCAACAGCAAGGGTCTTCAACTACACTAAGGAAAATATTTTTTACTAGGTATCACTTTATCACTAAAATGTTTGCTTTATAAGTAAATGTGTTTTTCTTAAATAAAATAGGTTTCATTAAAGACTGGAGGATCAATACAATGCTTTTTTGGCTTTTCAAACAACAAATGTAAAATGGAAGTTAAATAAACTGAAGATATATTTATTTTTCCAAGTGTATTTGACTTGCTTGCGTGTCTAGGGGGCGTTCATCATGGGTGAATTCAATAAGCCCGCACCCAGCGAGCGGCCAGACAGTCGGCAGACGAATAGTCTGGGCAGGGTTTGCTTGGCTCGGGATGCCTCTACCCCTGAAATCCTCTCCTTCGTAAATCCCCTTTCCAAAACCCCCTTAAAATTCCAAAACTCACCGCTTGAAAATAGGGCTGATCCAGGTAGAACTTAAATGTGGCATCGCTCTCCTGCAATTTGGGTCCGTTGTCGTTGCGATCCAGCAACTTGATGTCGAAGCTGCGCGAGAATTTCCGCAGATCCCTGGTGGACAGCTTAACGGTGCAGGTAATCTCGACCAGCAGCTGTCCCGTTTTGGCTGCCAATCCATAGAATTCATCGTGATCCAGGGGCTGTCGAGTGTAGAGGCGATTTTGCTTCAGAACGAATTGCGAACTGCCGGCGTTGAGGGAATAATCCAGGGAGACATGAGGACACAGGTACTTGGCAGCACGGGAATTGAGAGCTCCAATGAGAACGGGTTCAAAGGAGTTTCTCCTTTTATATTGACCCTGGGACTCGGCTATGTTGTACTGGGCACTACTCCAAAAGCAAATGTGCTCCAGTTCGGAGCAGTAATCCTCCAGGGATTGTGGAGTTATCTCGATCGTGAGATGGGTTACGGGCAGAAGTTCGTGATCTGGTTGATCCCTGGGAAAAGCGGTCACCACATACTTGGTACTCGAATTGGGAGCACTGTAATCGGTCCGCATATATATCTCCCCCGAGGAACTGTTTATCCGGAGCAGGGAGTTATCCTCCAAACTATAAAGGTAATCGGTGGCCAACCGGTTGCTATCCATTCGCAGCACTTGGAACTGGGCCAGCGGAATCTTGGAGAAGATACTTTCCGACTCCTCGTTTATGGGCAGATTGAATTTCACCGACGTGCTGGGAAAATAAACATCGATGGCTGCAAAGGAAAATAAAAGAAGAGGGTGGAAAAATCAAGTTAATTTTGATGGCGTCATGTGGGATTTTGTGGGGGAGTGGAGTTCATTGTTTGGGATGCTCCACAAGTGGTTGACCACAATTGACCCACTCAGATGAAGTGGGGTTCGATTCCATTTGGGGATTGATATTGAGTTCCTGGAAACTCGCTTTCTATTCAACACGAAGTTAAGAATTGAATTATTTGAAGATATAGGTAACCTTATAAATATCTTGAAAATCAACTAAAAATCATAAAATAATTTTGTGGCTTAAGATAAAATCGAAAATGGTGTTCCACCCCAAAATAAAATGCTTTCCCAAGGGTTGCTATCACTTTTTGGGTTTGTTTACCCATCATCAGTATGAGATGGACACACGTCGACACTCGTCATCAAATCCAATCAAATGATTCAGTTTAATAAGCCTGCGTTGACCCTAATAGAGTTGGCTATAACTCCCAACTCCCCTTATCTGCCAAATTGAACAGGGCGTATGCGTAATTTGATAGGAGCCCCATCGTAATGAGCCTCGATTGTTGTGGTCGTGTGTTTGCATACGAGTCAAAGTCCAATACAAGCGATAAATAAACATAATACAGATATTAGTTATTAGCATATGGGTTATCAAAATGACGCCTTTCCCATTGATTAAACCACCCTTGTTGTCATCCCAATTGAAGTGTCGGCGTCACAAAGTTGCGTATTGATTTTGTGATAACGATAAACTCTTTGTTAGCCACAATAATATACAACTCCGGGCATAATTGGTTACAAATTTTCCTGCGCCCTCCGTCCACGAATTCAAATATTGTGCCCCCAATTTTATGCCACAATATTTGGAGCAAACATTTTGGGGGAAACCGAAAAAAAACCCTTGTAATGTTATGGTGTAAATAGGTTGGCGTATCGTGTTGAACAAATAGAAATTAAATGCATTGAACTTTAACTGATTTATTTGTAGGGAAGTTGGGAAATTTATTGATACAATTTGGTATGGCTTTATAAATTGGGATCTTATCTGGATTTTAATGACCTGAATATTAATAAATATTTGGACAATTGGAAATGGATTGACTTGTTAAGACAAATATATTTATTTCTTGATAATTGAAAATATTTTTGATTTCTTTTTTCTATAGCAAACAATTAACAGGTGTCCACTTTGTAATTTTTTTCTTCAAAACAAAGTAATTGCTGTCCACTAAATCAAGACTCACACTTCCCAAAAGGAAATGCAAACAGCTGGAATAAATGAATAAAAAGGCCGCTAATTGGATGCCCACCTACCTTCACTAAATGCCTGTCATAATTATGCCCCAGCTTTCGAGAGGTAACCAAACAGAGAGCCTCGCCACTCCACCCTCCCCAAATAAAGTGGGGAAATATTTCCTGGTTACTCCAGCTATATAGAAAGCCATGATGGGAAAATGCTTCCTTGATATGCCCTTTAACATAGTACACGTTATAAATAATAAAATGTGTTCATTACAATTGCTGACGCCCAGGCATGCGAAAAATGCTGATAAAATATGTAAATGTTGGGAGTGGGAGTGGAGTGGAGTGGAGTGGAGTAGATGAGCTCACTCCAGCAACCACGCATTTATAATGACATTTTAAATGCGCGTCCTTGCAAGGAGCCACCCACAAAAAATTTATATATTAATGCTGTCAGCGTTCCTAATGAAATATGCGGGCTTACTAACGGGATTATACCGCCCTGCCAACTCCGCTGATTCTTAGTGAAACGATGGCGCCAGTCCTGTTTATGGGTGAGCATTTTGCCCATGATTAAGTGCCGAGTACTTCGCTCCGCTCGAAATCCAAGGAAGCAAACATGTGTTGAGGGAAGCAAACGACGCACTAACTAACTTTGTTTAAAGTTATGCGAAGACGGGGATTAAAAAGATTTTTAATCTAAGATTGTAGGGAAATTATGGGTAAGTTGTTTAGCCAGAGGATTCAAATTACTTTTTTATGGTATAATGATTAAATATGGAGTCTGTAAACTTTAAGTTTAGAAATGGTTGGTAGTTTTTGTATTTCAATAGGTTGGTGGCTCTCTCTTTAAATCTGCCATTATTAAAGGTAAAGCTCATATCTTAATCATTTCTTTTTCTTTAATGTGTTACCTTAATCCTAGCAGAACTTAAGTTCTCTTTAATCTCAAAAAATAATCTCAGTTCTTAATCCTAGTAATCCAAAAGTGCTTTAATAGCCTTCAACCACCGATTTGTTTCAATCAGTTCTTAATCAGAGCTCAACTTGACCTCTTCGATTCCCTTGAGCTTAACAAAACTCTTAGACCATTAAACCTGCGACAGGTGGGGGATATTAAGCTGGTGAAAGAAGGCAACAACCACCCACAAAACGCTGAGCAAAAGTCAACAACCGTAAAAACGAAAATAGCGACAAAAAGCAGCGTAAACAGGGAAGGACTAAGACTATTAGGTTATCTATTAGGCGGACAATTAAAAAGCCAGCGAATGGCGCATTAAAACCTGGAAGTAACACTGGATAAAACATGGCCTTAAAATTGAGGGAGGAACGGGATTAACCGCGAGAGACTTTCTGGGGTTACTGGACTCGTTTGGATGCACTGGGGAAAAATCCAAGGGAAATGGGTCACATTTTAAAGTTTATTAGAAAAATCATTTACTACTTTATTAATTTTCTTATTTACTTTAAAGCAGTGCTTCCTTTCAGATATATTTAAAAACTTTTTAAGACAGTATTAACACGTAATTTCTCTCTGTGTAGAGGAATCGCTAATGACAGCTCTGTCAACAATTGATGGGCGGCGACTGGCATCCCGACGTGGCCATTAGCGAGGCCTGTGTACCTGAACTTGGTGGCCAGGTGAAACGAATGGAGAACGAAATGGAGACCCCGAACGAGGTGCGGCCCCGGATGAAATGTCAACTAGTTTCGCATAAGCTAATTAATCTGCCCGAATTAATTGACTTCGCATCGAATTGGGTCGACAGTTGTTTGCCTGTTTGATTAGCTCCAACCGCCAACCTTCCGGAGTTTATTGTCCTTGTTTTCTGTGTGACAGGACGACTCCAGGATGACTCATTTGCTTTGGAAGTGCGGATAATTTGGTGCTTTTCAGCATCCGACTTGCATTGTGTTTGTCTGCTGCCGCGTAATGAAAACTTTGTCTTTGTCAGGGTTTTTAGTTTTTCCTGTAACGCTTTTCCCCATTCTTTTCCCCGTTGCTTTGTTTTTTTTTTTCATTACTCATACGTCGCGTATGCCAGACGTGGTTTTCTGCTTTCCTTGGCACTGACTGCCATTCTCTGTTGCTGTGTGTTTTCCTACAGGAAAAGTTGGCATTGGCCAATCTATGGCCCTGGTTATTGTTCAGATTCGCATTATTAAATCCACTCCATCCTGTCCTACTACTTTCACTCGTTCGAAGTGTGTAGACAAAGTGTCTTGAATGTTTTTCTATTTCCTTTCCTGGCTGTCCCTGAAAATTTTTCTCTTTGCCAGTGCCAAAGCAAATTAAATTGAAAACAAGTTGGGAAGAAAGTTGATAAGGAAATTGGAAATACTCTTTATAGAAATATATTACCAGTAAAAATAAATAACATTAAAAATGTAGATAAATGAAAAGTATATTTCTGGTTTACTCTGTGTTTAATACATTTCTGTATTCATTTATTATTATCTTTTCCAAATTTAGTAAAGTTCCCCAACATCTTAGTTAATAAGGTAAGGGTATTCCTTTGAACAAGAAACAAATTGTTTTGTTATTGATTTAAATGCAATTTTCATTTGAGTTTTCCTTTTTTCCAGTCTGGCACAAAGAAAAGCACAGTCACAGGAGATAAGGGATTGCGAATAGTAGAGGAAATTACAGAATAATCGCAGACTAGAAGTCACCAGGCGAGAACTTCAAAGACTTTGACTTTGGCATCGAGTGGGGGATGACACTCCCGTCCAGGCAACTAAGACCACATGCAGAAATTGCTGACCCTCGACGGTGATCGATGGGCGGTTCCTCTAATTGTTGGCTGTCAGCAAATGGAAAACATTTGCCACTCCAAGTCGCATTTGTCAAAGTCACGAGCCTCTTAAAACAAATGCTAATTACGGCTAATTAATAGGGGTTTTAATTAGTCAACTTGGTAATAGTCACTTCTAAAGACCAATAAATTATATTAAATATTTAAATATTTATTTTAATTTTAATATTTATTGTATTTAAAACCTTTATAATTAGTTTTTCTACCGATAAGTGTACTTTGCAACGGGAAAGCGAACGCATTAAAAAAGAAACCCAATAAATAAATGGAGATTTCAGACTCCCACTCAAAGGAGCTGAATGGGAGTGCATTATATACCCGATATCTGCAGCTGAATCACGCTATTTCTGGGATCTTAACCTGGGTGCGACAAATAGGCAGACAGTGGCAGAGACAGATCTCATAACTACAAATGGCTTTTCGTTTTGTTAGTATTTCGCTATGCAAAGTACCCCAGAGGACGGCGAAAAAACCTTGAGTGTCTGATAAATGTGTCAAGCTGGCTCATAAATCTAACCATTTGTGCGAAAAATATGAAATACTTTGCAAAAGTTTTGCGACACCAAAGTGATTTGAGATTTGTCATAAATTTTAAGCAGGAATTTAATATTGATTTGAGTTAGTTTATAGATACAAATAGTATATATAGTTTTTGCAAATGTAAAAAAATAATGAGATAAAACTAGTTTTTTATTTTGTCCTAATAAAAATAGTGACTAGTCATGTTGCTTAGATTTATAACATATAATTTTCGTAATTCACTAAATAGCTAAAGGCAAGTTTATGTATTTTTTTTCAAATAACTGAACCGAAAGACAGTTGTTAAAGAAAACACTTTAATTGGAGTCATGAAACAGCCGGGGGCCACTTAAAAATCGCAGAGTGCGAAAAGCAAACTGAACAGCATAAAATCGAACGGAGGCACACACCTATTGGCTTAATTGATTGCATATAAATTCATGAATTTCTGCAGGGGAAGGGGCCAAAAGACAGCTGGCGGGCACATCGACACCTTTAACCCGAGTGACTGATTGACCAACGGAGGAGTCCCTCACATGAGGTGCATTCAACTTGACGGGGACAAAGTACAGGGCTTAAAAGGAACCTCTGGATGTCAGCTGCCCGGGAATGAAGCGGAATGGTAAGTCATCCCCCGAAAAATTTGATATGTCTTCGCAGCGTGATGATGATAATATTTTGGGCGTGTGCTCGCCTGGCACGTCATACACTGAGGCAAAAAAGGAGCAATAAAATATTCACAAAAATTATCGCGAGAAAATTTAACGCTAAAGAAAACCTTCGCTTGATTTTATTTAAAATAAATTGTTTTTTTCTCTTGCAACAAATGTACGAATTTTTTTATTGAACTACTTCTTTTTTGTATAGTATTTTTTTCAGTTGAAGGCATTGATGGAGCACCCCAGGGGTTTAGTCGGTAGTAGCACTGCAGTCCATCACCGTCAGTCATTCGGTTTCAAAGCCAAAAGCCAGGCCCACATATCGCTTACCAACTTGTCAAGCCGTCAGTTCGCAGTTCACACCTGTGGCAGTTGAATAAAGCCTTGTGGGTCTCCTAGAACGCACTGGGCTTATAATTAAGAGCTGAGCAGTGCATCATAAAGCGCATAAAAAACATTTAACCGATTTTCCCCCTCCTTAAAGAAGTCATAAAGGGGGTATATATATAACTAACTGTATATAACTCCATATGTGCGGTTGGATTCCCACGGAGTGACTATTTGAGTTGAAGTTATCTGCGAGATTTGTTCACTGCCACTCGATGCAAATTAGTGTAATTGCCTTCTACGAGCTCTATATTTGCCAAGGTACCAGGCGGAAAGGGGTTAATGTGTGCCCTGATAAGTCGAGTCGATATTTACCGATATTAATACCCCAGTAATTAAAGATAAAACAAACACCAAACAGATGTAAACTGGTTCGAAACGAATTTAAAACTGGATCAAAAAGTAAATTGTGTCAAAAAAAAAGAGAACAAATAATCCCAATTGTTCAAATAATAGTAAACATTTTTCTCATTTTAAGCTCTTAAAATTGTGCAAAATACTTTTACGACTCACGTTTTTGCAAAAATTTAAGTGCATTTAGCAGTAGTTAAAATTTTAAAGCTTTAAATGGTATGTGGTTGTAAAATTCTTTTATTGTTGACTTTTATTTTAGAAGAATTAAACTTGTTGGCTTTATAGTACGAATAAACAACAGGTACCGAGTTAATTTTTATTATAGTTGTTATTTTGAATATTTTAAAATTCAAGAGCCCGCTAAGAAAGTATAACAGATACTTTTGTCACTTGAATTTGAATTGGAATCGGCGGCATGTGATCAAACATTGGACCAAGAGTTACCCAATATCAACCATATTGTGTGTAATAATTTAAGAATTTAGACATCTTTTAATTGTTTTTTCTTACTCACCCGCACAGTTGTGTTGTTGCTGCGAGACAATTGCGAGGAGCGCCACAATAATAGTAATAAAATACTCCATCGCAGTTACTTTTGTGGCAAAAAGTCAGTTATCACTTGGTAAATTGTCGTTCACTCGGGTACGCACATTACATATTTACACATTTCCAACGCGTTTCACTGCAAATTGTTTTTATTTTGTTTGTTTTTATTTTGTCGTATTGGGTTTTGTGTTGTTTTTTTTGTGAGCTGGTCTTCTTTTTCAATGATGTTGGCAATTAGCCACGTACAATACGTCCACGAACTTAATTACTTTTGATCACAAATTGATAAGTAGCATTTATCAATTAATGTGCGAAAAGCAGAGCAGGAAATATGAAAAAAAATTTAACAATTAGTATGGCAGATATAAAGACCATGAACCATAAGAGTTTTTTGTTTTTGTGGCCGAAGAATTTGAAATAAAATCTATTAACCGACGCTTATATTCCCTAAACTTTTTTTTGTTCTATGAATAAGGGGTAAATTTATAGTTCTATAAATTTGAAATATTTTATATATCAAAATACCCTTCCTTAGGGTATAAATCAGTGGCGGATACAGGGGGGCGATAGGGGCGATCGCCCCCTCAGCTTCTGAAAAAGGTGCTTCACTGGCGTGAACTTCGGAAACCTGCGTGTTACAGCGTGTCGCCAGTCCTTCCTTGCCCTACTTCTTCCCTTGTCTATCGCTCCTCCTAAGACTAACTAGCCTAGCATTGCTACATACGCATTCCGAAATCAGTATTCACATCGAGAGAGTTATAGAAAAGTTTTTAAAAAGAGGGAAAAGAATAATGGAATTCGCCATTTAGATTAAAATTAATTAATTTATTTGTACAGAGTGTTTTGAATAAAACTGCGTATAATTTTGATTATTTGCCACCTGCTACTTGCATTGTTTAAAAAAAATTTTGATCGCCCCCCAGGCAGATACCTGTATCCGCCCCTGGTATAAATGGTAATTATTATTATTGATAGCGGCGCCCACACTCCCGTTTGTCATTTGGGCAATCTAATTTATCATTCGGTTCATTCCGCACAAAATTCTCAAGAGCCGCGGGGTCTACGAATTCTGATTATTGCAATTCAATGTGAGCTTCGAATTTGTTTTCCTTTTGCGGCATTACAATATTATTGATATTGTTATTAAATGGTTTTCGCTGGCTATTTTTGGCCCGCGCCAGGTGAGGAGCTTAAGTTCTTTACTTTTGATTTCGCTTTGTTTTCTTTGGGATTTCGTTTCTACGTTTTTTTGCGAGAGGGTCTAAGGCCGAACCCCTCGGGTGTGGTTTTCGTATTCTTATTCTTATTAATCGTATTTTTTTTTGCCAATTCATTTCGTGTCGAATCGCTTTTTCGGTTGGCTCAATTGGTTTTTAAATGGAATAATTTAATTAACTTATTTGGGCAAGTAAATGGTTTCTGTCTGCGGGATTACCTCACAATTTGTTTGCTTGCTCTATTCAGAAAGTTGTTTGGTTTTTGTTTTGAATATGCAATTTAAAATATCTATATTTAAGTTGAATTACATAGCTAATTGCCTCAAACCCGTTATGCTTTGAAGTTTATACTGGGTCACAAGTGGAGAAACAAAAGCATAGAGAGTTGCTTGGCTTGCCAAAGCCGAACTAACGAATTCTATGCAAGTGCCAAGGCAAACACTCACATCCAAGAGGACGTGCCATGAAAAGCGCAAAGCGAAGTGGAAGTACGTGTACCCCTTACAGTACCCACTCTATAGAGTGGCCTCTCCACACTCCAGGTAACTCCGATGCGGAAGGTGTGTGTGGTGTGTGTGTGTGGTATCCACGGCAGGTGTGATAAAAAGAACCCGAAAGAGACAATTGCGGCGTGAATTACCCGCTGGCCAGGGGAATGGCAATGGAAGATAGCACGCATAATTCAAACGAGGCCCAAAGTCAAACAACGTGATAAGCAATTCACAAACACTCAGCGAAAAAGAAGGCGATTAAAATTCGTGCTGAAAATGTGTGATATATCTCCTTAAAATCATTTGAAAATATTAAAAAATAGAATAGAATTTATGTATGTTCTTTACCCCTAAGTTTTACAATATGAATATCAATTCAATAAAAAGAATTCTTAATCTCTTTTCGAACATCTCTGATCTTGTTAATGATTCCTGATTTCAATTCGAATTTTCTCAGTGCTTTCAAAGACCAAGAGACCGACTGACTGACTGACTGAATGGCAGTCCGAGTGTCTGCTGTCTACTTTTCGTCTGGCTGGCTGGCTGGCTGGCTCTTCAGCACCTGAGCACTTTAAAGTTCAAATCTTTTGACACACTGGGAGCCCAGTTGGCGGATGCTAATGACACACGACTGACACAAAGAGGCTTTGCGGCAGACACACGAGCGTTTCGCTTTGGAGCTCGAGAGATTGAGGAGCTTGGAAGCCAACCGGTTGCCAATTTGAGAATGCGAGTTGAGAGTTTCCAAAGGCCCGCAGCGGTTTCCCATTAAAGGTTACGCGACCCAGGCGATCCGGGCGCACTTTTAAGGTGCGTCTCCTTCGACCGTCCTGTTGCGCCAAAAATGGCAATTGCCATATAAACGTATTCGAATCCGGCAAACTAGCGACCAACCGACGACCGCCAGAGTCAAAGTACGACTGTGGAGGTTCTTCAGTGTCAGTGACTGCCCCCGACTGTTTTTCAGCTGCACTGCGACAAAAAAGGTCTTCGATAAGAATCTCAAGAGATAACTAATTTACCTAAAGAATTTTAAAGGTCATTAGAGTGAGTATTCATTTAAAATTTAATCTAATTTCTATCAATTGAAAAATGTATATAGAAAAGTGTATCAAACTAACATTTAAAATTTTTCTCTAGATTCTTTCAATTGTAAAATGTAATCTATTTAAAACAAAAATGTATCAACTTACTGACAAACTACTTTAAGTTTCAGTAATTAAATTGTTATTTACATTTTATTTTAAACCCTTCCAAATTACAGAAAAAGGAATTTATATTTTTTGAAATTAATATTGTATTCGATTATTTATTTTCGCCCAGTGGACCCTTGTTAGTTGCCTCTGTTATTTTTCGTTCACAGACATCGGCGAATTGGAAAAGAATGCGAGTGTAGCATCAACAATTTTGGCCTGGGAGCTTAGAGTTCTTGCCCGACTCTTTTTCCACGAAAAAGGGTTCAGCAAAGCAGAGCGAACCGCTGTCAAGGTGGCGTATGCGTGATGTTCTCGTTGAACCAGAACAAACACAAATGGCGAATGGCCAACAAACTCTAATTGATCTCATTGTTTGCGGTTCCTAAACCTGATCACTTGTAAAGGCGTGTGTAATATGCATGTAAATGAATCTCTTAATTGCCATTTGCATACGTTTCCAATTAATCTTCTGTCACCTAGGTAATTAAAAAGAAATATGTTTAATTAAACTAACGATCAGTAACTTGTCTGGAGTAAGTAACTACATTTTAATCAGCTTTCCACCTGTGCTAATGAAATAACCATAAAGCTGTCAACTCTGATGAATTGAATACCACATTTTTTATAAATTTTATGTTATATATTATTATTTGTTAGCATGCAATTCAATATAGTATTAAAGTATTTCCCTCAATAAACTGCAATTATTTGTAGTCACAAATTGTGTAAACTAATCCAACTTGGACACGCACAGCTAAATCACAATTATCCGGTGGCAATCTACACGTTTTCAGTATTGAGTTGTCAGTGCCGCTCGACGTGAGGATATTGGCTGGTTTTGGAAAATCCAAATCTGGACAATCTGGCCATAGCTCGCAAGTGAATTTCAGCGTTCGCTACATACGTAAAACACGATCTTGATTTTCCTAGACACGATTTATGTTATGGATGTCTTGCAGCTGCTGCAGCTTTTCGCAGACTCCTTAATTGTTCGCCCCGAATGGCATTTATTTATGGGACGGTTTAACAAGGTAATTAATTAGCCACCTTTTCGCGTTTTTCTGCTGGCCAAGTTTTCCGCGATAAGACTTCTTTTTGGACTGTGGGAATTCGCTGTTTTACCACCGAACTAACAAACTACCGAATGCGAACCGCTTTGCACGAGCTCCGTTTGAAAAATGAAACTGAAACCGGCAACCGGCGACTCCAAAGCCAAAGCCGCTGAAACCCACAAAATCGTACTGAAAACTTGACTGACGAAGCGGCTTCGTGTTGCCAGCCGATGTGAGTTTTTCCACGACACGAAAACACCCTCGCCGAGTTTCCCATTTTCCGCCGCTCTGCTGGGTTATCGCTCCACCTAATCAACGTCATCGCAGCAATAGTTAATACAGAGTTCGTATGAGATAATCAGATGTGCATGTTCATGTTCTACTGCTGTGCATTTTATTTACCTTTGGAAACATGATCTCATGTCGACCGACCACTTTCCTCGACAGCAGCTTCTTGCCATGGGTTTTCATGAAATATTTGTTCTACGTTGGGAAAGGATTTTGGCTTCGGACTTTATCTCTCGGTTATCACTTGGTAATTGTGGGAAATATTGGTCTTAGGCAAATAAATCTGCCTCTGCGTTTTAATTAAGATTGTGCTGCTTACTCTGCCTGCTGATCTTGTGAATGAATATAGAATATACAAAGCGATATCTGCAATCGATGGTGTTTTTATTTAGCAAACGAAGAATTCAGGGAAATGCTTAGAAAATACCTTGCTGATTAAATTATATTTGATGTGCTCCACTAAAGCTTACTTTCCTCTTTAAATAAAAAATTAAGATTGTGTTGCTGATTTTGTGAATGAATATGGAATATAAAAAGCGATATCTGCAATCAATGATATTTTTCTTTAGCAAACATTCATGAATACTTAGAAGATACCTCACTGATTTAATTATATTTGATATGCTCCATTAGCTTTTCCTCTTTAAATAAGATTTATTTTTTATTTAGCAAACAGTATTTATGGGAAATACTTAGAAAATACCTTGCTGATTTAACTATATTTTATGTACCTACTCCATTAACTTATTTCCCCCTTTAAATAAAAAATGTATTTTCTGTGTTTAGTTTATTGTTTAGTGTTTGTCAACAGCTCCGAGGGTCAAGCATGTGTGATCGATGGGTCTCAATATACGGAAAAACCAATTGGGTGCCTCATTTTCTTCAACATTCTTCTACAATCCAAACTATTGTGCCAAGAAACGAACGGCTAACTGCAAATGATAAATTTTATGCCGAGGTGGAGGAAATATGATGCAGGGATATTGGATTTGATTTGATTTTCTGAGGGATAAGATATCTATGATATCTAGCAATTGCAGGCGGGGCAGACAGGCTTGTCGCCATCGATGGTGAAGGTCTGGGTGGTGATGGGATTCTCGCACTTGATGCAGCGGAAGCAGTCGCGGTGCCACTTCACATTCATGGCAATCACCGCGGAGTCCGTGATGGGCTTCTCACACTTGGCGCACCTGGCGGCGAAGAGGTCCTCGTAGTCCTGCTTGCAGTAGGCCTTGCCTTCCCGCTCGTAAAACGACTGACTCGCCAGCGGCTTCTTGCAGGCTCCGTCGCAGCAGAAGCAATCCTCGTGCCAACTTTCGCCCATGGCGCAGATGGTTCGCTCGAGGATTGGCTTCTTACAACCGGCACAGGTGTACTACAAAATTAAATTAATTACTGCTAATTCATTAGAATATCTATATACAATACCGTGTATTTCTCTAAGAAGCACTTGTTGCACACCGGCTCGCCGTTCTGGATGTTGAAGGTGGCATCCTCGATCTGCTCCTCGCAATGGTGGCACAAAAAGTGCTCCGGATGCCAAGTCTTTCCCAGAGCGGTGATCATCCGCTTCGTGATGGCCTCATTGCACTTGTGGCACACAATATTTTCAGACATCTTGGCTATTGAATCGAAATCTTAAGCTGGAAAGATATTTAATTGAGTTTTAATAGATAAAACACAGTATGAATTTATGCAAATGCAAATAATTAATTTATTGAATTTAGACTAATGAATTTTTTTTAATTTTTATAATTTTACCTCCCGATTTTCACTTTCCCTACTCTTTTGAAACTCTGCAAAATTAAATATTCTTTCTTTTCTCCAAAAAGGCTCACACGGAAATGATGGCACAGAAAAAGAGAAGTGTTACGGATTCGGACAAATTTTACGCCTATTTTTTTGTAGAAATTTGGACGACTTTTTTTTATTAAATATAGAAAACGAAACAAATGAAAACGTATGAATTTAGCAAGACTCAAAGACTGAATGAGATATTCGGTGTTAACGCTTTCTATGTAGTTTGACAACTGAAAATCGTACAATCATCACCTACTAGACTTAAAATAAGTTCTTATCCCAGAATACTTGATTTTAAAAGGTTCTTTCTATATAAAACCATACATATTGTGAATCATTACAAAGTTTTATTTTTACCCAATTATTGGCAATTTTATTCAATTTGGTGGTTGCTTATTTTTTTTTTTTGATAATTTATAGCCACTTTTTCCTTGAAATTCAAGCTCTCGAATTAGTCACACCAAAAACCATTAAGAAATTGCCTTTAGTATGAAGAGGATAAGGGAGATCTTTTAATTCTAGGGGTGACTTCCCTCAAACAAACAGTCGGCAATTCCTTGAAGGAGCTGCTGAAAATGTTTGCAATTATTAAAATGTTTTCCCTACGTATTTATTAAAAAATTTAATTAAAGCAAAAATGTGTAAGAAACTTCCGCTTAGTCGGCAATTAACAACGGCTACACATGCGTGGAAGTGGCAGAAGTGGTGGGAGTGGAAGTGGGTGGTGGTGGTTGCGTCTTCAAAGGACCACACACCCACCCACACAACCCCCAAAAGGGCCATCGTTTCACTAAGGAAAAAAGGTTATTACTTTCTAATTGGATTTCTATTTTAAAGGGTTATATTAAATAAAATTATCTTTAACTTAGTTCAATTAAATTTAAAAAACAAAGAAAACATATTGTTATATTACTTTCAACTTATTATTATTAAATATATATAATGACCTTTTTTATGAATATTTTTTTCAATGTATGTTCCACTTCTTTTGTTCCCTTCTCGATGGCCGTTTGGTGGAGCACAGCATTGTTTGTGGTGGCCACGCAGTGGGTGGTGCGGACTTCTGGGTGGTTTTGGGTGCTACCAGTGGAATTGGGAGTAATGGGAGTTATGAAAGTAATGGGAGCGGGTGTCCTCGGCGAGGACATGTCACAATTTGGTTTGCGCTTTGATGCGTTGCAAGGAATTCGAAATTGCAGCCCCTTTTGGGAGCCATTTGCACTCATTCGTTTGAGAAGAACTTGTTGTGTAACTCGAAGGGGGAATTTGTGTCAGGCGACTGTCTGCGTATGCCAAAGTGCGTGGATCCTCATCCTCATCCTCATCCTCATCCTCATCCGCATCCTTGTCGTAATCCAGATACGCATTCCCACGAAATAGGTTGACCTGCTCGTAATTATTTTATTAAATACCTCGTGTTCCCCGTGTAAAAGTCGTAATTGCATTCGAGTTTCGCACTTTCTAATTGCTCAAAGTGGAACAGAGTTTTTTGGCGCGTTTGTGGGACAAGTTCAAAGAGCTGCTCCTTGGGGCCACATAAATGTATCCTTCAAACTTGCCCGCAATTGCCAACGCAGTTGCATGACCCACAATAATTTATTTGGGTTCCTCCACTGCACTCGGGTGGTTTTTTTTTATTTTTCGTGCGAGTAAATTTAATTAGTCGCAAGATTAGATTGGGCCAAGTGGGGGAAGAGCAGAAGTGGCCCGAAACTAAAGGGGTAACAGTTTATCACAAACCGTCAGCAGTCAGACAATTTGTCAGAGGAGATTTAGGGGTTATAATGCGACACACTTCGGGAGATAAACTTTGTGGGGATTATTGGGAAATTTCGGGTTTTGGCTTGTAAATTAGTTGGATAACTGGGTTGGTTCACCGGGGAAAAATGTAGAGCTTCTAATAAATATAAAAATATATTTTAATAGTTAATTGAAGCAGAACAAATATAAATTATCGTATACAGTTTGTTGTTTGTGTCATAAAAAATTTTAGAAAAATTTTTTGCGGAAAAGGATGGCAAATGTTACTACATTTCACTTCCTTTTAAATTGAAGATTTTTTTAGCGAGGAGAAACAGGAGCAATGACAGCAACGGGAGTCGCAATCAATTACGCGACAGTTTAATTATGCATCCTGGGAACGGATTCAGGATACAGGATACGGGATACACGATATCCTTTCCGCAGAGGGCGCATTGAACTTTGATTTGGGCCAGAGACCCGACAAAAGTCAGTTGGTCAAACAGGAATGCAGTGGATTGTTTATTAAAGTGGCTACTTTATTTAATGCGTTTAAAAACAGACTATGAAATATACGAGTGTATGTACAATTAGAACGAGGGTAACGACTAAATTAACTAGGATTCAGTAACTAAAAATATATTAAGCTAATCAATGACAATAACCTCCGCTTGATCCTGGGGATCGGGATCCTCTGGCTGGGGATGCCAGTACTTCTGCTTGTTCTTGTTGCTGGGTTTCTTCGAGGATATCAGAGTGCGTCTCTTCAGGCGCTTCACCTTCTTCTTCTCGCGCTTCTTCATCTTCTCCTGGGCAAACTCCAGAATGGTGCCCCTGAGTTCCAGGCGATAGTTCCGCAGATTGCTCAGCTCCTGGAACAGGGGATTGTCCTCAGCCGGTGCTCGGTTCTCCTCGTCCTCCTCGTCGGATACCAAGGAGTCGTAGTCGGTCCAGGATGCCTTGGGATCCCCAACATGTTGCCTCTGCAGCTTTATCAGCTCCTCGGTAAGCACAAGCTTCGAGGTGGCCCACTTCATCAGCTGGTGCTTCTTGGAGCCAATTTGCTGGCGATAGCTGAACAGTCGGAAGGTCAAGTTGGGAACAATCTCCTGCTGTGGCTGCTCCACTTCTGGTTTAATGCTTGGTTCCTGCTCCTTCTCCTTGGGAGTCAGGCAAGGAGTGGGCGTGGCATTCGTGGTGGCACGTGCCTCCGAACAGGACACCTTGCGATCCATAACGTTGCCCATGTTGTTGCTGATCTGATGGCTCGATTCTCTCTGACAGCTGCAATTCCTCTTCCTCAGACTTATATGCAAAAAAAAAAAAAGAAAAGGGTTTTCTTCAGCGAAGGCTTTTACCTGGCGAGGAGCTTTACCTGCACTTTAATTAGGGCTGCTCCTCTGCCCGATTTACGGGTCCAAACTAGTTGCTCTTTTATGGCCAAACACCTGGCGGGGATTAACGCACCGTTGACAAAGTTCGCTTATTTAAGCCTGCTGCGATCCACAACATTTTTCGAATCCTTTTGCAGGATTTTTCTTACAGACATTACCAAAAAGTCGGTTTTCGGGTTTATAAACTGTTTACTTGGGATTTAATTTCGCTTTGCAAAATACTTTAGGTTGGATTATATTCTCCAAGACTTCTAAGATTTCTGACATGAGCATGGGCTAAAAATTTCTACCTTCCTATATTAATAAATTATTAATAATTTTAAATGTAGTTCTTTTGAAAAGCCAATTATAAACATTAAGAGGTAGGCCACTTTGAAGTCGAGCAAAAATTGTCGATCTTATGGGTTCGGATTTTACCTTCTTGAGTCACTTTTCAGCAATTTGTCGGGAACTTGGCAAAATCTGACAAGAACTGGGGTCAAGAAATCGACCATTGAAAATTGTAACATTTAGAATGCAGTTTCTTCAAGAATGCGATTACAAACATTTAGAGATATGCCACTTTGGAATTGGATGAAAATTGACGAAGTTATGGGTTGTGGACCTCCAGAAGTAGGTCTCCTATTGGCAAAACATCGGAAAACTAGGAAAAATCTGACATGAACATTGGTCAAAATATCGACCCCCTGGAAATAAATAATTTTGAATGCAGTTTCTTTAAGGATGTGATTACAAACATTAAGAGGTATGCCACTGTAGAATCGGATGAAAACTGGAAAAGTTAAGGCTGTGGAGCTCGAGAATTTGGTCTCCTATTGGCAAAACATCGAAAAACTTGCAAAAATCTGACATTGACAGGAGTAAAAAAATATACTATTAATAATTGAAAAACTTTAAATGCAATTCGTTCCGGAATTCAATTACAAACCTTCGGAGGTATTCCACTTTGAAATCAGATCAAAATTCTGCAAGTTATGGGTTCCGCTGATACCACTTTTGGTTACTTAGAAACTCATCGGAAACTGGGATAAAATCTGACATGAACAGGAGTTAAAAATTAGACAACCTAGAAAAAGAAAATTTTGAATGCCATTTCTTCAATGATGCGATTACAAACATTTGGAGGTATGCCACTTTGAAATCTGATGAAAATTGGCTATGCAATAGGTTGTGGATCTCAAGAATTAGATGTGCTCTAGGGAAAACTTAGAAAAATCTGACTTGAACCGGGTTCAAAAAAGCGACCATCAGAAAACCAATCATTTGAAAGCAGTTTGTCAGAGAAATTTATTACGATCATTAAGAGGGGATGCTACTTTCAAATAGGTTTAAAAATGTTCAAAGATATACATTCTGGATTGGACAATATTGGCTTATACCTCTACAATTATACTAATTGTTAATTTTACCTGACTCCTGATGTTCCTCAGGCAAATTGGCAGACAATACAATACGATTTTGTAACGTATATTCGCGGCCATCTGTCGCATCTCAGGTAGAACTTAGACCATAGGAATTTCTAAGCTTCGGGAAAACCCACCAGCTGGCCTGCGGGAAAGGACAGGCAAAGGATAAAGCCATAAAATAGAAACCACCCACATGAGCTACCTGTCGCACTATATAAGCCTGGCGAGTCGACCTCATCATTATCACTCACATTCCAACTGTCGTAAGCAATGGAACGCTATTCGAACTCCAAGAAGCTGATGATGTTCCGCACTCCCAACGAGGAGGCGGCCAAGAATCAGATCTACATCTTCAACTCGCCGATTGACTACAAGGACCAGCAGCTGATTGTCTACCAAAAGCCGAGCATCCTGGCAGGAGACAAGGACTACGGCTACTGTGTGGTCTACAAAAGGGATCACTATGTGCTGAACAACCCACCGAACTTCAAGAGTCCCACGAAGCGGAGTTTCCTCAACGAGTGCATCCGCCAGTTGTATCTGATGTGCGGCATGGGACACAAGATGTACTGGCGCACCACCAGTGCCATGGCATTGAGTACTCCCGGCGAAGTGTGGCACCAGGTGAACAGCTGCCTGCTGCCCGAGAGACTTACCCCACAGAAGGAGAGCCTTAAGCGAGTGAAGAGGCAGCTCTTCCGGGAGCCACGAGCAGATCGCAAGAACAAGAAACCCGTGAGGGGCAAGGTGTGGGGCACCCAGGTGTTCTGCTTCAAGTCGATGCGGGAGAAGATTGGAAGGAAGTACATCCGCAGGGGCTACCTAACGATCGCCCGGCGGGAATGCCTCCAGGAGATGATCCGCGAGCACCTGGCGCGCCAAATGGCCTGCACCCCGGCCGCTTGCCGCACGGTCATCAGTGCCTCCGACGGGATCTTCAACTCGAATGCCGCTGTGATCGGCGACATCTGCAGCTACCACAACAATGCGGCACGTCATCAGAGCGCCGTGGAGCGAAGACTCACTGCCGGAGAAGCCAAGCTGCGGAACACCGAGGGCTGCCGACTGACCTCGAGGGCCAAGCGGCTGGAGGCCATGTTCATCCACGAACAGGTGCGTCGGGCCATTCAGAACCACCAGCTCATCCTCGAGGAGTCGGTGCGGTCCATCTACTACGCTAAGGAGCTCTTCCGCCTCATCGAGGACCACGAGGAGTTCGTCTACACGGACAACAAGATCCTCGGCAAGATTTGAGTGACCGGCATAGCCACTTCTATTCTACACTGATTCCTTTAAATGTACGCGTATTTGTAATTATTAGTAAATTTTAAAATATAAAAATAAAATCCAAAGAAAATACTTTCTTTTTTGAAGAAGTCTAAATGCGTAAAGATTGAATTTTTAATATATCAATATATTTATTTAGTGAGAAATCTTTTCAACATAGTCCTTAACAACATAAATGTATAAATTCGAAAGTTTAACATATAAAAATACATTTATTATATAAAAGTTCGTTCAATTTTGATTTGATTAACTATACTGAAGGGCAGATGGTATCGAGTTTCAGAGTCCACATGTATTTTTGAATCATCTGGGGTTACGTTGTCTTTTGTTGCTCTATCAACTTGGAATGGACGTCCATTAGGCTCTGTAAATATGTAAGATAATAGAGGTTAGCAAAGAATATTATCAGTAGAATCTGAAGTTTTTAATAACCTTACTATTAACTAATGATCTTAACGTGTAACTTACGAATTCTTCTTTACTTTTTGGATAGCCAAATTCAAAGTATCAAATAATTTAGAAAATAGTTTTATTTTTGTGTAATAGAGTATAAAAACGAGAGATCTGCATTTATAACTTATGAACATGACAAAATCATTTTCAGTTTCTTTCTTTTGTTTATAAAAGATCCAGGATTAAGTCGCAGGCAGCCATCCTTCTTTTGATATCCAATTCTTTGCGATGTTGTATATAATTAATCCAAGCAGTCTTACATTACTAAATTTTAACCATAATAATAAAATATAGAATAGCTTTGGATACGATCATTCAAAAATGGGGTCTCGGAACATGGCAAAATAAAGTTTGAAATACTTTACGCAAAATCAGTGTAGCCCTCCTGTTGGGAACCTTCGTCGAGGTCTCTGAGAATGCCCTGTGAAATTGTGGCAATGGCCAGTCAGCCAGTCATTAACAAAGTTCAGTTGTTCTTAGCTTTATACTTAACCATTAAACTGTAACCTTGGAAGCCATTATATTACAAGCATTTTGTGTAGGCATGCAAGTCCTTAAAACTAATAAACAACCATAAAGAGATAACCTTGTAAGCCCTTCTAAAACTATAAATATTATAGAACCACCAAATTTTTTTGGGGGTTAGAAGACCAACACCTTTAGTTACTACTAAGCACCAGTAATCCAGCTCAGCTGTATTTCAATCGAAGCCAAGTTTTCTACTAAAGCGAGGCAATCGATGGCGGGCATACCTTAAAGTATTTCACTGTCTTAACTCTCAGCTCCAAGGTGGCATCCTCGTCGCAGATCATCAGTGTGTTGGCATGCTGCTGGAAGGCACTGACGGTCCACATGTGGTTCACTCCCTCCTCGATGGCCTTGTAAAGAGCGAAGGCCTTGTGGGCACCCGTGATGAGGATCATCACCTCCTTGGAGTCCATCACGGTGCCAACTCCCACGGTTAAAGCCTGCTTGGGCACCTTGCTCATATCATTATCAAAGAATCTGGCATTCGCTTCGAGCGTATCTTGAGCCAAAGTTTTCACTCGGGTTCTGGAAACCAACGAGGATCCGGGTTCATTGAAGGCAATGTGCCCATCGGGTCCAATGCCACCAATGAAGAGCTCCACTCCTCCGGCTTCTCGGATCTGATCCTCGAACTTGTTGCACTCGGCCACCAGATCGGCTGCATTGCCATCCAAAATGTGCACATTTTTGGGCTCAATATCGATGTGCTTGAAGAAGTTGTGCCACATGAAGTAGTGATAGCTTTCGTGGTGATCCCTGGGTAGACCTAAAAAGCAAAGGAAGTTATTATTATTTGTACACATCAATACAAATGTTTTGATCTTCGACAAAGCAGAACCTACCCACATACTCATCCATGTTAAAGGTTTTTACATATTGAAAGGATACCTTTCCTTGTTTGTGGAACTCAATTAATTCTTTGTACATTCCCAGAGGAGTGGATCCCGTGGGCAGACCCAAAACAAAGTATCTAATAAATAGAACAAATTAATGAATGTCAAAATGATTATGTTATTTTTAAATATTAATACTTGTCTGCATTCGGTTGGAAGTCGTTTATCCGTTTCATCACATATTTAGCCGCCCACTTGCCAACCGAATCGCTGGTCTCCAAAATTACCAATCTCATTTTGTAGCTTCAATTTAAATAATCTGTAACAATAAAAGGAAATGTATTAGGTAAATTAAGCAATTTCAAATGAACATATTTTTTTTTTTTAATTTTTAGAGTTTATTTTTTTAAGCTCTTTATTGTCAAATGGTATTCTTACTTTACCAGAAACACTGGAAAACGTTTCCAGCTGTGAGTAAAGAAAATATGTGTTTTGAAACGGGAAACAAAGGCCTTATCACTGCAAAATATTCACAATAGCAGCGTGAGTTGATACTGTCAAGGATTAAGATTAGATTTTGATATTGTGGGATAAGATACAAGTAAAATTCGCTCATTCAGTTTTTCTTTTCGTGTGTTTGCGGAGTACTCCGAAATACTTGTTTATTGTTGTACTCGACCGATAAGCCGCTGCTGAGTATTCAGCAATTATTGACAATTAACTCATTTATGGCGTTGTCCCCAACCGAAAACACTTTCGTTCTCACTTGGCAACACGAATTGTACTTGAATTTATTCATCATACTTTGGCTACTCACCTTCAAAACACGCAAATGCAAACAGCTGTTTATTTGTTATTATTTTTATACATATATTATTTAACCGCTCGCACTGGCGATTTTGGACTTATTTCCAATTTGAGCTGCGAACAGAGAATGTTCAATTGTTCAATTCGACGGGCAATTTATGCGGCGATTAGCTCGAGTTTGAGTTTGTTTTGCGGTTGCGGTCGAATACGCTCTTCAGCTGATAAAGAGAATATTTAATAATCGCCAATGCAGTTGCAACCTTGAGATACTTTTTGTTATCGTTATCGCGGGTTGAACGGTCAGGGTTTCTGTGCATCGAGAACGCACTCTCCTTTTCTGATTTTGTAATTTGCAGTTTAATGAACTCATACAAAAAGCCGCATCTTACGCTCTTGAGTGGTTCAAACATATTGGATTTGTAAGCCCTCTCTCGTATCTGTGACTTTGTACCTCTCAGTTTAATGAACTTCAACTTCAACCCGCAACATTCGCTCTTGAGTGGTTTTTCATGCAGTCAGAACTCCCTCTATGTATCTTTGTATCTTCAAGTTTAACTAATAGTACGTTTGGCTCTTGAGTGTTTTATCGAACAGAGTTGGCACCTTATTTAAAAAATGGGTGGAAAAAGTAAAAGAGAAGGAAATTAATTGGTGTAAAAGCCGGTTACATTTGTAATTCCTCACTCATATTTATTTACTCAACTGCTTTCAATAAATAACTCAAACTGACGAAATTTTGAGTTTTTACATCACCCGCATTGTATACATACACACGCAGAAAAATTAAAAATCCAAAAATAACTCAACGCGGCGAATGAAAAAGCAAAGCGAACGAGAAAAAAAGGGCCACCAGGCGGCGAAATTGAAATGTATACCCTGCAACGCTAATATTCTAATGGGCATATTAGTTCAGTATGATTTTGAATCGCACAAAAAACTCAGTTGTAGTTAATTTTTTTTATTAAACATGGTTTCTTTATTTTTTTTTTATTATCAATTACATACATAAACGTAGATGTACTTAAAATTTAGTTTCGTATTTTCATCGGTTTGTGTATAATAGTTTGTGTGGGCGTTATTTTTCTTTGGCCGACGTAAAACGCGACCACGCCCACCCATAAAAAAAGCAACGGATCGTTGAGCCGCTAGATGATCTTCTCTGTTTCTTTTTTTTTTTAATTGTTGTACATACTTTTTGTTGCTGTGTTTGTTGTTATTGTTGTCTGTTCGGTAAAATGTCTGCAGGAAGCTCAAAAACCGGTTACAACCGGGTGAAAGCAGTTTGGGGGTTGGGGATCATCGTAAACCCTATGGCCATGGATAAAAAATATATATTGCTGGCTTCTTGTCATTTCCGTAGGCATGTTTCTATATATAATGTATATTGTATTTTATGCTGATTGTACAAAAAATACTTAAATAAATAAGTCTGTTGTCAGGAGCATCTTTTAGTTAGTTCTCTTGACCTGTATCTATGTATAATCTTCCCTCACTTGTTGTTTGCTCGTTGTTTTTGTAGTTTATGGTTTGTTAATCTGGGGTATTACTTAAAAGCTATTTACTTAAGAAGAGGGAGAAGTGCTCAAGTCCATCGAAAATATTGTTTCTCTGCAATATTTTCGAAGTTCTTGTCGGCACAAATACAAAAAGAGCAGGTGGTTTTGTAAATTCTATGTGGCATAAACGTATTACAAAATGTCCGCATTATACCAAATAAAGTTTACAATAGATTGATTACGTGGAAAGACGAAACGTGGACAAAAAAAGTTGTCATTGAAACAATAAACTAAAAAGTTATCGTGGAGTAAGTGGAAATGAGAACAGTTTTCAAAAGTAGACAAACGAAGATTATCGCTTAACTGCTTAAGCAGATCTAAACAAATGATTTTTGATTAAATTACTGGCGTTTCAGCCACAAAAATAACTTAGCTAGCTGGTTAAATAAATCTGTGTACCTCTGCGTTTCTGTGTTGGGCTGTTATTTATGCTTTCCGTTTTTTCTTATTGTTGTGTGTGTCTGGTTCAGAAAAGATTTTTGTGTGTGTGTGTGCTTGTGTGGCTTTACATAATAGCGCACTTCTCGCCGGACTGCTGAGGATCGCCCTGCTGGTGATACAGCTGCTCGTTGCCATCCACGGCACTCACGCTGCGACGGCGACGGGTGGAGAGGTGTTGGGACACCACGCGCTTGAAGCGATCCAAACTGGCCACAGACTCGCCCTCGGCGTTCAACAGAACCGTCCTTGTGTTGTCGGCAGCGACCCACTTCTGCGACTTCATCACCAAACTCGATGGCGGCTCGTGCGAGGCCTTGGTGTCCGCCGACCAGACGGTCACCGTGGCATTCGGCTCGATCTTTACGGAGCGATGGAACTTGTAGGTGGTCGATGGACCGCTCTCGTTGATCAGACGCTGCAGCTGCCAGCCGCCGATGGCCACCTCCTCGCTTCCCTTGTTGTAGAGCCTCACGAACTTGCCCTCGGGATCGATCTCCTTGATCTCCACGTTGCCCTTGGCCGTGGCCGACACGTAATAGTCGGAGACGCTGCGGTCCTCGGTCTCATCGACCACGTTGCGCTTGCGCTTCGCTGCGCCGGAGGGCGTATGACGTGAGGGCGTAGCACGGGTTGAGCTACGAAGCGACTGGCTGAAAGACTGAACGGTGGCCGTGTTGGCAGCCGGCGTAATGTTCAAACGCGCCTCCTCGCCGACCAGCAGCTTGTCGTACGCCGCAATTTCCAAGTCCAGGGAGACCTAAGCGATAAATATAAGTTTTAGTAGATACAGAATTCATAGGAATTTATCTTAACTTACCTTGATGTCCATGAGGTCCTGGTACTCCTGCAGCTGCTGGGTCATCTCTTCGCGCAGGCGAGCAAGCTCCCTGTCGAGCAGGGCCACCTCTTGGCCGTGGCGCTCGCGATCGTTATCCAACTGGAGCTCCAACTCCCGGATGCGCGCATTGAGTACGGCATTGGTCTGCTCCAAATCGTTGATCTTGGCGTTGAGGCCATCGATGCGGACACGAGTCGAGCGCAACTCTTCGATGGACTTGTGCGTGGAGTTGCTTGTGCGTGCAGCGGCTTCTTGGAGGCGACGGATTTTGTCCTCGTACAGGTTCTCGATGTCGTCGCGATTAATGCGCATCTGCTCCTCGTACTGGTTGCGCAGCTCCTGCAGCGATTGTTTTAACTTGGCATCGTATTCGGAGCTCAGGCGTCCGTCGATCTCGCTGTACTCCGTCTGGCGGATGCGGCGCGACTCGTTGATCTCCTGCGAGTGGATCTGATCCTTGAAGGAGAGCTCCTCGCGCAGGCTCTGGATGGTGTTCTCGAGGTCGACGCGCGACAGTGTCTCCTGCTCCAGGTTCTTGCGTGTCTCGTCGAACTGCTTGCGCAGACGCTCCAGGTCCTTGAGTGCCTCGTTAAGCTCTTCACCGATTTTCTTGCGATCAGTGTTGGCCTGGTTGTATTTGTTGCCCAGATCGTTGGCACGCGACTCGTGCATGCGGGCATTGCCTGCGGGGTGGAAAAATCAATCAATTAATGTAGGGAACGACTTGAAACAAATTTTAATTGGGGTGAGTTTGACTGAGAATCACAGGGGAGGAAAGTCGACTACAGAAATGATCAGATTGGCTATTATACCCAATCGATGAAACACTTACCCTCAGCGGTGCTGCACTCCTTGGTCTTCTTGTCCAGCCGAGTCTTCAGATCATCATTCTCCTCCCAAAGACGCTTGATGTCGATCTCGGCACGGGCCCGATCCCGGGCCGTTTCGTCCAGAAGACGGCGAGTCTCCAGCAGCTCAGCCTCGAAGATGTTCTTGATATTGGTGGTCTCGCGTGTAACCGTGTCCCTGGTGGTCTGCACCTCGATGGTGAGGCGGGAGTTCTCCGTCTCCAGGTTGCGCACTCGATCAATGTAGGTGGCCAGGCGATCGTTGAGATTCTGCAGCTCCACCTTCTCGGCCACGCGCGAATGGCGGGTGGGGCTCAGGGGGCTGGAGGCCGACTGCGAGTGGGTGGGCGGCGGCGGCTGCTGGTGGTGCTGCTGCGGACCCGCCGATGGCGCCCGTGGGGTGGAGGTGCTGCCGGGCTGCGGCGTGGCGGTGCCAGCACGTCGGGATTTGCTCGACATTTTTAAGCTAAAAAGACAGATAAAATCACAAAATAACACGTGAGTTTTTTGTGCTTTGACCTCGTTCAGACAACACAGAAAAAAATACAGCTACCTATATTTATTTTCAGCCTTCAATATTTATACCTTAATATAAATTGGAATTGTTAAAAATATTAATTTGAATAATCTTTAATATAACTTATTAGATACTGTTTACTATATAAAACGTTGCAATTATGGTGTTTATGTTTTTCTTTCTCTGTAAAATATGTTATTTTTGCGCCCTGATAAAATTCCAAACAGAAATCGAAAACGAAAAGTGGAAACGCACGAAACGCTCAAAAACAGAAGCTAAACGAGTTTCTCACGGACTCTCTCTCTCTCACGCACACACGCCATTTACACTCAAGCGACTGTACTAAAGCGGACGAGAGAAAAAAGCGAGTTTGGGAGTGAGTTTGTCGGCGTTTGTTTATGGGCGTTGGGCCAAAAGGAGGGGCTAATACGAATTTAATCAACTGCACTCCTTAACTAATCGAAGCGAGTAACTTTAACCGATTTGATAAGCCCTTGAACATTGCACAATATGGCGGTTTTAATTCAATATTTGCGGCATTTTCACGCAGCTGTAGGCGGGGGGTTATTTCGATTTCGAGTGAAACTGCATGCCGCCTATCCTCGCCGTTTAATTACTTATTTCATTGGGTTTCCTTAAAAACATTGGTTGTTATTGGTTACAACGCAACTCACCTCTGTTTTGGTAACAAACGCAAGAAGCACAAATTGGAAAACTAAATTATTTCGCTGCAATAAAACGCGGCCGACGCTGAAAATTGTAATCGAGAATTGTTGCGATATGTTTGGAGATGGCCCATCGGCAATACTAAACGATATTTTTTGGGGGAAAATAATGTGACCAGATTTACAAGCAGTCAACCCAAACATTAAATATCGTTTCCAGCCCTGGCAGATTTCTGTAAAATAAAGCCGCGGTCACTCTGCTCTGTTTTTTTCTGCTTCGCGTCACGTTAAATATTTTCCACAGCTGAAATCGTTTTAAAAGTTGCATTTTAAAACGAAAAACGTGCGCACAAGGTGAGTTGAACTTGGGAGCCTTGCAAAAGTTTCAGTTTTGTCCATTTGCTATTGGTATTTCACTTGATTTTGAAATACACGCAAAGCGGTGCGGTGAAAAAACAAGATGGCGGAGGGTACGCCGGCACCGGTTCCGCAAAAAAAAGCGGCATTTTCTTTTACAAACACATGTAACTTACAAACTGACTTGCGTTTTTTATTCAGTCTTTAGATTCGCATAAGCTTAATAAAAAGAAAACAGCAGAAATGGCAGATAATGACGATCTTTTGGACTACGAGGATGAGGAGCAGACTGAGACCACTGCGGTTGAGAACCAGGAGGCACCCAAAAAGGACGTTAAGGGTACCTACGTGTCCATTCACAGTTCCGGATTCCGCGATTTCCTCCTGAAGCCAGAGATCCTTCGAGCGATCGTCGACTGCGGTTTTGAACATCCTTCAGAGGGTGAGTTTTCTCTACTTTTTCTCATGTACAGTCTCTAACGATCATCTAATACATTGCAGTTCAGCATGAGTGCATTCCGCAGGCCGTTTTGGGCATGGACATTCTTTGTCAGGCCAAATCCGGTATGGGCAAGACCGCTGTCTTCGTCCTGGCCACTCTTCAGCAGCTGGAGCCCTCGGACAACAACACCTGCCACGTTCTGGTCATGTGCCACACTCGCGAGCTGGCCTTCCAGATCAGCAAGGAGTATGAGCGCTTCTCCAAATACATGCCCACAGTCAAGGTGAGTCATCAACAGCAATTTTTATTGGGCCAAATGCTAATTTTGTCGACACATCAATAAGCTAAATACTGCTGATATTGCAGTGCATTTGGGTTAAATGTTGCAAATTTAATTATCGTTAATATTTTCGCAATGTTAGAAAGCTTAACAATTGTAACCATATCAATCTTCTATAATTCTTCATGTTTCGAATTATTTTAGGTGGCTGTGTTCTTTGGTGGACTGGCCATTCAAAAGGACGAGGAGACCCTCAAAAGCGGAACTCCTCACATTGTGGTCGGCACTCCTGGTCGAATTCTGGCTTTGATTCGCAACAAGAAACTCAACCTGAAGCATTTGAAGCACTTTGTTCTGGACGAGTGCGACAAGATGCTGGAGCAGCTGGGTACGTTTAAGAAATCGAAACCTTTGACTCCTTACTAACATTTAAACCTATCTTCCAGATATGCGTCGTGACGTTCAAGAGATTTTCCGTAGCACACCGCACGGCAAACAAGTGATGATGTTCTCTGCCACATTGAGCAAAGACATTCGTCCCGTTTGCAAAAAGTTCATGCAAGATGTAAATATCAACGTGTTCATAACCAAAATGCTCGTACTTCTCCACCTCGCATCCACCGCTATCACGACAATTAGTTATTATTTTATTAACGCCACCCGATATCGATTTCTCGATCTCGATCCCCCATATAAGCCAACCACCATCTTGAAAATGGTTAATCGCGTAAACCCAAACGTCCAGCGCTCTGTGAGCATAACTCGAACCGAAAAAGTTAGCTGATAAAAGCCAGACACCATTTTCTAAATGGTTAAACGCGTGAAAAATCAAACCGTAGCGAAAACATAACCAACCAGTAACCGCTGAACCAATCAATAAAAATCGCAATGATTTAACAAATCAACGATAGAAAAAAACCAAAATCCAATCAAACAACGAAAAAAAACAGCACCCCCCGACTGGCACCGATGAGCCCAGGTTGAATCCCAAAGCGAATGCGATGCGATATGCCGCTCATCTGTAATCCGCACACTACTCAGAGAGATCGTCGATCCTCGGGAGCAGTTCAGAGTCTAGTTGATGAGATGTGGTGGTAGCGTGGCCGTATGTAGAATATTCTAAGCATATTGTTGTATGTTCCGAGGCGAGCCTAGTCTTAGTTCGATTTCCGTTTACCCCCTCTTGATTGTTCCCTTTAAAATGCGCCACATTCTATTTTCGATATCTAGCCCATGGAAGTCTACGTCGACGATGAGGCCAAGCTGACGCTGCACGGATTGCAGCAGCACTACGTCAATCTGAAGGAGAACGAGAAGAACAAGAAGCTGTTCGAATTGCTCGACGTGCTGGAGTTCAACCAAGTAAACAATCCACAGAGCAGTAACTTTTAATGGGTTTCTAATGAGTTTCTTTCCGCATTTAGGTTGTAATCTTTGTGAAGTCTGTACAGCGTTGCGTGGCCCTGTCTCAGCTGCTGACGGAGCAAAACTTCCCCGCCATCGGCATCCACCGTGGAATGACCCAGGAGGAGCGTCTGAACCGCTATCAGCAGTTCAAGGACTTCCAGAAGCGCATTTTGGTGGCCACCAACCTCTTTGGTCGCGGCATGGACATTGAGCGCGTGAACATTGTGTTCAACTACGACATGCCCGAGGATTCCGACACCTACTTGCATCGCGTGGCCCGTGCTGGACGTTTCGGTACCAAGGGATTGGCCATCACCTTTGTTTCGGACGAGAACGATGCGAAGATACTTAACGAAGTACAGGATCGTTTCGATGTGAACATCAGCGAGCTGCCCGAGGAGATTGACCTGTCCACATATAGTGAGTTATAGTGTACTTTTTATATTTACTTTGATTCTAATTTGTTTTGTTTTTGCAGTTGAGGGACGTTAGAACTCAAACACGCTTGGTCTCCAGAACTAAACATAACTGCGTTAGACTAAAAAGCAGTTGGAATAGCTACAAACTAACATCTTTTATAAAACTCTACTTTAAAACTAAATAAAAAAATATTCAGACAATGTTTTGACGTACGAAAATGAATGAATATGTTTTGCATTTCTTTTTGGGTCGGATTTTATCACCCATTTCAAATTAATACTTACATTAGATTGTAGAAATAGTTTGGGACTCTTTAACTAAAAGCAAATGCAATTATTTCTAAGTCTAAAAACCTGTATATTTCTTAAAAAGTAAATAAACACAAAGATCCCAGACCAAATATCCGTTTATTTTTGGTATTTTAAAGATTTAATCGCATTGATTAAGAAATCCGGAACACGCCGGAATAGTTTAGTGTGTCCGTTTCAGGACATGCGCAATGGCTCGGAGCTTCCGGCAGCTGCATTGCGACAGGAAGGACGCGGGGTCGTAGGGGTTGCCCAAGCAAGAAGGAAAACAGGAGGCGAAAAACAAAAACCAACGTCCAAACAATGTGAGAAAATGCACGCGTGCGAAAATGCTGCTGAAAAAGTATGTGAAAACGCGGCGTAAGGTGAAGATACTTCTCCTGCTGGCCATCATCGGTCTGCTGGTCATCACCATCATAGTTCTCGGCTCCAGTGGACGAAATGCGGCCATCGAATTGCTGCTGGACGAGCGGTTCATCGCCCGAGCCTACAGGCCCCGGGACCAGCCTCAGTCGCCGGAAAAGCCTCCGGCGATGGCCGTGGCCTTGATCCAGCCGCAGCGGGAGAACGGAGTGATTGTTCCGGAGAAGTACGACGAGCAGAAGATCAAGGAGCGAATTATCCAGAGCAAAATCGATCTTATGAAGCAGCAGCAGCAAAGGGACCACGAGGCGGAGCAGGCGGTAATATATTTTAATAAAAATATTATATCTTTTTATATTGCCAAATGAAGAGATATTTAATTTTAATAATAAATTATTTTTATAATCAATATATCATACACTCATACACACTTTGCATATATTTTCAGTCAAGAACCACTTTGGATGTGGTAATGACAGCAGTGCACATTTTCTACACAGCCCCAGTGCCCTGGTACAAGTCTAAGAAGCCACCGCCTCCGCCGGTCGAGCATCCAAACGATGTGCCCCTCACCACTCCCCGACCAGTGAGGATCCTCAACACAGCCTTCTACCCAGCATTGGGTCTCTACAAGCCCAGCACCTCGCTGCTCTCCCAGCACTTCGAGAACATCCGGAGCTGTGGCATTGGAGTGCTTATCCTGAGCTTCACGGGTGGGAAGCCAGCGGAGACGACGCTCCTCCACCAGATCTTGGAACTGGCTCCGCAGCACAATCTAAGCGTGACCTTCGAGCTCAGCGTGGCCGGAAATCAAAGTGTGGAGTTTGTGCGGCAGCAGCTGCAGGAGATCGCCACCTACTCCAATCTGCCCGGTTTTTATAGGGTGTTTAGTCAGTCGAGAGGTGTTTCCCTGCCAGTTCTCTACGTGAGCAATGCCTACAAACTGAGTGATAGCCTGGGCAGGCTGCTCTGTCGAACGCCTTCGCTGGTGGAACCAGATGGTCTTCGGAGGGTTCTGGATGCGTTGTTCATAGGACACATAAGGTGGGTTAATGTAAGAATATATTTTAATCAAGGTATTTATTATTTAATTTCATTTTCAGACTCAAGAGCCATGCGGATGTCCTGCGACGGTTGTGCTTCGATGGCTTCTACAGCAAGCTGCCAAGTAATGGAGCTGTGTTTGCCAGCACCTGGAAAAACTGGTCGTATCTGAAGTCCTTTGCCCTATCCTATAAAATGCTCTTTGTGCCTACTGTGGGTCCGGGATTTGCGGAGAGGAACAAGTTTCCGCGGCATGGAGATATTCAAAGGCATCGCAGCAATGGAAGGGTAAAAAATCTTACTTAACTAACAATTTAAAGTATCTGGTAATGTAATTTAATATTTCAGTACTATGGAGTGGCTTGGAGAACAGCAATACTAAACCATGTGGGCTTCATAAACATAGCCAGCTACAATAACTGGCCGGATGGCAGCCAAATCGAGGAGGTGATGCCACGCGCCGGGTTCCTGGACTACAATCCCGGCTCAAGAACCAAGTATCTGGATCTCACGGCCCACTGGGTGGGTAACTTTCTGAAGACGCGCCAGGAGGCGGCGGCTGCAGCATCCCCGGCATCGCCCCAAAATTGCTACGAGCTCTTGAATGGAACGATATGCTAGGCGCAACCGCAACTGCAACTTCCGCAACGGAGATAATCCTAGTTACTTTAGAAGCAATAGCAACAATTGCAGGCCACACAATTACTTTCGAACTGTTAACGAGTCTTCTGCTACACATATATACACTTCATATATCGTTTTGATAGTGATATTTTTAAAATAACTCAGATTAATTCGAAAACATCAAGGGAATGACAATTACAAGTCGGGGTTTTGTGCAAGAAATCTGTGAAAAACTATTAGTTTTCTTGCCAAAATGCTCGACAAAATATGAATCAAACGCAAAAGAAAGCAATTAAAATTGATATCAATTAAAAGTAATTCTAGAGCCAGACATACTTTTTTATTAAATCTATACTAGCTTTCAATTATTGTAGTACATAGAGAAGAACAATATCATAACTTAATGCCATGCCATATTATGTAGACACCAAAGAAAATTATCTATGTTATAACGGATATAAACTAAACACTTGTTAAACGATTGGTACTTAAAAAATTTTAACTTTATTACCAGTACAATATATAAATACTTTATCTAAGCTTTAATAGTTTAGTGCCAAACAAATAAGTGTTTTATTACGGGTTGAAGTGAAAGTTTCGATTTCATTGTTCAACACTTCTTAGCATATTTCTCTTTGACAGGTGAGGTGGGCTGTCATTAATAAGATTTTAATAGTATATTATTCTCCGGAAGAGATTTTCATAAGACCATGTCAACTGTGAAAGGAAAAACTGGGGAGAAGTCCGAAGGAAGAAAGACCAAGGGACAAGGACCAAATGGAATAAAAGGATGTTGCTGCAAGAAATCGCAATGCATAAAGAACTATTGCGATTGCTATCAGTCCATGGCGATTTGCTCAAAGTTTTGTCGCTGCGTTGGTGAGTTTTAAAGTCTTATAATAATACTCCTATAACTAGAAACCTCAATTTGCAATGTTGTACTTAAATCACGAAGTTAATCACCATATTAAATGCACTTATAGGTTGCAGGAACACTGAGGTCCGTAAGGCTGTCGACTCCGCCTCCGGCTCCAAAAACTCCAGCGCGGCGAAACGGGAAAAGGCAGCTGCCCTGAGTGCAAAAGCAGCAGCTGCAGCGGCCAAGGCGGGCATCCAAGTCCAGATAAAGGGAGTCCCAGCAGGAGGATCGGGAGCAGGACTACCAGGAAAAGCACAGGCAGTACCATTTGGACTCGTGGCTGGGAAACAGCCGACGGCTGCTCCCATAAGCATCACTATTCCCCGTCCTCCGGCGGCTACTTCTACTCCAGCCAGGGTAGTAAAGCCGCCTGTGGAACCTATTCCAGTTTCGCCAATCTTTCCGGTATTTCAAGATGATCGAAAGGAGCGTAACCTTTTTGTCCAACCGGTAAACGCCGCTCTACTGGAATGCATGCTCATCCAGGCGACTGAAGCTGAACAATTAGGATTCAACGAACTCCAAGTTGGCCAATTGGTGTTAGCGGAATTCATACGCGGATATAGGGAGATCTTGGAAAAAATCTGTGAATATAATTGAGATTCTTTCAAAATATTCCAGGTGTATTTACTTTATTAAAGGAATTTTCTTTAAATATTTTTTATTTTTTTAGTTATTTAAGAAAATATTTAAAGGACTTAATAGTGAGATAAACAGTTTGTACAAAAATATATAAAACTATAGTACAGTATGTCGAGAAAATTACTTGTATTATTCTACCTCCAAATAATCACAAAAATTAAACCTAAAATGTAAAAATAAAAATAATAATAATAATAAAAAATTTCAGTAACTAAATGCAAGTAATTCAGGCTATATTTAACTTTTCAGCTAAGTTAAGATCAAGATTCAAAAATTTCGAAGTCTACCAATCGGGTGGTTGGAAAATAAGTTCCGTGACAATCATGTCGCAGCTCGATTTTCTCTGGGACAGGCGGGATCCAACTGGCGTTGATTTGTGCCTCTCCAGTGGCATTTCGTTATCACTGTCACTTTCTGATTGCTGATCCTCCTCCGAATCATCATCCGCATCTCCGCCAATGCGCCTTCTTTTCTTTTTGGCTCCTTTGGAAGTTTTCGTGGAGCGATACTTTTGCCAAAACTGTGCTGGCTGTGCAAATTCAATGTAGTTGGGGAATCTCATCGCCAGAGCTCGACAAAAGCTGTCAAAAGTGTGTCTGAGTTCGGGTGTCATAGCTGACTTTAGATTTCTATGGGTTTCTTCCACATATCGGAGACAACGCTCCAATTGCTTGAGCTGTAATGGGAAAATATAACATTACTACCGAGGTTATATTTTAGCCAAAAAGTATAGTAAAACTTACAGGTTCCTCCGAGGACTCTGCCTTTCGTCCCCTTCCCCTGGCTGCTGCCTCTCCAGATGCAGGTTTGGGTGGAGGAGGAGTCGCCTCCATTGGCTCATTCTCACCTTCATCGTCATTGTCGCCTTCACCTCGAGAACTTTTCTCTTTGCCGCTGCTTTTGGTTTGAAAACAAATGCGTCGCATAATAAAAAGCATATCCTGAACCACGATCAATGCGCCTGGATTACTGACAAAAGCAGAGTCTCTGGTTTTTTCTAAAAATGATTTCGAAGAGTTAAAAGCACGATTTATGTTATTTAAAAAAATATATCTTACCCGCCAGCAGCTTTAGTTGACCAAAGTAAAGCAGCAACGTGTTCTCATCCACCGATGACATAATGTGATTATAAAGTAACCGGCGACTTTTTACATTTTCTGGTCCCTTTAGTGGCGACTTATAGTTGCCATATGTCCTGACACCTCTTAATATAGCCTGATCATTCAGATCGAAGGGACACTCCTTGAGGCAATGATCAAACAGCAATTTGTTGTACAACCTTTTGTAGCGAATGAAAAAGGCATCCGCCTCTCTGGCCACCTCGGCACTTTCGTCCATCAGACCAGCCAGCATGGAAATGAGAATCGGACCCTTGAGCTTGATATTTCCGGAGAGAATCACATCCTTGACACACCGAAAGGTGCGCACTCTTGTCATGGCGAACTTCGAATGAAGTTTCGACAAAATCACCTGGAAATTACTTTCTAGTATAGAAGGATGTTTCTTCCCCAGATCGTTCAGTGCTATCAAAGTGGTATTGATGATTTGGGGTCTATCGTTTTTGGTCAGAATTGTCTTGTAAATCTTGGATACACTGTTGGCCAAGTGAGTTTCCCTCAGGCACAATCGACCTGCTATCACAATCATCCAGTTGGTCATGCGCTCGTTATCCGAGTCAAATTCCGATTCGCTGAGCTTGGTGCATTCTTGTAGGTACTTAAATACAATGGTAACAATTCGGTTGTCCACCTCCAAGGGCAGCATCACAATTATCTCAGTGTATGCACCTAAAAGGCACTGCAGTCGGGCGTGTTCATCCTGAAAGTTCTGGGCACTAGACAGAATTTCCTCGGTGAGATCTTTCAGCAAGCTGAGCTGCCAGTCTGGTGCCTCGGAAGCCATCGATGGAGCTTGGCTAGCAGATAGATGATGGATTTGGTTGAGCAAATTAACTGCGCTGGAGATAATGCCCAGCCATATGTTGCCCGTTCGCAGGGCATTCAAAAGTCTCTGAAATATTTGATTTAGTGCTGGCTTGGAAAAGTTGTTCAGACAACCAATGATAAGCTGCAGGGCCAAAAATTGGTTGGACTTCATGTTGTAGGAAGAGAGTCCATTGAAGATGCCGATAAGTGCGTCCATATTGTTGGTTATGCGACTGGAAAGAAGCAGCAGCAATCCCCAGGCATCCGTGGCCATAGATGTGGATAAATGTGAGATTATAACATTCACGAGTTTGGGCCTGTAAAAAGATTAATAAAGTATTAATATCTGTTAAATTTAAAAGTTCATTTTTACCTACGTTACAATAGATTCTCGTTCCAGTAGCACCGCAAATCTTTCTTGCAAATAAGCTCTAGGTTGAGTCATAAGCAAAGTGCTAATGATTCGCCAGGGCATAAAATGTTTTGGCGCATTTGAATACTCCAGTGGTTGAATATTTTTCAAAACCATTCGATCAAAGCTCTGAAAAATCATAGAAAAATAAAATGAACTGTAAAAATTCATTATTTTTGTACCTACCATTATAGCAAGTTTTTGAAGAGCCACATCCTCATCGCTCATTAAGCAAGCCCAAATCCGGCAGTAAACACAAATCAAGGCAAAACAATTGGAGTATTCCTCCAGCAGGGTTTCTATGGTTTCCAGCGCAGATTTCCTAACCGAAGCCAGTCGATCCACAGCTAGCAAAGAGATTTCCCTCACGAAATTTGTGTTGTAAATGATTAGCGGATTTACCAGAACCAATCTTTCGAGTAAAGCAAGGCCCGCAGATCTAGCTAGACCATTATCGGCGGCCAGAAATCGTTGATACACCGTTTGAGGGATATTCTTGACCTCTTGCTCCAATTCCTCATGACCCTCAAAACTGAAGGCGTATTGGACAATCCCCGGCTTCTCGAAACGCAGCTCATTTTGCTCAACCGATGGTTCATTTAGTGCCTCCACATCCGCATCATCAAACTGCACAAAACGAATGCTCTCGTCCAGAATTTTTGCCGTCATGGGGGATCCTTGCTTAAGAGCAAGGACGAGCACTTGACATGCTTTTCGGCGGACAGTGAATGTGCGATCGTTGAGACATCGGATCACCTCCCTCAAAATTGGAACTTCCCTCGGCACCTTGGACACATCGTACCGGAAAATGCTCCACTCGACTTCGCTTTGCTGCATGAGGATCTTTTCAATCAGATCCAAGGCACGAGTTTGAATACCCACAGCATCATCCGCTTTTACAGCCTCTAATACGAAGTCTGCACAGGATTTATTGCACTTGGCGAACAGAATCCGGTCGTATTTGGCTGCATATCCTATAGCAACCTTCTCATCATTGCTTTTCCACTACAATAAAATAAGCATTAGGGTTAAATTATTCGTTATATTGAAACTACTCACCGCTTTAATGGGATTGGAAACTACACACTCAATGTAGAAATGCAGGATACGGATGAGAATGTCGGGATACCTATCCATAAGCTGGATAAACCAATCCGATATATGCTCCCCGTTCTGCATCGGGCCTCGCCGACCAGCTCCAATGCTATGCGGACTATCCGTGTAAACATGCATGGGAAAGGTTTGCCGCATTATCAGATGAAGGGTTTCGTAGACATCGCCATTGTGTTCGTTGGCTATTTCTCCAAAGAGCTCAAAGCATTTGGCATGCAATGCTGGAGCACCTATAAAATAAAATAGATACAATTTTAAGTCTATTTACAGTTTAACTGTTATAAAGTTTAAAATCACGTTACAAACTAAATTTAAAAATCGATTGAAACACCGATTGGGAGGCTGCCAAATCGATCTAAGAAAAATCGATTACAATAAATTTTTGTTTGCCATCTCCAACGCAAGGCAGGCGAATAATTTCGGGACACCGCGTAATTCTTACAATTCCATAAGATGTTGGCCCTTGTGCGGATCCAAGGAGCAGTGGCTTCGGCGGGTCAGGTGCGTCTCCTGTCCGCCCGCCTGCTTGCTAGCAAATCATCCACTGACATCACCTCAAACCGATGCGAATCAACCAAATCGCCGGCTACGGAGCACTACGATATAATCATAGGGGGCGGCGGACTGGTGGGGACCACTTTGGCCGCAGCTCTGGCCAATAACTCCACGCTGGCGGATAAAAAGGTACTCCTTCTAGAGGGTGCACCAGAATTCCGAGGATTTGATCCGACGGGACCCTATCAGAATCGCGTATCCGCCATCAACCAAAACTCCATAGAATTGTTCAAGTCCATCGATGCTTGGTCCCACATCGAGTCGGCTCGTTACAAGCCCGTCAAGCAGATGCAGGTGTGGGAGTCCAACACGGATGCACTGATCCAGTTCCAGCAGGATAACTTCGCCAGCGATGTGGCTTGTATTATTGAAAACGATCTGATCCTGGATGCGGTTTATGCGCGGGTCAACGAAGCTTCTAATGTGGAGATCCTTAACAAAGCCAGAATCCAATGCGTCAGCTTACCCAAGGATTCTGGCAGTAATGTCTCCGAGCTGCAGCTTCAGGATGGTCGCTCGTTTTCCTGCGATCTACTTATTGGCGCCGATGGTGCCAATTCAGTGGTGAGGAAGGAGATGAATGTGGATGTCTTCTCGCTGAACTACGACAGGATGGGTCTGGTGGCCACCTTGGAATTGGGCGAAGATGCTTGTGATAATTCTGTGGCCTGGCAGAGATTCTTGCCAAATGGACCCGTGGCTTTGCTGCCGTTGACGGATAGACTGAGTTCCCTCGTTTGGAGCACCACCAACGAGCAGGCCAAGATGTTGCAAGCTCTCCCGCCGGCAGAGTTTGTCGACGCCCTCAATGAAGCCTTCTGCAGGCAGTATCCTCGCGTCGAGGTGGCCGACAAGGCAGTTCAGGCACTGAACTCTCTGTTTGGGAACAATGCCAGCCACCACCAAGTGCAGTACCCTCCAAAAGTTTTTGGCGTTCAAGAGAAGTCGCGCGCTACCTTTCCGCTGGGATTCCTGCACGCCTCGTCGTACGTCTGCAACGGCGCTGCACTGGTGGGTGATGCCGCCCATCGTGTGCATCCTCTCGCCGGTCAAGGCGTCAATTTGGGCTTCAGCGACGTGAGGTATCTGGTGGAGTCCCTGGCAGCCGGCGCATATGCAGGATTCAAGCTGGGTGACAAGCAGCACCTCGTCAAGTACGAGCGCAAGTGCCTGGCCAAGAATGTGCCCATCATGCTGGGTGTCCACGGTCTGCACACCCTCTACTCCACGCAGTTCAGCCCGGTGGTTTTGCTCAGGAGTCTGGGACTTCAGCTCACGCAGAATCTGCCGCCCATCAAAAACTTGTTTATGCGGGGAGCGATGGGTCAGTAGATCAACGACAATAAATGGTTAAAACGGGGTAATTAAATCTAAAGTGTTTGCAGTTATTCACTTCATTTGTGAACGGAATAAAGAGAGAGTTTATATCAGAGTCTAAAACCTACTTAACGTCTAGGTCAATGGCATGCTGGTAAAATATTAGTCTAGAGTACAGATTCGGCCTATAAATTGTGCAACTGTTTGATTGGTTCACAGTTTAGGGATTTCTTTTGATTGAGGCGGATGTATTGCTTTTTAGATTGTTAAAAAAGTTTCTTTAAAAAGGAAACAAGTAGGAAACAATTATAAAATATTTAAAACACAAAATAAACATTAGTACTTTTATAGTAATGGAAAGCAATATTTCCATTATGGAAGAACAATTAGGAACATTTTTAAGACAACACACGATTTGGAAAAGAATGCACAAAATATTCAGCTTGAAAAACAAAGCTTATATCTAGTTCAACATTCGTTGTTGGTAGTTTTTAGCTTGGTGGATTTGGGTTGAAGGCACTTTTGGCTTTTGGCAAGATTAGTCTAGCTTAATATTAAACAAAATTTGGCATGTTGTTTTTGGAAGTCTGAAGAATTCAAAGCTCCTGGTGGTTTTTGGACAAACTCTCGCCCAACTTCAGTTGCAGATCGAGAGGGCCCTTCTCCTCCAGGTCGAAAATCTGTTCCCGATCGCTTTTTAGCCGAGCTTCTCCCTCTTCACTCGTGTCGACACTGATTTGCTGGGAGTCCTCGGTGTCGGAAATGTATCCCGAATCTCCGGTATAGAACACGGGATAAAGCAGCAGTGGGGAGGCGCTGTAAGCCACGAGATTTCTTTTTGGGAACTCCTCGCTCCAGGTTTTGTTGGGGTGTCGATCGAACATCAAGGGAAGGAACTCGTCTACGGGTATTAGTTTATCTAGCGGCTTGGCTGCCAGCAGCTTTAAGGCTCCTTGTAAGGATAAAACGTAGCCAATGGTCCAGTAGGAGTAGCCAGCATGCACCAAATTATCCGTATTCGTCACAACTGGTTCACTTTCCTCCTTCAATCGCTTGCGACCAAAGTAGATGAGATCGTAGTTTGCGCCTCTGGCTTGGTTCAAAACCCTGACTGCATTTTGCCGGAAGTAGGGTTCAAAGCGCACATCATCCTCCAGAATGAGCACCTCCTTCAGTTCCTTGCGCACCATCATCACCCAAATGTTGTAGTGGCTCAGGAAACAGCCGATCTCGCCCATTGTCATGGCTCGATGGTGATAAGGATCCTCATAGCCGGGCAGGAAACGTACGCCCATTTCCTGCAGCCGTTCGGTAGTGAGTTCTTTGCCATCGACAGCCGGAAAGTATTCCGTTTCAATGCCCAGCTCCTCGAAGAGCTGCTCCATTTTCTCCCGCCTCTCCGGTCGTCTTTTAAGATTTATCATAAATATGCGATCCAAAGTCAGCTTGCTTTTCTCAGGTTTCTTTACCAAATGTTTGTAGTAATCCAGTAGAGGAGGCACTGCGCCCAGTTCGTTGACCATGAGGCTTCTTAGGTTCACCAGCTGCTGGAGATCATGATCTAAATTATCACCCGGCTCCAAAGGTTGCAGTATATAACCAAAGTTTATGTCGTTGCAGATGTGCAGCGGAGTACCCGAACTATTGGCGGATATGGCAAAAACTATAATATCATCCACCGGTCCATCGTAGAGTGGCTCCTGTCCCCTGCTCGTCTGCAGCTCTACCAGCTTATTCTTATCGAATGTGAGATTCCTGGTTGCCTTATGGTTTATGTTCACCAAAACAGCTGTGTGGATCATGGGCACTGGGAAACTGCCTTGTTTCTTCACATGATAAATTTCCTTGTACTCATCCGTTCGCCTGTAGTAGTAATCCTCTGTCATTCCGCACCAGAAATTTGAGTACAAGCTTTCCGAAATCAACATAGGAGAAACGATGGGTAATTGAAGACTGGTGAGGGTTTTCAGAGCCTCTTTTGATGTCAGCAAGACATCGGCGTCCAGGAAAAACACAAAGTCAGCCCAAATATCGCGACCATATTGAAAGGCTTCCTCTTTCAGGGCGATAAGGTGCTTGAAACGCGATGCGGGCCACTCGTACTGCGAACTCTCATTGGCGTAACTCTTCTCCTCTGGCTCAAAAACATAGTTTACGCTGTGATAGAGATCCGCCGAGTGATCCAGCCACTTCCGTAGTAGGTCTATACTATCGTCCTGGCTGTGATCACAACGCAACCTAGGGTATTTCATCAGTTAGAGGTGTGATCCCCATTTCTAAAAATTTATAAATATACCCACCAAAAGGCAATCCTTTCTTTCGGATAATCCTGTTGCTCCAGATAACTTAGGAACATGGGAAGTGTGTGAGCTTTATTGCGGACCAGCAGCGCAATAAGTATCGTTGGTGGCTCCTGGTAATCTTCCTCATCCTGTCCAGAAATGCACACCAAAACACTGACCAGGAGCAGGCAGAAAATCACTTGTTTCTTCATCTCCACGTCATTGATTTAACACATCGCTGGGTTCAAAGGGGTCACAACGCACAATCTGGCGCGGCGGAAGCGTCCGATCTGTTTGAAAGATGCCGGAGAATCAAAATCGGCGTTATCTATTAATAAACTGCCTCCTTCATTTCCAGCTCCAGATAGTGTGTCTCTCAAACTGCATCAGCTGTGGGTGCTCTCAAACTGTGAGGAAGTGTTATCGCCAGTTATCGATTTGACGAAGTTTAAATGCATTTTTGCTTGCATTTTTGTTTCGAAATTCTTTTTAAATATAAATAAACTCAGAAATGACTATTGCATTTTTAACAGATATAACAAAAATTTATTGTTTTAAAACCAAATTACAAGCAACTTTTTTTTTACGCTGTCGCTGCATGTGGCTTCGCGTAGCTAGGGAAGTTGAGTTTAAGACCCTCCTTTGCTTCAAAAAAGGTGTACGATAGAGTTATGGTATCGCAGTGCTCCAGCGCCGGATCTGCCGTGAATTCGGGGTCAATGTAGAAGAACACGGGCATGTCAACCTCCTCGTGTGGATTCAGTTGCTGTTCCTCAAAGCAGAAGCATTGGATCTTGTTAAAATAGGCACCCGCCTCGAAAGGTATCACATTGTAGGTGCTGATGCCAATAACCGGCTTATCCGTGGGATTCCGGGCTGTGTAAAAGGCGAGAGCAGTCTCACCGGGTGCCACTTTAATCTCATACTGCTGTGGCTTGAAGTTCCAACGCATGGAGGATCCGATATCTGCATTGAAGCGGATTTTTAGCACCCGGTTATCAACCTTTTTCATGTGCTCCACCTTCTCCGCATCATGTCCTTGCGAAGTGGTTCCTCCGTAGCTATAAGCCTGACAAAAGATGCTATATAGTGGCACAGCTGCATAGCTCAATCCCACTATTAGCACTCCACCCGCTGTTATGTAGTATAATGTGGATTTCGCTCGCAATTTCCGGGCAGCTTCCTGCGGAGAATCCGTCGATTTCATCCGCCAAAACTGTTGTGACTTTTGCGAGGTTTTTTGATGTCGCAGGGAAGTCCTGAACAGCTGATGGCATGTCCCTCGAAGGCCAATAAGGCTGCGCAACATCTTTCGTTTTTAATTTCAGTTAGTTAAGAGCTGCTCCTTAAGGATTTTATTTATTTCATCACTTGTTTGTATAATCTTGCAGGTTGTTAGGTATGTTAAAGTGTGTACACACCAAGTTATATCAGCTGTTTGGTACAAAATAAACGGGAAACTATCGATAGGCAAAACTTTTCTTATGGGCCAACAAATTTGAGAAAATATTTCTTAAAATGTATTTTCAATGAACACCGGCAAACGTCCCTGCACTAAATATAAAACTAATTTTCATAGAGGTAAAAAAACATACATTTTTTAGTACAAGTTATGTACAGTCAAAAAATATAATTTTTGGCGCCAAAAATCACAAAAACATTACTTTCATTTAAAAAAACATAATGACTTCTTAAAAATATAACCTTAGCAATAACAACAGGCCAAACTCACATGAATTTTGATATCCAACTTTAAAGTTCATGTAGAGCACCTCCATGAGGCATCGAATAATTTTGTCCCTCGGCTTCAGATGTTCCTTAAAATGCACATAGCGAAAGACCACTTTCAAGTCATCGCAGATGGTAAGGAAGAACATCCAGACTGTGTTTGCTCGCAGACTTTTGTTGTTATTCAGTTCCAAAAGCCTAAAGATTTTCAGAACCTGTTCGATCACATCCTCATCAAAGATGCCATAGCTCTTGGCTCCAGGAATGGTCAAGGTTAGGAGATATGTGCTCACAGCATTAAGGGCCAACTGGAGATTTACGTTCTCATTCAGGACCTGCGGAGCAGCCTGCCGTACATGATCTGGCGGAATGACCAGGCTTACAAGGGAGTAGATGTAAGATAGGTACGCATTTGCCGGGGAAACCCCGATGATATTGGCCCAGTTATCATGGGTGTTGCTATAGCTGGCCTGGTTCTCGTCCCTCATAGAGCGTATAACGCCAGATAAATCCCGGAGCAACTGTAGCTGCGTCTCTTGGTGGCCAATGTCCTGTTTGCACATGGTCAGCGACCAAAACTTCTGTGCCCGCTCCTGCAAAGCATTGTCCTCGGCTTCCTCGCCATATAGCCAATCCTCTACATCCACCCACTGCAAGTGCGGTACATAATACACTCTTAAATCACTAAAAATACGATTTAACTCTGACATGTTTACATTTTACGTCTCCCAACTAAAAGCCGATAACAAAACAGCTGTTGTTACGAAAAAGATAATCGAATAACGATAAAATCGAAGAGAGCGGTTAGTTTTCAAAATTGGTACAAAATCAGGGCTGATATATTAATGCATTTACTTGGCTTATTATTATGCAATTTAGTTGTTGTTTCGTGGTTACATACGCGCACTTAGTTTCTAATCCCGCTGACAGCTAGAAATCCAGCGAGGCTGTGGCATTGGAATTGCTCAGTAGACCGGAAACGCAACTTTCCGGCTTGGCAGGAGACGACTCCTGCAGCTCCGGGGGCAGGTGGAACTTCTCAATGACGAACTTCTTACGGCGCAATTTAAAGGCCAGATCCGTGGTGTCCGGCATGTGGACAGCCAGCGTGTTCAGCGCCGACATCTTGTGCAAATGGAGCAGGCCACTGTACTCCTTGAAAGCGGGATGCGTTTCCTTCTCCGACCCGGCAAACGACTCTAGTTCGATGGCATAGTCTACCAGCTGGCGGATCTTGGGCACTAGGCTCTCGTCGTACTTGGCGATCAGGTGCATGGGCATTGTAATCAGACACACCGAGTTGCAGTTTCGCACACTAGCCATCAGCAGGGTGAGGAACTTGATCAGATCCTCACCAAAGTGCTCGTCGTACCACAGCGGCGATCCCAATGAGGTCAGGCAGACGCGGCAAAGGTTCTTCTTGGTCCCAGCTACAAAGCTCTCGTCCCGCAGCAGCTGTTGGATATCGTTAAGAAGTCCGCCGTAGCGAGGGTTATGGAAGACTTGCGGCTGCAACTCCTGGCTGCCGGTTTTTGTGCTGCTCGTGCCGCTGCTGGTATTGTTGTTATTATTGTTCGTTGAGTTTTCCTCCTGGGCCGTATTTTTCTCCTGAGGAGTGGGCTCTGCCCCAGGAATCGGTGGGGCATCTTCCACGGGCTGCTGCTCCAGAGACGTAGACGTCGGCGAGCTACTCTTGGAGAACTCCTCCGCAATTACAATGTCCGGCTCCTTGTGGCTATCGTCCCACATGGTGGTATTGGCATAGTAGAGCATCATCGAGTCCATTTGCTCCATAAGATTAAAATGATGACCGATCTTGGCGGTTGCATGTTCGGAATTGACCAGCGGCAGATCGTTATATCGCCAGGCGATTCTCAGGCCATTCTCGGTGCCTCCGGAGCTCTGCGCCTGCTGCTCCTCGCGTTGTTCCACTTCCGTTTCCATTTCGGTCAGCGGTTTGGGCAGACGACGCATCATCTCCACCGGGATGTCATCCAGGCTGCCGAGGAAAATCTCCTGCTTGGACAGCACGCCCTCCGCTAGAAAGTACTTGGCCAGCACCTTGGCGTGGGTCATGAAACGGTCCTCCTCGATCAGGCAAATCGATCCCATGGGCAGACCGCCGCCGATGACCACGTCCAGATACGGGTTTCCGCTGGAGGTAATTACCTGCGCCGTGTGCGGCGAGGTGCGGGTGCCGCGGATCGGCTTCTGCACGGTGCGCTTGCGGAAACTGGTCATCTTCGTCGGCTAACCTTTATTTTTGCGTTCTTTTCGCTTCTTCGTGTTCCCTCTCTTCGCGTTAACTTCTTTGATGGCTGCCAATAGGGGCACACACTAGGCGGGTCTATCGATTACACTCTCAGCTGATAATTCGCAAGTGTAGGATGCGATGGTTTGTCTTGTATCGCAAAAAAAAAATAGCTAAAAAAAGTTTTAATTTCTTAAAATTTTTTTAAAATGAAGGTCATTTATAGTTGATTACTTAACTAAATCCAAGCGAAAGTTAATTCACAGCGTTCTCTATTGAGCTCTATGAAGTGTGATTATAATAAATGGCAGCCTGCAAATATCGATAACGAAAACAGCTGATTGGTTCAAAGTTTTACCTGTGCAACTTTGATGACAAACTTTTTGTTATAAGAACTAAAGCAAAACAATTGGTAAAATACGTTAGAATAAGGCCAAAATGGCTGAATTGGCATCGCCGCAGATGACAGAACAATTGGACAATGAGGAGGTTCGGGAAATCCTGAAGAACACCACAGATCTTCGGCAGTATTCACGGCAGATTGAAAAGGAGTTCAAGGAGGTGGAGAACAAATCCATAGAGGGTAAATAAGACACTTTTATCCATATGTAGATATGTTTTTACAATTCTTCCTTTAATATTAGACTACATAGCTGAATCCCAAAACATTGCGCATCTGCACAATCAAATAAACGATTGCGACGATGTCTTGGAGCGAATGGAAAATATGTTAATGAGCTTCCAGAGCGTTTTGAACAACATAAGCACGGAGATCACGCAGCTTCAAAAAAAATCGGTGTCTATGTCCCTTCAGTTGACAAACCGGCAGTCAGTCAAGGCCCAGTTATCCCAGTTTATTGAGGATATGGCTGTTTCCGAGGAGATGATTAATATAATTATGGAAACTCCGGTTACTGACCGAGAGTTCGGCTGTCAGTTGAGTGTATTGAATCATAAACTTTCTTTGGTAAAGGAGCTTAGCTTCAACGAGTCAAAATCCACTAGCGATGTGAGCGATGTGCTGCAGAAGTTGCGACTAAAAGCCATGAGCAAGATTCGTTCTTACCTGCTGGAGCAGATCTACAAGTTTCGCAAGCCCATGACAAACTATCAGATTCCTCAGAATGCCATGCTCAAGCACAAGTTCTTCTTCGAGTTCATCCTGTCCAATGAGCGTCATGTGGCCCAGGAGATATGCAGCGAATACATCGAAACGATGGGCAAGATTTACTACAGTTACTTTAGGGTTTGTAGATTACACTTACATAGTTTTTCTTCATAACTTATTAACGTTCCTTACAGAGTTATTCCACCCGCTTGACGAGTCTCAAATTCGAGGAATCCTGCACAAAAGACGATTTAATGGGCATAGAGGACAATGCCTCCAAGGGTTTATTTTCCAAGACAACAAGTCTGAAGCACAAGAGTACTATATTTACAATAGGAAAGCGAGGCGATATACTTAACCAGCAGTTGGAGGCTCCTATCATAGTGCCACATGCTCAGCTGAAGAATCGAGTAAGACTTATAGTTTTTAAGTTTGAAATTACCTATTAAAACAGCATTATTTTTCAGTACACAGTAGAAGCTCTTTTCCGTTCGGAGCAATATGCCTTGGTGGATAATGCCTGTAGGGAATATCTGTTTGTCACTGAGTTCTTCATGGTGCGCGGCACCCAGGCGCAGGATTTGTTTAACCAGATTATGGGCAAAACCTTAACTCTCATGATTGTAAGTGAGCACTTAAACTTCCTTAATGTAAACAATAACTTTTTCTTTATTTTAGAAAAACCTGGAAGCTTCTATACATGACTGCTTCGACACCATAGCGATGTTCCTGTGCATTCATCTCATTTTCCGCTATCAACTAATGTGCCACAAGCGCTGTGTGCCTGCATTGGATAAGTAAGTTTATTTGTGGGCGTTGTTTTTAAACTTCATTGTCACTTTGTTTCTACACAGGTACTGGGACTCCTTGCAAGCTGTTATTTGGCCGCGTTTGGAGCTGGTTTTCCGTTTAAATATACAGAGCATTCACGACTGTGACCCAACCAAGTTCAACAAGGAATTGGGGCCGCACTATGTAAGATTATCATACTGTTTCGCCACTAATTGCCAAATCACAATTGAAAAATGCGTGTTAACTATCTTGATCGCATAAATGCCAAGTCATATAATACGTATTGTTTTTTCAGATAACACGACGCTATGCAGAGTTCAGTGCGGCCATTGTGGGAATCTCGGAGCACTTTCCCAACGAATTGGTGAGCAGATTGCTACTGGAACTGCAAAACGAAGTGGAATGCTTTATCCTGCGTATGGCTGCGATTTTTCCAACTCGCAAGGATCAACTCATCTACCTGATCAACAACTATGATTTAGTTTTGGGAGTGCTGATGGAACACACGCGAGATAATTCTAAGGAGGCAGAGGCTTTCAGAGAACAGCTTAACGCACGCAGTGCCGAGTATGTTGAAGAAATCCTGGCCCCACATTTCGGAGGCATCATTCAGTTCGTGAAGGAGTGCGAGCACTTCTTTGAAAAGGAACAAATGGATGAACTGAGAAAGCAGGAGCGAAGAAGCTTGGCATTAGTCGCCAGCTTCTCGGCCAACTGGAAGAAATCTCTCGAGGAGCTTAACAGGGAAGTGCTCCTATCCTTCCCATCGCTGTTAACGGGCTCTCAGCTTCTGCAGCTCGCTTTGGCTAGTTTGGTGCAGTATTACCATCGCTTCCACAAGCTTCTCACACCCAATGCCCGCGCCCAGCTCACAAATATCCATGTGGTGATGGTGGAGATCAAAAAGTACAAGAGCAATTACTGAGAAACACTTTAATCGAATGTGTGTAGACTTCTGTGTATTCCGACTTGAATAAAGTTCCAAAATATATGTTATAGGTATATCCGCTTAGCGCATTGACTTAGTCTTCATCCTCGAACATCATCTCGACGAGATCCTGGTTGGAGCAGCGTTCGCCATCGAGACGTTGTGGCTGCTTCCAGCGCAGCAGAGTGGGCAAGAAGATCAAATGGGTGTTGGGATCCTTGCGGAAAGGGCAGTTCAAGTCCTTCCAGCTGCGGCGAAAAACAAGTGTTATTTTAATTGTTTACAGTGCTTTTGTGATAACAGGTCAGTGCTGAACAAAACTGAAGAGCATCGTAAAGCTATCGCTGTTTAATCGTTTTTATCATGAATGTTCTCGGCGTGTGAATAACCACTCGAAAGTTTATTTCATCATCAAACAGTTGCGGTTAAATGAATAGCTGCCAATTACCGAAATCCGGTTATTTGCAAATTAACTAAAAAGTGCTACATTTTATGGAAAAAATCAGAGACCTCTAATTTGACTTTCAATACTATTCTTCTAACCGCAACCTGGGGTTTAAATATTGCTATTAACTTACTAGGCGCGTTCGCCCACATCCACATGCACAAAGTGGGAGTTGCCGGGGGCCTTCTTCAACGCATCGTGTATCACCGGCTCGGCTGCAATCGTACGTAAATGTAATATGTGAGTTGGGAAACCAGATAACCTGCGGTCAACCGCATTGGAGAATCATGGCATCTTACCCTTCACGCAGTAGGGACACCAGCTCTGGCCATTTTCATCTTTTCCGCCACTGAACAGGACATGGACCGCCTCGTTTCCGTTCTCCAGCTCCTCCATTTTCTTGGAGAACTCCTCGTAGCCCTTAACATTGTGTGTAACAACCATTGTCTTGCCCGGATTGGTATTAACCGCGTAAAAGCGTCTGAGAATTCGACTAAAAATTGTTGGGACCGACGTGATGGTGCACTTCAGAGTAACTTTCTGGAATGAAATCTCTTATTTTATCAGGTTCTCTGACGTAGAGTTGTGAAAACATCGGATGACAGGGTTGTCAAAGTTATAGTTATTAGTAGCACGTCGAGTCCCTAGCGAGAAACTAGCTATGACGAAAAATATATTTAAGGACCTATGAAGTATATTGGATTCACACAAATTACGCTCTTGGAGCTGATCAAGACCTATTTTACGATTTTAACGGATTCCAAATAAAGCTGATTTATTTTCTCGATAGTCTCGCTAATCGATAGGTTTTGAAGTGGCAGCTCTATTCTTATCGCCCAACACAACAGCTGATTGGAACACTTTTTTATAAAGTGCATTTTATTTGTTTTTCTATCACTAATTGGGACTTCAGCAATGTCACGGCTTGCTTTGTTGCGCAATTTGGTAAGCCATCGGCAGAATCTGCTGCCGAACAACTTTGCCAGGATAAAATGTGCGGCGGCGATGCACTGGAGTCCACACTTGAAGCAGGAGGCGTCGCGCGGTTTGTGTTTCGACTTCCCCATGGGTTACATATATTTATTATTGATATATTTTGTGAAGATGGTGGCGGTAGTTCCTTGCAGCGATCGCAGGATAACACCCAGGTGTCTAAGGATGTGCGGCCCATCGGCGAGAAGATCAAAGAGAATACGAAAACTGCTAGCTATACGGCTATAATAATTGCTGGATTGGGTGTAACCTGTGTCATGTTCTTTGCCATATTCCGGGAGCTCTTCTCCAGCGAAAGTCCCAACAACATATACGCAGATGCTTTGAACCGTGTGGTGAACGATCCGCGAGTTCAGGACGCTATTGGAGCACCCATCAAGGGATTCGGCGAGACTTCGCGGCGAGGACGCAGGCAACATGTGGCCCACTCAAGCTACGAGCGTCATGGAAAACCCCACATGCGGATGCAGTTCTATGTGCAAGGTTTAAGGAACAAGGCCACCGTGCAACTGGAATCCAGAAGGGTAGGAATGATTTGCCCACTTTATAGTAAACCTTTATTTTAATATGAATGATCTTTGACTTTTCCTAGTCAAACGGCGGCAAACTGGAGTATCGATACCTATTTGTGCAATTGGATCACTATCCCCACACCACCATTATTCTGGAAGACAACCGCGCCTTTGATCCCGCCCCTGAGCCAGCGTCCGCTGCATCTTCCTTTGGCAACCTTGCACTGATGTCAAACAGCCGGGACAAATGAGCACTGCACTTAAATTTTCTGTACACTTGTTATATTTATTATTTGACTGACAATGAATTTGCATTAGAAATCCAACCAGCGGCAGCCTCGAATCACTCGCCAATGGAGAAGTTGTCCATCTCCATAATGGCGCCCGATTGGTGTCAGTAGAGCTTCTTCCAGGGTATAATCTCCCAGGACCGAACAATGTGGCGACCGAAGAGAAAGTCTTTTAGCTTGTTCATGATGTAAAACGAGATGCCAAAGAAGGAGGCAAAGTACAGCCAGAACTGGCCAAGACGCTCCCAAATGCTCAGATGATAGCGAGCGGGAACTTGGAGAACGTCAAGTTCCAGTTCGATTATGAGGCCGGGCTCCAAACGAGGTGAAGTTTGTCGGTAGTATGTCTCTTGCACAGCCAGCTGGAAGTAAGCTGGATTAGCCTTGACCTGCGCTAGCAAGGATTTCATTTTGAACTGCTCTATTTTTCCTGAAGTCGAATTGGTATCCACTTCGACTTGCCGAAACTGAGTCTTAATGTTGCGTCCTGGAAATGGGCAGGTGAATTCCACGTATTGTTTCAATTGCAGTTCTCCTTTCAGTTGAATATGTCCATTTTTGAGGCGAGTGGCCAGCGGAAGCTGAAGTTGGTGGGCCAGCACGGAGGGAGGTAAAAGGTTGCACTTGTGTTGCAGTTCAGCCTTGAAGAAGACCAACAGATTGAAGCTAACCAAACGAGCAGGCACATCCTGCAGTTCCAATTGAAAGTGTGCCCGATCCGTGACGCCATCGTAGTCTACATCCTCCGTCCAATATTTGGTGGTTGTGCAACTGTTGGTGAAAATCTCCATTTGCTCATTGAAATTGTTGAAGCTGCTGCAGGCGACTAGAGATTCCTCCTCTTCATATTCTCCTGGTTCCGTCGTTCCCACGAAAATGTACTGATAACTGAACTCCACATTCGGCTGCTCGTATAACACCCTCGATTCTGATATCCCAGAATAAGGACTTAGCATGGAAACCAAAAGCACGGGCAGCATTACGGAAAGCGCTATGAAAGCCAGCACCAAAAGCGAGGCAAAGGAACACAGCGAGTTCTTGTACACGATCGCCGTGTTAGTCGTATGGAGCGGAATAAATCTCATCCTGATTTTAATACAGTTTTGCTTTTAATCCGGTTTTGCTGCAACACCTGCTTGCTAAACACATGTCATCAGAATGTTGTGAAAATAGGTTTTCTGTGCAACGTTGCCAAGCAACCTTTTTAAAAGGAACTGTCAACATAGTGGGTAAGTTGTATTATTTTACCCTGTTTTACATACCTTTTGTGTGTAAAATGTGGAAACTGTAAATGAAATGTAGTTAAAATGTACTTATGTTCGGAGACTTCCGTAAAGCCAATTTCGTAATATTTATAACTTTGAAATTTTAATTTGATCCACAAATTAAAAAATGTATGTTTTAAAGATTATTTAAATAAAATTCAGAATAAAAAATTTCAAATTCAGGGTATATAAAATGTCTTACATAAGTATCTAAATAAAAAAAGAATGTAATATAACCAGGAAAAATGTTTCCGCATTAAGTGACCCTTTCTTCATTGGGCTTCACCGTGAAGAAGTCGACTCTTCAATCGCTTTATTAGCAACTGCCTGGCCTGTCTTCTTCCAGTTGAACCTCCAACTTCATTGACGGCCAAGACACATCCGTTCCGGCTTTAGGCCGATACCAAAAAAGTATTGATTGCACATAATTATAGGATTTCGATACGGGTCCAATTCAAGCTCGCACAACCCACCGACTTGAGTGAAAAGTGAGCCTGCAATTGGGGGGGCAAAGGGGGAAAATGCGAAAATAAAAACGGACGCATAACTTGACCAACATTTGCTCATAATTAAGACCGCCAACTGGTTTCCAGTTTGGTTGCAGGAGGTTCGAAATACTTTCGTGCGCAACGCGTAAAAATCGGAAGTTGCAGCTTTGCATTTAATGCGCTTATTTTAAAGAGTGTTGAAAGCGGAGTACTCAAAAAAAAACTATATTCGTAATTGGTCAAGCGAAATAAGAGCGGCAAAAGAAGAAAAGAAAAATGATGGAATATTATGAGTAACTTAATGCGGTATCTGACACAATTTCCAGGATATATTTAATAAGGTTTCAGTTACTATTCAAGAAAAAAGGGAAGAAAGTTTTTTTAAAAAGCTTATGTTTATAAGACTTGTTTAGAACTTATTTGATAACTTACTTCACTAAATAACTAACAATAAAGACATCAATCTTGTATTGTCACTTACCTGTCGCTCTTTTAACTTTTCTATTTAGTTTTGTTTAACCAAAAACTTGTACATTCGATTGGAAAGTTAAACTTATATTCTTTCGGGCCGCGTGACATGTCATGTTTGGTAACAAAGTTTTTCTGATGGTCTTTTGACTTTTGCCGTCTGACATGTGTTTTGTGCATATTAAAAATGTGTGGTAAAAATGATGGCCTGCCAGGCGGTGTCACAACTACCAAAAATGATGAATAAATAAAAGTGAATCACAATTTGACGGTTACGTCAGCTAAATTTGCGTCTGATCTCTGACAGTTGTGGCACAATTATTTTGCCGGATTTAACACGGTAGCATCCTGAATTTAAGTAACCGGAGAAGAAAGAAAGAAATTCACCCAAAAAAAAATCAATAATTTTTCTACATTTTCTTTTTCTACATTGCCACGCCATTTTACACAAAAAAAGGCCGAAGAAAAAAGAAACGGGGGAAAAGTCTGTATGTAAAAGCCAAGATGGCAGACAAGCAGACAGATAGGGCGGGGGCAAAAGTACTATATATATATATATATATATTCGGACCGAGTTGGAATTCAGCTCACGGCCCCAGGACAATGCCAGCTCTGTGCCCATATATCCTTTTTCAACGAAATTTCAGCTTTCACTCGTTTCGCGTACGTGACCGTGTTGCCACCAAGGAGCTGTTGAAGTGGCAAATTCGCACAGCGCCACCATTCCATTTGCTGGCTTTTGGGGTTGGTTGGGTGGCACTGGGTGGTCGTGGGCGTCAGTTGGGGTCAGAGTAACGGTGGGTGGTGGATGGTGGGTGGCCGAGTGCGCCAGGTGGGTCGCTGGCAAAAAGTAGCAGTTTATTAGGCGCACCAAATTAACATAGGACTACTAACGACTGCCATGGCAAACTAACTAGGCAGGCGAAAAGTTAGATAGGGGCTTTGGGAGGAGGGAGGCTGGACTTTCGGGTCTGCCTGCTAATTAAGTTTCGCAAAAGGTGGTTGAAATCTGGGTAAATGATAAGGCAGTTGATAAGAACGAACGACTACTCAACACCTGTAATTGTCGTTGCTGATAATGCAAAACTTTGTTATTCCTAAAGTTGTTCATAAGCTTTAAAATTCTTTTTTACTTGAAATTAAAATGACTTGATATTTGGTTGATCATAATAATAATCATGATAAAATAATAACATTTATAAATATTATTTGTCAAATTTAAAAAACAACAAAGTATGTAGTCTTAAAGTTTATACGAAAAGTATGCTATAAAAATTGTAATGCTTTTTCATAGATACATATACAACGATTCAACATATACTTTAAATATATTATTAAAATAAATATTTTAAGATATAAATTTAAATAAATTATAGAAACTAACTAAGTCATTGTTTTTTGTATAAAAGCCCGTCTAAATTCACTCACTCGAGGGTGTTGAGCATCCAATGCCGGTTGAAAAATATTACAACGCCTGCGCGGATTTACATCCTTTTGCGTTCAATCCCATGCCAATCCCCAGAAGGACACCCCTTCTACTGGATGCTGGAAAGAAAAGGGGAAATGCGGCCGCTTTCCCTGAAGCTTTTCTTTTTGCCAGCGCTTAGCTCCCCAAGGAAATCAAAGGGAAACACGACGTATGGAGTACGTTAAAGTTGCTTTAATATTTATACAGAGTTCATGTCTCTATCTGTGGAAAATTCCCCTTACAACACTCAAGTGGAAAAGTGTTATATGTGTGTATCTGTGAGGGGTATTCACTCAAGGATGCCGCAGGACGAGGGATGGGGGATTTGGGGGCTAGGGGTTGGGCATGCCGATGGTGATGGTGCCGAGTTCCTTTGGTGAACTATATTTGACAATCAAGCCGCAAGCATATGTTACCCGATAATTTGCCGAAAGTTTTAATGAAAGACATGGGACTCATTTTTCCTGCCACTCTCTCTTTTTTGCGCGTGTGTGTGTGCATGAGTTAATGTCCTTTTTGTGTGAGTGCGCTTTCCTTCAGCTTTGTCGCCATTTTGTCCGTGTCTGTGTGCCAGCATATTTTGATGAGCTCGAGAAAAGCAAGTGTCCTTTTCCGAGAAATTCCTTTCCTGCGTTGGTGTGAGTGCGCCTTTCCTCGGTTTATGTGTATAATTTCCATTTTATAAATGACTTTTCCGGAGAGTTGTCCTAGTTGCCGCAGGCCACTGTAATCACGCCATATCTGTTGAAAGTTTACAACTTTTTGCCAGCGTTTTCGGAATACAAATTATAGGGGGATTCCCTCTTTAGATTTTAAGAAAATATGATTTGGTCAGTTTTAAAAGCTTTGATTTATTGTGAAATGATTGTTGTATTTTTATTGTGATTAGATACACAAAAATATAATTTAAATTGAAAAAAAGATAACTGTAATTAAGAAACCCTTTTGCTAGACATATTTTTTGGGTATCCAAATGTTTTCAAACATTTCAATGCATATGAAATGAAAGAAAATATAAACAATAGGAAATCCCATAAAAAGCAGTAAAGTTGCTGTCATTTCCGCTGTGACAAATCTGTTCAGTTAGCATGAAACTTGTGTTGCAAAAAAAAAAAAAAATACAATAGGGGTATTGAGCAAAACACCGATTTCTTAAGCACCCTGATCGATTATAGGATTTAAATGTACACAATAACTTGTTTACATAAATTACAGAACTGTTAAAATTTAAACTTTTATAAATAATATATTTGCTTTGAAAGTCTTGGGTGCATTTTCAATTTTTATAATAATATTTTCTGCAGTCTGCAGTGCCACTTTCATGTTGAAGGGTATGACAAAAAGAGTCAATTGGAAAACATGGCATACACCCACTAGTTGGCCACCGCTTCCCGCTGGGCAGTGGACCAGATGACTAAAAACTGGACAGGTTCGTGGTCCCTGGAAAGTGCCACCAAAAAATCGGAGAGGAGGAGCAGACACTCTGTCATACAATTTTTCAGTTGTTGTTACTTCCTTGGTCCCTGTTGTTTTTCTTTTTTTTTTTGGTTTTTGCCAACCTGCTGTTGGTAATAAGCGTAAAACTTTGACAGTTTGTTATCCGCATTTGTTCGGTGGCTTGCAGTTTTCATTTGCCAGCTTTTTTTTCGCCTGCTTTATTTTGTATTTATTTTCATTTTTTGTGGCTCACTGCTGCTGCTTTTTTATCCCCCCCAGCGAGCACCTGTTAAAGTTGCCGGAGTGACAGCAGCGGCACTTTCTAAACGGCTCACCCGGGAGCCGCAGCATGATAAGCGATGTCCACGAATGATCTGCCAGGTCCTCGTCCTCTTTTCCTTTTTATTTTTATTTTTTTGTGGGTGTGCCAGGGCAATTAGAACAACAAGAAACACTTAAACAGATGCATGTCATTTTGCGGTTTTCCCAGCACATTTTTTGGGCACATTTTCGTGTTCTGTTCAATACTTTTCTCACCTTTTCCCGAGCGGAAGTTAACGGTTGGGTTTATATCTCTTGACGTTTTTAACCACTTTTCCGCTTTTTTGAGCGTTCACCGCATTTTTTTGGTGTAATTATAAATTCAAACATTTTATTGATGGATAACTCATAAGGCAATATATAATTGCGGTTAGGTTTGAAAAAAAGGGCATTTCGACCACAATTATGGATCATTTATGTCAAATTTATGCCAGAGAATTAAATATGCGGTAGAATTTTTTCCTGGAAAAAGAAGAGCCGAAAATATGAAACAATAAATGTTTTTAAAGTAAAAGTTTTTACTCCTTAAGTAACTTAAAGATTCTTAAACTGAAATAAAACTTTCATTTCCATTGTGGTGACAAAGAGACAAAGGTAAATCCACTTTGGACTGCGTACAACGATTATAATGGCCAAAGAGTACTTAGGAGGAAAGATTCATCTGTGATACGTGTTCCGGCCCTCTTAATCGCCTCGAAAACAACAATAGCAACAGCAACAACTCTATATCCTTATGCCACTATATCCTTACGCTAGTCCTGCGAC